TAGTTTCCTCTCCCTGTGTGTGTGCGAAGTCAAAAGTCACCCACTTCTGACAGCCTCTTCCTTGCGACGTTGATTTGGGTTTTCCTGCTTCGGCTCGGATTTCGACCCACTGTGCCGAAGTAAGGAAAAAAGTGCTCGGGGCTGGCTGGGCAAAAGTATCTTGAAGTCATTTGTGCAGACTCTAATGATTTCCGCTAGTTTCCGTTTCGTTGTCATTGTCCACGTCTCCGCTGGCGTATGCATAAGGAACCCCGCCCCCTTTTTCCATTTCCCATTTCCCTGCCAAATTAAGGCTTCTCCCCCATTGTTGGACATGCAACGACCTTCTGCCTTCAGTGGTTCGTGCTGTTATTGTTATTATTGTTGCGTGTCGGTGCGTTGGTTGTTGGTTGTTTGCCTGTTTGGCTTGATAAAGAAATTATTGTAATCTGGCTTGAATTTGAGCTCTGCTGCGACCCTGTCGCACTCGGAACTTAATCAAATTGTATGGCTAATGGAAATGAAGCGGTTATCCAAACACACACACCCGTCGGCAATTGCTGTTAATGAAATTGTCTGGCAAAATGCGTTCCACGACGGCGCGAATCGTGTGAGTTGCTGCCAATGGCATTATATATAATTGCTTATAATTCAACCAATTTACAGTTCATAAAGCGGCAGACAAAATGTTAGCCAAACAAATTCAATGTGTCGGCTGCCTTGAAAAAAAAAACACAAAGCAAAACACAAGGTGTACATTAGGGGGATGTATTATGCAAATATTCATGTGCTTCTCAGCAATTAAGGTAGCTCAACTCGTAGAATACCCTATAATTAAGGTTAACCCGATAATAGATACAAGATATAGTTATTCCAATTTATTACAAATTAATCTTAAAGCTAATGGCTGATCAAATCAGCGATGGCAATCACAAGTGTTTTCCCGGAATGCCAGCTATTTTATGCCATATAATTGAATTTTTTATTAACCATTATATTCCCTACTTTAATCATGGCAAATTGCTCTCGGGTTAAGCCCCTTTTCCTGTGCCCTCCTACGATCTATTAGATTTGGTTGACTATCTATCGCTGGTAAGTGATTTATTGCCCCTACCATTTACTTCGAAGGTTTATGGATACACTTTGATTATAACGTGTCGGTGGAACATATATACATATATTCGGTATGCCCGCCACAAAGCCTGTCACTGTCACATGCAACACGTGAATTACCGTCGCAACAATGACAACAACCATGACAACAAAGCCATGCAACAAACAAACAAACAAACAGACGACAACAATCAAACTCGTTTTGAGCGTTTCCCATAATCAACGGCGACGACGTCGTGTGAATTTTATTTTTCGGTTACAAACGAGTTCCGTCTTAAGAGTAGAGTATATTTTTGCTCATCCACTTGCGATGCACTTTAATGGCACTTCTAAAAAAATGTAATGAAATGAAATTTTATATTACTATACAATTAATTAAAATGTAAGAAATCTTTTTATATTTATAGAATCCAACTCCTTTTATAAGAAATAAATTCTTAGAAATTGAAACTCCATTTATCAAATGATTTACAGATCTATTTTTTCTTAGTGCAATGAGCTGTTGCTGGTGTAACTATTGTAGCAGTTGTTGTTTGCACAATATTTCACGCATACGTGCCTCTTCATAGCAGCGAGAGTGGGTGGTGCTGGGTAGTTGAGTGGGTGGCTGGGCGGTTGAGTGGGTGGCGAAATGCGCTCTGCCGTAAAATTGCGCGCAATTGGGTTTTTTGTTTGTGCGAGTACGAGTATGTTGGCTTAACGACAACAAACTGAACACTTCGGGCTGAGCGCGGGTTCTGGATTGTGTTCAGCATAGCAGAAAATTATGAGTTAATGGATTTTGTTTAATATTTTTTTGCGTTCATACTCGCATTTTGTATTGTTTGTATTGTGCTGCATTATTACGATTGGCAACAAGCCGAAAAGTGTTGACAGCCACATGTTTGCCCACTTCTCGCACTTTGTTTGCTTCTGCACTGACAGAGCATGAAAGTGTCGAGTTTTGTCACCGCAAAAAGCATTCAGCAACAATGACACGCTCGTTGGGCAAATGCCTCAACACCAATCCAGCACCAGCAGCAGCACCCCCTCGCAACTCGGCAATTTGTGGCAAAATCAAGTTCAATGCTGCAGCGAAAGTTTCTGAAAAAAAACGAGGCAAAACAAGAGAGACGGGCGACGGGAGACTGACAGCCAGATTCGCTCCTTGGCTGCATAATCAATGTAATTAAATGCGGAAATTGTTTGGCGCAGTGCAAAACTGATTTGGAGCTTGACGTAAACGCTTCCATTGAAGCCCCATCAACAGACCCAGCCCCAAACTGCGCTGTTTTGGCCACATCTCCAGTGCTGAACTCGAAACCGGCGACGTTGTCATTAGGCAGCCGAACAATTTTAGAATGGGACTATGCCACATGTAAATACGCTTTAGAATCAATAGAAACGAGATAAAAATATTAATTTAAATATTATTTTAACCCAAATAACCATTTGAATGCCTGCGAAACGCTCTCTTGCCAGATATAAACTATTATATTAAATTATTATAATATCTTTTGGGAACATTCATGCCATCTTGCAGAAATGTGAATTTAGGAAAATAAAATATAACTAATATACGATGGATAAACGAAATTAATGTTTATTATCTGTCCAATTAAAATTCATGCATTTAGAAAATCCAAAGAACAGGCTTGGTTGCCATGAAAAATAAATCGCATCATACTAAATTAAATAGAATTTTAATTACTCACGGATAAGAGGAAATATATAAGAGAATATTTGTGTTTTGAAGCGAAAATTGCTATATTTTATTTCCCAGAAAATACATGTAAAATCACATGGTATGGAGAAGAGCATACAAGAAGCTTGCGAAGCTCATCACTTATTTAGGGACAGGATCTGCAAAAGTGGAATGAGCAGGACGACGTTGTCTGCCATTCGCAAATACACGCAACGGGAATGTGCAATTATTTAGCGTAATTGCTTTCAATACACCAAAATGTTCAACCACATAATTAGAAAATTACAAATTGAATGCTAGAAATTCAGCTGGAAAATCAGACAGAGAAAGAGATGGATAGAGTGGAAAAGCGGGGAAAAGTAGATTAAGTTTAATTTCGATATTATCGCTTAGAATAATCACGGGAGGACAAGTGCATCTACCTCTCTGCAGGCATAATGCAAATTGAACTAAATAAACCAAAACGGCGAAGCTATTGCCAATCCTATTAAACGAGTCACTGCTCCATAATGAAATTAAATTCGTACAATGGCCGGAGATGTATTTATAATATGGCAAACTAATATTAATATGTGAATTAATTATTTTGCACAAAGATCCGGCTTTTGCAGCGTTTTTGGCGTGCAATTCAATGGGAGTTTTAAAATATTTATGCGATTAATTTGCTCATTTCCAATGCACTTGCAGCTTTGTCCTTTCCCCCCATGCATTTTTATCTCGATATAAACCTGATGGTTTGGATTTTTATTTATTTTTTTTCTGCTTTGCGGTTTGATATTGTAAAATAATTTATTTAAATTGAATTTCTTTGCGGTTGATTTGCGGGCAAGTCCAGCTCAATAGAATGAATAAATATAAATAAACCAGTAAAGTGGGTCAGCCGGGAGTGGGAATGTCCTCAGACCGAGTTGCAATTTAGTTTATGGCATTAAAGTCTGGATGGAGAACTCCAGTTTTCTTTGTGCGGCTCAGTGGCTCCTCAAGAAGTCCTCTATTATTTAATAAGTTTCCTATTCGTCTCACTTATTTTTGTCCCAGAGCCATTGAAATCATTTTGGGCCGGCTGCTTAGTCTGCGTTTATTTGTTTCCCAGCCAGTGAAAAGCGAAATTGCATATTTGCTTTTATTATAATAAATGCCAATTTAGCCGACTGCAATTCAATTACGTGAGCACCGTGAAAATTTCCCTTTTCGGTTTGTTGTTTTTCTGGCTTTTCCTACTGGCTTTGCCTGAGTTTTCCCATTGCAAAACGTGCGGCACTCGAGAGACTGCGGCCTGGGCCTCATAATCTCTGGAAAACGTGAGTTTCGGCCTGGCCAACTAAATGGCTGGCTGGATAGCCTAGCCCTCGAAGCCATAATATTTTCTTTTGTTGATGCACTCGAAGAAATTATTTAGTGAAGAAATAAAGGAATAAATTAATTGTAATTATAGTAAAGAACTCTTGAATAAAATAAATTATTTTTGCCAACAAGATTTGGTATTTAAAATTAAATATTTTCTTGATTTCGGAATACAATTATTTTATAACTCTATTATTTTTACTGAAATTTATTTATATTTTTTAATAATTTTAGTAAGCCCTTTTAATGTTCATAATCTTGAGTGTAGAATTGAAAAAATACATGTAATGGTGGGGATGATAGCCAAGGCAATCATGACAGCGACGATGCAACAGTTGAGTGAATTGGATAATTGCGTATAATTTTAATGGATCGAACTGCAATCGATGTCTGCGAGGGATGGCCGCCTTGCTTGGGCTTCCCCTTAAATCGCGATGTGTGTTAATGTGTGGCTTATTATTGTGCCGTCAGCTGCATCGTCATCGTATCGCTTCCATCTCCGAATGCTTTTGTTTCGCCTACAACCTTTGTGCATTATCGGGGGTCTTTGGGGCATGATGCCACGTCATGTCGGCAGAGATGATACAATCAATTGTGGAAACGGCCACCCTGCCCCGACTAATGATCCACAAGGACTTTGATTTCACGTCTTCGCTCGGGCCATTTAATTGGAATTCGCTCCACTGCTCGGTGTTGTCTCTCAATTTAATTCAAACCTAATGGCTTTGTTGTCTTCGGTTAACATTTCATTTAGTGCTCCTCCCCAGAATTGATTATGCAAAGTGACTCGATTTCCATCTGGCTTTTGATGTTGTACTATTATAAATGCTCGTTTATCAATCCCGAATGCTAATCAAAATGTTTCTTCATTATTTTACAGTTGATGAATGTGAATGTGCAAGGAATCCCCTGGCGTGCCGTTTGAATTGGGTAAGTTCTCGTTATTAGTTCATTGTTTGCCAGTTTGAATTGTTACGCCTCCCAAAAACACACGGGCACGTGTCAGATCTGTCAGTCTGCCAGCCAGTCAGTCATTTTGTCACTTTGTCGAGCCCAGCGTGGGATTAGGATTTGCTTTCTCCGCTGGATGGCCAGTGGACGTCCAGTGGAGCCCTGTCATCGGCATGCAAATGTCGCCGTCTGTGTGACATTTGCATTTGCAACGCCCGCAATTAAATGCGTGGGCGGTGGGTGGTTGAAGTGATGGTATAGCAATGCGTCATGCCAAAGTGTTGCGTGCTGCATTTTAAATGAATATTTTATGCCAACTTTCCGGCTCACTCCCGCACGCCTTAAATTATGCAATGCAATGCAATGCACTACTGCCATACAGCAGAAGGCCCAATGCACTATGGGGCATTTGACCACTTTTGTTGGCCGAAATTAATAACTCGGTCATTTCAAAAGATATTGACTTGAAACTTTACCAGTCGCCATTTCTTATCCCCCCGCATATTATATATGATAATCATCCGGATCGGAAAACTATATCATATAGCTGCCATAGAAACGATCAAATTAACTTTGCTGTTTTTGGAGATAAATGCACATTACTTTAGAAATAGCAATTATGTAAGTTTTTAAAACAATATTAACAGTTTTATACAAATCGAACGACTATATCCCAAAGTTTTAAAAAAAAAGGGGCAAATGCAAAAATTTACTTTACATTTGTACGACTTTTTGTTCAAGTTGTAGCGGAACTTTCGTTTTAAAGCCGCTAAAGTCCACTTAAGTTAGTCAATTACAAAGCTAAGTATTTCTACTATATTTTGATAATAATTTAAAGTCACGAAAGTCCTTACTTCCTTAGCTACCAGTGCAAACGATAGGAGTTTGTGAAATTTGAGGTTATGGTCTAAAAAATTAAATTACAGAAAAAGTGGCAATAAGTGGCGATTCTGACCATATACATTTTAACAACAATTAAATAATCTACAAATCCCAATAGGTTCCAGAAGTGGACTCCGCTGGACTCACTTTGTTGCTCCATTTGAAAATTAGTTTTCTTACAAAAATGTACTTGTTAGACCATTCCCTTTAACACTCATTTGTAAGAAATAACCGTCTCATTTTTGTCGTCGAACCACACAAATACTTAGTAAATAGCATAATCCTTTAAATCCAATCCAAAAAGTTTACTTAGATTGCTTAAAAACTCAAATTTAAAGCACTTTAAAACTGCAAGCGAAAAGTCGAAATTCAACAGCTCGATAATTGCATATCGAACAGCTGATTTAACAGCTCCTACCTTAACAGAGGCGACCTCTATCGGATTTCTGTAAACGTAACATTGTTAAATGGTCTTTTGTTAACACATCCTCAAACAACATTTTTTGTTTTAACGACTTTTAAAAAATGGGTTTTGGCCAACCAAAGTGGTCAAATGCCCCATAGTGCAATGCGTGTCGCATTTTAATGGCTCCACGCCGAGAGTCGAAGACTGAAGCTCGAGTTCGAGTTCTCGACGGGATTGCGAGTGGAAATAAAAGTTAAAATTGTCGGGAGTGGATTTTTATGGCCCATATGCAGTGGAATACATTTTCGAATATTTATAGCCACCACCCTCGCTGGTGAAGCTATGCGTCTAGACGGACGTGCGTTAAAGCCGAGATAAGAAACTATTAATTTAAATAATACCCTGCAATTAGTGTATAAAAAAAATAACCTAAACGACCTTAAACTCATTCTGAAGTCTAAATAAAAAGGTATCATCAGGTTAATTTCCACTTACAACACTTTATTTAAAATGTTATGTTTACAAGGGGGTAAATTTTACAAAAATGTTATAACATTTTATTAAAATTTAGAAATTCTAAAAATATACAGAAAATGTATTTCTGCTTGTGCCAAAATTCCCCTTGTTATCTACGCATACAGGGTATTCACAGAAAAATCGCTTGGCCAGGAGTGAGAGAAAGATAGACAGCCAACAGGCAAATGCACTTTTGCCGGAATGTGTCAAGTGCGGAGAGCATAAGATGACTCGCATTGAGCTACCCGGACGGATATATAGACGGATAGATAGACGAATAGATAGATAGATAGATATATAGACAGATAGCTGTAGAGACTTAGCTGCATGCCAGACATTCATCTCAATTTATCGTGCTTAGCCGCATATCCCGGCAGATCGAAGTGTCGTCTGCGTATATATCAAAGTCTCAGCCAGGACTCGCAGGACTCACAGGAGCATTGTTGTTGCACACACATGTAAGCGTGTGTGCCGTGTTTATGTGTGTGCAAGTGCGTGAGTGTACGTGAGCTGCAGTTGTCATTCCAAGCCGTATCCTTCGCATCCATTCCCTATTCCTAACCCGTTTCTCTTTGGCAAACAAGTAATTTCACTTGACATGCAATTTTTTGTGGGCTTCCCCACTCCTGGGCCCTCGTCCTTCGTCCTTTCTCCTTCTCGGTACAAACAAAACAGATGTAACGCTGCATCGGATAGGAATCTTCTCCTTTCGCCATGAGTCCCCAACCACTTTTGATTATTTTGGCTGAAAAACCACACACTCACACACACGAGCTGCAAGGGGGGACAAAAAATGGAAAGTATTCCTGTCTTGCAGCTGAAAAATGTCAATGCCAAGGAGTGAGTAAAAAGAGACACGATGCGGGAAAGCAAGCTGGGCCAAAAACAGTTTTCCCAGGGCAGAGAAAACCCCCAAGGACGACAGCCTGGCACAGAATCTAAAATGCATTTTTGGTAGCATTCATCATTAAAGCTCCTTTCTGGTATGCCACATATGGGCATCAAATGCACCAGTCCAAAAAAAGCTAAGGGTTATTGAGACTCTTTTGGAAACTTTTATTGCAATATTAATAACTTTGATTGCTGGAAAACATTTGTAAATTAAAATGGAAGCATAATAAAATTGTCTTTTTTCTATATTTAAACGGAAATGGATATTGCAATAAAATTAAACGTGAAAAATATATAGGACCCTTTGTGATTTCATTATTTATTTGGCATGCAAATAAATGCTCACATTTCCCGAGATCATCTTTCAGCAACATAGCTGTATTAATACATAGTCGAAAATTTTTTGAAAGCCATATTTCCACGCATTTCCATATGTGACTGCTGTTGGTATTTGGTAAACACGAGATATCTGTGCTTCAAGATATTGCCGGATTTTCCTTTGCATTTCTTTTTTTCACAGTTGCCACTCAGCTGGAAGAAATGCCGGAGAAGAGCTTTCGTTTTTGGCCTTAGTTTTCCCACCCAGTATTTCTGAATCGGAAAACCCACCCACTCCCAACCCAACCGACCTACCGACATCAGCACTTAAACGCTTCACACATGCTGTCCGTTTCTCTTTGGGATTCGGAACGATTTTTTCTGCCTCTTCGCTTCTGTTGTTGTCGTTGCCATTGCTGTGTTTTTCCGGAATTATCCGCTTATGCTAATCTGTCTAACGTTTTTGAAATTTTCATGCTCCCCCAATCCCTCTCTCTCCTTCCTTCAATTTCTGTGGGTTTTCCTGCACTCTGCACACACACCCACACTACGGAATAGACTCATCCAGCTTTTGAGAAACTCGGCTCGAGGAAAAGCGAGGAAAAATCGGCAGAGCAAACGCTGCTGGTGCTGCTGCTCCACATCCACTTGATGACCCTCTTCTGGGCAGGAAGAGGAAAAGTCTCCTAGTTGGCCTCCTCGAGTCCGCCTCATTCAATGTCACTTGCCTCGAGGACGAGTGTAAGTAGCACTCCACAAATGTTTTCATCCGATTATGAAAGGGCGCCGAGTTGACCGAGCTTTCCCCCCTTTGAGTTTGGTTTTTACTTGAGTTCCGTTGAGTTAAGTTGCGTTGATGGCTTAAATTATTGTTGGTTTGGCACTATCCGTAAGATAACAATTGTTCCCGCCCCGTTCCACGTTCGATTCGATTCTACTAACCCCGCAAAAAGTTTGCCATTGCCATTGCCATTGCTTGAGCATGAACACGAAATTGGGCAAGCGCTTTCCATTTACAATTACGCGTCTCTCCATCAAAAGCAGGTTAAGTCGGGCGGCAGCGAAGTGGATTTGAGGCAGCGGAATGCCAGCATCCGGAATCTCTTTGCCCCCACGCCGGCTGAGTTGGCCAGAAAAAAGGAAGCCCGTCAAAGGAGCCGCAGCCAGAGCAGCTTCTCGCTCCAGAGGATCGGCAGAGGCAGCAGCCAGGATAATGGGATTGGTGGGCAGAAGGGAATGGACTCGGGCTCCGGCCTCCTGCCCACTTCCCAGAGCTTCGATGATTACGCCTTGGGCATAAATCAATTGCCAATGACTGCGAATCAATCGGCAGTGAGACAATACAATGGCCATGGCCATAACGAGCTGGGCCCGAGTCCCTATGCACCGGCGGTAATTCCCAGGACCTCGCACAATGGCTGGCATCAGAGTGCATTTGAATTGGCAATGAGCCGGTCTCCTACGGCTCCTTCTTCGGAGGAGGACAAAAACTGGAGGTCGACGAGCCAGCTGGAAAATTTTATTAACAGCAACGAGCAGCTGCAGCAGGACACTTGTGTTGACTTTGGTAATGAAATGACCTGGGGCAAATCTGCTGAGAAATCGCTGCCATTGAATCACCTGCAACTGCAGGGCGGAGGATTTTCCCGAGACGACCAGTGGGATTTGGAGCAGCGCGAAAGTTTGCACAGCCAAAGGTAAATTGACAAAGGGCCGCAAAAGCTTCAAGGGAGAGAAGACGAGGCAAAGGAAAAGCCAGAAAGGCAACTAACCCAAACTGCGTTTAGCTTTTCTATTTTCCATTTACCATTTTCTATTTTCCCCCTTTCCAAACACTCTCCACCCGCAATTTGCTGAAGTTTAGCGGATGCTTGGCTGGAGGGATGGCCAAATGGAGATGAAGCCATGTAAATGAGCCAAACGTGTAAGCCAAACTAACCTTGACACCCCCGATTCCGATTTCGATTCCGATTCTCGACTGGCTGCAACAGTTTGGCCACCATTTGCATATCGAATGGCAAATGGCATCGCTTCGCATCGCATCGCGATTGATTGGCCCGTTCGATTGGGTCGATAAGGCGCAATGGCAACAGTTGTAAGCAGCTCAAGTGCAAACCGCTCTAATAGTGTGGCAACAAATCGATCAATAAGTCGGGTCTTTTGTCGGCAATCGGCAACGGAATCGGAATCAGTATCGAAACCCCGGCCAGCGGAATTCTCGACTGCCATCGATGCGTGGCCAGGTCACGCGGGGCAACAGGGCGGATGCACTGAGCGTGTCATTTCAAGCTGTTGCACAATCGCTGATTTGATTCGAATCGAGCTGAGTTTCAAGCGGGTTACGCATTGCATTTGTTAACAACAAAATTTACAAGGGCTCCCCCCCTCCCTTCGGTGCAATCAAGCAGCACAAATGGGTGGGGGGGAACTGGAAAAAGTGAATGATGTGGGGGTCTCACAGCTCCGATTGAAGTGCGGCACATCTATATAATAAGCCAATGCAGTTCGTTGACCGGCGAAGGCTAATTGAGCTGGAGAAAGGTAGCGGAAAGGCATTTGTCAAGTTTGATTGAAAGGGAGTTTGATTTATGGCCCAGCGAATTGCATCGATAGCCGGTTAGCGATAACCCAGTTAGATTGAGAGTGCTCTAGTTTGGATTAGAAATTGAATTGTTAAATGATATACTTAAGGGATAATAAAAGTTACTATATATAAAAATATTTTAAGAGTATTTTATAACGACAAAAACTTAAAAAAATAATTATTTCTTTCTCTCACACTCTTTTCAACTTGAATGATTAACATGGCGGAATATTAATGTATCGCTCCCTCTTTGCGATCTTGTGCTCTAAATTGTTTTGCACTTTATTGCCCCCAGAGCTCATTTAAGTACATCTCGCCCCATTTCGCTTTCTTTACCATTTCGTTTTTTGTTTTATTTTTTTTTTGCATTGGCTATATGTCTGATTAATAAAAACAAAGCGCAAATTGGAAAGGAAATTGCTGTCACTCACTGGCGGTGTTGTTGCTGCTGTCAGCAATTGCATTAAAACGATGCCCCGTTGATGTCGCTGTTTTTACCCGTTTCGTCTCGTCTCGTCTCTTAGTTGACTCCAGACCAGAGCCAGCAGACCCTAGACCCTCGACGATGCGGCGTTTAAATACACCGCATGAGTTTAATTTAATGCAACGCAGCAGTTTTATCAAGCAACAACAAAATGCGACGACAGCAATTGCTGTTAACTGCGTTCGCCCTTCTCGTACTCATATACTCATATACTCGTGTACTCATATACTCATACTCGCACTTGCCATGTCACTGCCACATAGCGCTTATCGCCCTCACCGGCTGATAGGGAAAACTTGTGTGCGGATGACGCTTTTCCCGCCCCCCCAGTTCAGCCCACCAACCCACCTCCCCCAGTGGATTACGTATGTGCTTTGCATTTGACTGCCCATTGATGTTGCCAACGCTGGTAACACTGGCGGGAGATCCATTGTGTGTTGGCCAGGCCAAGTCTCTCTTCAGTCGAGTTCCTTGTACACGTACTTTACGTAACACCAACACCAACACTAGCACCCATCTGATCCTATCCCGCCCCCTTCAGTCTGGCCTTAACCCCTTGGCCACGCCCACTCTGCGACTGTCAAATCATCTCGTCATGGATATGAGCAATTGCCAGGGTTTCATACTGCAGAACAGAATGGAACAGGAGCGGAGGGGACCTGCATAGAAAATTGGCATGATATGTGATTTGATTGACGTGGCAGAAGCGCTGCTGCTCCTGCTTCTGATCCTGATCCTCCTCCATCTCAGGCAGCTTTTTCGGGCCGCCCTTTGTTTGCCAATTTAGTGCCGCCCCTGTCATTTTATTCCTACATATCAGCTACGCTTGTAATCAGCATTTTTGGCTACGATTTTGACGTTTAATTTGTGAGCCGAGTTACGTCAGCAACATATCGGTAGGCCTGTCAATCAAGGGGTTTCGCATTCAATTTGCAGCTCATACAGAAATGCACTTAGCAAAATGAAGTAAGAAAAATATTGGAAATTGGACATACTTGAAGTAATGATTTTTACACCCTTGATAAGAAACGATGATCGAATCTACGTTATGTGGTATCAATATGCAAGAAATTTACCATGCGCATATCGACTTGATTGATTATTTTAAAATAAAATAATTAGAAAATCATTGAAAATCATCTCTAAAAGGTTTTCCTATCTATATAATATTTATTATTAAAAATATTTCTGCTCTTCAAGCCTTAAATTTTTTCCCAGTGCCAGTGCAAACTCGAAAATTTTTGGTCACATTTAATGCAGTTACGGCATTCGTTGCCCCGGGCAATTCAACATTTTGCCCACAATTTTCGGTCGTCGAGTCGAAGAGTCGAACGAGCCAGCGAGTGGGCCGTGTTGACTCTGCATGTGGGCAGAAAACAAGGCAGCAACAAGCTTCGTTAGCTTTGCCGCCCGTCCAAACAGACAACGGCCACTTTGCAGGTCCTATTCCACAATTCCACTATGCCACTATTCCAGATCCTGGCACCAACCAGCTCTTCCTGTTGTAGTTACAATTCAAATTCCGAGTACTGGAACTCCTCGCGACGAGCTGCCTGCCCTGCCCGGCAAAATATGCTTCATGCTACGTGGGCCAGCAAAAAACATGAACAATAAAAATGGAGACAATAAAATAGAACTACAACGGGCAACTTGATGGCACCAGCAATAGCAATGGCAAAAACAACAGCAAGAACACGCTAGAGCGGCGATAACGGTGGCCGGCGAAAAAAATGGCTGCTGTCGCATTTCCGGTGCCAGTCAACATGGCGGATGCCGTGACGCCGCTGCCGACGCCGCTTTATGAATAACCAGGGCCAGACACAAAATACAAAATACGAACTACAAAATGGCCAAAGGTTCATATTTTTCAAGCTCGTTATGGTTTAGGGATATAGTCCGCCACGGCGAAATGTGGAGCGAGTGAAAAGAATCAGCCAATTGAAAAATAAACACAAATAGCTTATCACAAAAATGAAACCATCAACATACACGAGTACGACTGGGACCTTGAAAAATTCAAATTTATGCATTTAAATTGAGAAAATAAATATTTATAATGAAAAATCAACTTGTGATACCATTCGAAATTGCCAGTTTGAACATAAAATATTATTCGTTAATAATTGAAGTTGGTCCAGAGACATTTTTCGGAACTGATTTTTGTGGATTTATAGTTTTAGCTTTGTTATAAATTGCCGCCAATTGGTCCGTTGTGGCATTTAAATATATTTATATATATTTTTAACAATGCCAAGATAAATTTCTTTATTTTTAAGTTTGAAAATTTATTTTATTTCATTTTTATTATCTCATTTATTTTAAATACCAAAGTTGGCATTTTAAACCCTTTTTCCAGAAATTTTCTCTGAATTTTCTAAGACTAAAGTTTTTGTTTAATGGGTTTAATTTCAATAAACTCTTATTTTTCTGGGCTTTTGTTTTGTTGGCGAAGGAGTTTACTAGGATTTATTTTGCGACCTCTTTTTATTCATTTCAGACCCTTCAAGTCATGAAAATTTAATTGAATTTTGATTGCCTATCAGGAGAACTTGCACATCGCACTAACCGGCACCCTTGAATTTTCATTGGTTTTTTAATGAAATTTCCCGCTTTTTTTTTGCAGCTATCGACCGGCGGCGGCAGCGGCAGCTCAGTCGACGCCGCTGGCAGAGCGCCTGCAGCGCTTTCGATACCGCCAGCAATTGCAGTTGCAGCAGCAGCAGCAACAACAATCGAGCACTGATATCGACTACGGCTACGATAGCCCCTTTGCTGGCCATTTATCAGCTGAACAAATAGGCGTAGCCAATTGGCAGGGGCCAAGGGGAATCGTCGAAGGGAACGCCGTTGGCGGGACAGCTCCAGTTGAAGCTGAGCATTCAGCGGAGCAGCAGGAGGAGGAGCTGCCGCCGGATCGAGTTCTATATCCAGACTCTGAGCCGGAGGAAGAGGAGTCAGCGCCCAAACGACGCGTTGTCATCAGGCGACGCATAGTGCGCACCACCCGCACCTCCCCACAAACTGCAGAGGTTGAAAGAGAAGCACCCACCAACACAACCACCAGTGAAACTCACTCCTCAACTCCTGGTGGTGGAAACAACGGACGCAATCTTGGCTGGCTGACCAGGCTGCGCAGCTTTGGATCGAGCAATCGGAGATACCAGGAGATTGCCACCGCCGCCTCACCGGCAAAAATCGGCAATCAAAGTGCAATTTCTGCTGCAAGCAACAAGAACAGTTGCAACAACTCGAATCCCATCATGGCCGTCCTGCGTACTATGAAATTGAAGGAGCGCCTGGTCATCAGTCTGGGCGCCACCCTCGTTCTGCTCACCCTGCTGCTCATCGTCGATGTGCAAATGGACTTTGGGGTGGCCAATCGCCACCTGCTCCAGCAGCAGCACCAGAAGATCCGCCTGGGCAACGACTACGATGCCACGGGCGGTGGCGGCGGTGGAATGCTGCACGAGTTCAAGCGCAAATTCCTGCAGAAGAGGTGAGTCCGCATTCCCGAGCTATTATACGCAAAATCTGACCCATCTATTGCTTCCGTTCCGCCATTAATCAGCGGCTACCTGCTGAATTCGGTGCAGAATGGGAAGGGTAGTAATAAGAACTGACCCTCATTAAATTAATGAGGCATTAGTGCAAGCAAAAGGTAACTGGAATTTTTTCATCAGAGTTTCAATTATAAAAAGTTTAAGTTAAGGATCTATAAGAACTTGCATAAAAAATCGACCCCTCTTGTTAAACTTTTAAAACACATCCGATTGAGTCAATAAATATTTTATATCAGAGGCCACCACAAAATTTTGAAAAAATCATAGTAATTTAGAAAGACCATAAACCATATAGCACTATTTGAATGCCTATTTCCCCGTTTCGCTTTGAACCCCCAAGGAGCTGGGGGCAGCGTGTTGAAATTTACTATTCCCAAGTCTGACCAAAGCAACAACCGGGCCACCGTTGGCCATTCCGGGGGATTAAAAATTATGCACAAATCGCAAACGGGGTCGGGCCATTGACTCCCTGGGTTCTTGGTTTCTGGGTTCTTACTTCTCGGTGCCCCGAGGCGACTGAACACGGCAGGGTACATAATTCAATTTAGCTGAAATGCAACAAAAGTTGCAATAAAACTTGGTTGGCCCCGGCATTAAAACGTAATTTGCTACAAAACATAAACCCAGCCGGGCAGGGTGAACTTCTTGGGAAGTCCAGAGGAAGGGGAAGAAAAAGCGGAACAAGCACAGGAGCGTCATGTTAATGCCTTCCCATAGAGAGAATATATACAGACGAACGGGGGGCCCCGAGTCTTTAGCTTTACCTTTGAACACTTCATTCTTTTTTTTTTGTTGGCCACTTTTTGCGTTGCGTGCGGTGGGCGAAATGGGGCGAAAGTGGGTGTCGTCCGCCATTTTGCTGCGGCTGGCGGAAGTCGAGTAATAAAACATCAAAATGACGCAGCAAGGCGCAAGGGAAACTGTTAAGACCATCCTTCCAGGAGCAGGACTTCCCAGGACTTCCTCCCAGGTGCAGCAAACGACTCCGGTTCCATCGCATCCGAACCCAAAACTCGAACCCGAGCTCGGCTGGTTCGGTTCCGCCGCCGCCGCTCCATTCCGGCAACATAAAACGCCAATGTTTAGCCAGTAAATATTTAATTAATTCATAAGCCGCCTGCCAGCAGCCCCGTAAAATGAATGCCTTCGGAAACCGCTCCCTCGTATTTGCTGCGTCTGAGGGATACCTTCCATACCATCTTCCCGGTCTTCCACTTGCCACCTTCCCACCCAGAAACACCAGCTATCTGCGTACTTATGCGCCATGGCAAATGCAAAATTATGATGCCTCCATGCACTGAGTCGTGCAGCGCGGCTGTGAAGCGTAATAAATTCTATTTAAGCATCAAATGTTTGCCCGTCTCCATCTTCAGACGCCCCTGATTTCCTGTCTTGTCTCTTCCTCGCTCCTCTTGCCTTATAATTTTTTAATTATTTCATTAAAAACTGAAAACTGAGGCAGCAACTTGGCAATGCTGCAAATGGTGTTGGCCGTCCAAGCAGCCGAGGCAAAATTCATTTTCACTGATGATTCTCATTTTTTGGTTGTTATCAATCTTTATTTTATGTGGTCTGTTCTTGTTTTTGTAGCTGAGAGTTTCTTAACCCTTTTAATTAAAGTGGGTGCAGCTGACTGAGAGTTTGCGGAGATTGGTTGAAATCAAAATAATTATTTTTAAATTTGCAGAGTCTAAAAGTATGCAACAGTGTATTTGAGAGTCAAATGTGCATTGAATTCCCTAAGAAGGATGAATATCTCTTTTTTACTGCATACTTTTAGACACTTTAAATTATAATACTTTTAGTTTTTAGCTGTCAGTAGTAACTATTTTATATAACTCAGGCATGGAAAGATCTTATCATGATTGGATTTACCATATGTAGTATGTAAAGGCACTCCCCTGCAATCCAATTAGGACTCCGACTCCGACTCCCTTAAAGCCTTCCATTAACCCCTGGCCGCTTGTCATCGCTTTCGACTTGCATAAACTTTCGCCTATGATCCTGTGGCTGCCGCGTTGTCAATGGCTGGCACTTCCTGCACGGCCGTCTATTGCCATTACAGTTGCAGTTGACTGGTTAATTAACCGCAGCACATGGGCAGCTTATGTGGCCGGCGTTACGCACACCACGTGACACTTTAATGAGCAAAGTTTCGCCAAAGTGTAATTAAGTGCGCTCCGCATCGATCAGTGCAGCCGAAACAAAGCGGGTTCTATATGGTACAATATACTTGCCATATAGTAGCACCCACCATATAGGGTCGTATTCTCTGTGGCGGAATCAATTTTGAACGAGCACCATAAATAAGCGAGGAGCCCCTTCTGCCGCAAGTGGGTGCCACAAAAGGGGGGATTTAAATACTTATTAGCACATAAAGTGGCATTATGCGGCTGCCAATAAAACGCGAGTGCGAAATCCGCCCAGGCTCGTTACGGCGGAAAATTCTTAATAAGCCCCGAAGCTCCGGGGAAAGCCGCTTTGGCGCCCAGATAGATTGTCTCCGGGAACCTGGGGGACAGAGACAGGGATTGGGACAAAATGTTGACAGCTTCTCGGCTTGCTGCTGCTGTTGCCATTTTGCCATTTTACCAGCTCACCACTCTTCATTCTGCTGGCCTATCTGCTGTCTCGGCCCAGACATTCTCTGGCAACTGTTAATTGAAAAAGTTTTGCATTCTCACATGGCGCACATGTGCACACACCTGTCTGCCTGACGGATAAGACAAGGCGCAGACAAACAGACAACCGACAGACAGACAGCCAGGACTTTCGCCCCGAAAACTTGGGATACAATTAAAAAAAAAGCGAAGAAATTCTCAGAAAATGACAATTTACGAAAAACTCAAATTTCGAGATTTTGGCCTAATGATGTGCACTCCGTTTCAGCCTGTTCAGCACACGAGTGCTGCTGTCATTCGGCCTAATGGTCACACAACTGCCACATAATTCTCGGTCTCCCTCCCGGGACATATGCTAACGAGCTGGGCGGAAGAGTGGAAGGGGCGGGGCACCACCAGGTTATATCTCAAGCATTTCGCCAAGCGCTGTTAAGAGTCAAGGCTAGCAAAATGGATGCAACAAATTCAAAAACTTTAATTCATTTTTTTAAGCACTCTTTTTGTCTGCATCAGGCGCTGTCTAAACGGCTGCTGATAACCAGCACAAGGACAGTGGGTAGAAAATGATGTAAAATATGAGAAATAAATATGAAAAATGGTAAAAAAAATAGTAAAATATATAGAATAGAGGGAGAAAAATTCAATATTTTTTTTTTGAATTTTTCTAGCGTTGATAGAGATGTTTACATATTTCTAAAGATATTTTCTAGTTCCTGTTCACTGTAAAGTCTCATGTGAGATGTGGTTGGGCCCCCGTTGAAGTGCCTGCAATTTCAGTTTATTGCAGTCGAGTGAAGAGTCCCATGTGTGTCTGGTTTGGTGGGTGGGTTGGTTGGATGGTTCGTCTTAGATAAACGCAACTAAAACCCGGGCTGACAAAGTTTCAGCTTACCTGCAAGTGCGTGTCTTTGGGAGCCTGGCCAGGGGGCACTTAGCTGTCTAGGTTGCTTCAGTTCAGCTCGATGGCTGCCACTAAAAGCCAAAGCAGCAGCCAGGCCACTTGGCAGTTGCAATTAGCAGCGAGAGCGCTGAGCAACCAGGGCATTGTCAAGTGCAACCGGCTTTTGGGTCTCCGCTAATTATGGCCATTTTTTTCCTTCCATATTTAACTCACTTTTATGCAGCTCCTTTTAACACACTTACCCTCGGTTACTTTTGCTTTTATTCCAGCAACTCCTCGGGCTCCAAGGAGGCCTCCACGCAGGCGGCGGCAAGTCAGAGTGGCGGGGCGACCAGTGGCCAGGATGCGGCTGCCGGAGCTTCGGGCGGAGCGGCGGGACCCGTGACATCGGGCACCGTTTCCACCCGAAAGCCCGTTCCCCACGATCGCTATGTGGATCTGCAGAAGCACATAGTGAGTGACGAGTACTCGCATGTGATTGTGGACAATGCACCGGATGTAACCAGGGACAATCCCACGCTCGCCGAGATGCTGCATCGCAAGGCCAGGTGAGTGGCAAATACACATAAAAATAAAAACCAGGGGCGAAAAAATTCAATTTCCCTTAAGCGGAAGGACATAATGCTTACAGTTTTTTACCCCGGGCCCCGAGCCACTTTACCCCGGCTACGAGGTAATTGATAGTCGGGGGTGATGGGGGGTTTTACGGTTCCATCAAGGAAAGGATAGTAAAACGAGAGGAGTACGGCAAGCAGTTACGGCACTTTTCGGGCTTCAACGGAATTGAAATGATTTTTATTGAAATTTACGCTCCATTTACGTGACACATTTACGTTTTAGACATTTAGTCTCTACACTTGGCAAAAATGAAATATTTGCCTTTTCAAACGGATGTGGATTAAAAATATCCTTTAAATTAAAGAGAGAACAAAGAGAGTTACCCGTTAAATAGATGGATATATGCATGCAGCAAAGCAAATGCTTGAAATCCATTATTCCTTATAACTTTTTAATAAATAGTTTGATTTCAAAATTTTTTCTACATTTTGATAGATATTAATAAAATATACTAAATGGTTTTAATGTAAACATTCATTTCATTGAAAAATATTTAAAAAATCTTAATATAAACAAAGTCAAATATTTGTTTGGAACATGATATCCTTAAAACTGAACTTTTTTTAATCGGCTTTTATTTTTCTAAGTGTATGCCCCACAGAAATTTCTCTATGCCCACATCTTTACGGGCATGTCTCTATCTGTCGCTGGTAAGTGTTGCCTGATTGTTGTTGCCGGTGGCAACGGTTCTGTTCTGTTCATCCTCCCGGATGCCGACCGCCGATAACGTTGATGAGAGTTTGCCTTGTCTCAACATGGCGTATGCGTAATTTCATGCGAGCACAATCAAATAAAAGTGCAATAAAGAAATCAATGTGGATTTGCACCGCACCCACACATCGCTTATCGGCGTCACCGTCGGCGGAATCTCTTCCGTTTTTCCCCTTCTCGGGTTTCCCACTCCTGAGACAGCAATGAAATTTATTTCGACGAGTTTTCATTTGATTTTCTTTGTCGGTAATCAGCTTAGTTTTCTCCATCTTCCCCTTCGGCGACTTTCCCTTTGCCTTTACAATGCGTTGTCGAATCGTTTTGGCAGTTTTTATTGAAAATTGAATACGTAGCGTATGAGTAATTTCATTTGCTTCAATAGTTGCCGAGCATTGCCCCAGCTGAAGTTGCACAAAAATTGGGGGCGTAGTGGAGGGAAAGTGGAGAGAATCGAAAATAGCTAAAATGCAAAGTGGCAAAAACTTGTCAAACTCAAGTTGTTGTTGCTGTCGTTGTTGTTGTTGTTCTTGTTTCGGTAGCGGTGGGTCGGTGTTGTCTGAGTCTGGGTTGGCTAAGTGTGGGCGTCGGCATTAGCATAAAATGCTTGATTTTCTAATTTATAGCACATCACCGAAAAGCAAGCCGGAAAGTTTGTTCCTTTTTTTTTGATGGTGTGTCGCACGTAGCAAAATGCAAATTTCATTAACAAGCGAAATTGCTGCCAGTAAATGTGCAGGGTAAAAGAAAAACCGGCAGTGGGTTTAGGTTTATATGGTTAGCCGGCGCAAGAAGTTGGGATGCTCTTGCAGCTGAAGTGCAAATTTTATAGTGGGAATTTGTTTGAAAATTATTTACGATACTTTGATTTTAGATACTATGAGGTTTGGCTTTGTTTTAAAAGGAGCTACATTTAAATCAAAAAATCATTTCTAAATTTTAGATATATATTTTTTAATCTAATCAATTATTTTTCTAATTTTTGTAATGCATTTTTAAAATAACAAATTATTTTTATAAGAATTTTGAACACAACCCCCAGTTCATTACTCCCAAATGCAGTTGAAAAAATCCCCACATCCTTACAAAATATCCTTTTACAACTAATCAGCCCAAAAAGATAGAAAGATCTGAGTTAGCTGAAACAGGATCAAGGCAGAGCCCAGCTGCATCTCCACCTGCTCCCGATTCCTCCACTCCTGCTGTCGCCTGTCGCTCGTTCCTGGCGATATCTCATTAAAATTCTGTCGCCAAACTCCCCACATGCTCGACGTGCTCCCCCCTATCTTCTCTTAGCCTGCGGCTTAGTCAGCACTTTTTGGGCCCCGAGCTCAGGTAACAATGCAGAATGCAAGAAAAGACTACAGCGGGTGAAAAAAAGAATGTGACAGAATGCAAATGCGCCTAAAATTACTAGATGAGTTATTACCAGCAGCTGCTGAAGAGTCAGGTGTACAACAAACTCGGCAAACGACTACAAAAGCCTGTCCGGCATTAGCCGCGTATATAATTACGGCAAAGTTGCCGCTGATTCAGCCCAACTTGCAAGTCCCAAGTCCCACCAAATCCCGAGGTCGTGACAGTCGTGTCCTCCGTGCGGCTTGCGTTTAATTAGTATGACAAATTTTTAATTAGCCTGCAACGGGCAACGAGCGGCGACAGAAATCTTATTTCGGGCGAATTACACTCGGCTAAAAGGGAGAAACAGCTGAAGTTTAACCAGCTGTCGGTCAGGATGCGAATCCTGAATCCGGAATCCTGAGTCCTGAGAAGAATTCTGCGAGCGCCGGGGTAATAAAAGACTATGCTCAATGTCGACGAGTGTGTAAAACTCGGGAGCTTGCTGACATTTCGGATGGCGAAGTGGTCGTGGATGTGGAAGTTTTCCTACCACGCCCCCTTAGCTTTTCCCGCCTTTCCTTTTGCGCGGATCCCAGCTGCAGTTGGTCTGCTGTCATTGGTTTTAATGTTCGCGCTCTTGCCGCTGAAGTTGAAGTTTTATCCCCGGCTACAATATAAGTTTAATTTCACTTTCCTTTTTGCTCCTTGCCAACCCACCAACTGGGCTCAAAAGTGTCCGGGCTGCAGTCCCGGCTCCGTCCATTTCGATGGCTCCTCGTTGGTCTTGGCGGCCGCAAAATTTCACACGCACAAACTTTTTGCTCCTCTCCATCTAAGCAGCACTTTTGCGGCTCTGTGGCTGCGGCTGCGGACGCATCTGCTCGGGGAAAACGGGAAAACTTTACTGACATTTTCTTATGGCGAAATAATTGCGGAATGGGGGAGGGGTTCGGGCTCGGTGGTATAGACTTGAGCAAAGGCCAGGACATGCCGGCTGACAGCTGTTATTATAGTACCCACTTCGCCGGGGCGGTATAACACCGCGGATAACAGGCGGCAGCAGGAACAACAACAAGTGAAAGCCAGTCACTCGGCCAGTCATAATCCCGGGTAGAAAGTTTCCCTCAGAAGTGAGATCTCTGTGGTCTCAGCTCCAATCCTGTGGCAAATGAAATTTAATATTACATTAATTAGTAATTCCTATCGGAACGGAAAAGTTAAGTTTGGTCTGAGGTGAGGATGGTATCATCACAGCAGGTATCTCAGTATCTCAGCCTTGAAACTTATGTTTATTATTAAGCAGTCAGTCAGAATAATGTTAAATTATGCTTGTAAAGCACGTGTTACATCATTTTCAAGGCTAGTACTACGAGCACCTCACTAATTAATATTTACTACATTTCTTCTTGGTAAACAAAAAGCTGACTTAAAATATCTTTTCACCGCTTTTCGCGTTTATCTTTGGCTAAAGTGCGCGAAATAATTTTCAGCTGTAAGCAAAGTTTATTCCTGGCCATCGCCATGGCAGCGGCTTTCCACAGGACTCAGTCTGCAGGACTCGGGATTCTCTCGTTATTTCAGATTTCGCCTGCCCTGTCAAATCGTCAAACCGAGCGCAATTAAGCTGATTAGTGAGCGTCATTCAGAGAGGAGCTTGCCGTCCGTCGTCCCTCCGCTGACATAAATAAATTTAATTTCCGCTAAACATAACTCAAAGTAAACTTTTGACGCAAGTAACCGCCAGGAACGTGCAACTGCCGAGCGGACAGCTGGAAGGGAGGGGAAATACGAGGGGGGTACTACCAATTATATGAAAATCTCTTTTTCAATTATTTTTTTTCGCAGCGTTTCTGTTTTTGCGTTGCGGTACGTTGTTGTCATCGTTGTTGAGCTGTCAACGCTTTGCATAACAAAGTTTTGCGCGGGCTTAGACCATCGAGAAAGGGGAGGAGGTGTAGTAGGGGTGGGAGGGGGTTGTGGGCGGTGGGTTGAAGGACGGTAGGGCCGTTTTAGGTGGTGGTGGCCGACTGTCACTGCGGTTGTCAGCGTTTGTGAGTACGAGTGTGTATGAGTATGTGCTTGTGGGCCACGTGTCACGTGCGCTTTTGGCGTGCCTTTCCCTCGCACAGCACCACCCCCTTTCGGGGCACCCCCTCACCACCCTTCCCTCACCCTTTTCACTTTCTCTTGTAATGCGATTTTGGGTTTTGTTGACTGCCGGCCGCTGCAACTGATTTACGTGACTCAATTACCAAAGGGATTTGAATTCGCTTCGGCTGGCGCTTTTTCTTTGTTCCACTACTCCAGTGTTTTCGGGCCAAAAAGTGCAACAGCTGGCCGTTCGGACGAAGCCGCAGACTCACACAACATATGGCCACTCTGTGGACGCCGGCCAGTGCTTAGTCAGTGTCCGGATCGGGAGGCTTCATCAATTACGCAGCTCCAGCTCCGGATTCCATTGGCCACGGCCACTGGCATGAGGTTCCTACCCGGCTGCTTCGGCTTCGGCTTCACCGCAGTTGACAAATGAAGCATGAGCTGAAATTTGACTGTGCCAAGCTAACACGTTGCCCTAGCATACTTTGCGGCACACTGCCAAAAAAAACTTTAGATTTTTTAACATTCAAGAAAATTCTGCACATAAAATTCCATCTTACTAAATTTTAGATTTTGATATTAATTTGATAAAAAACATTAAAACCATAATAAGATTTAATTTAGAGAAATTAGAAAAGAGAAATTTTAATTTTAGTTTATCACTATAAAATTTAAAAATAAATCTTGTTTTTAAAAAAGTTTTAAATTATCAATACTTTAATAGGCTACCATCTTGAATGATATAATAATTTAAAAAAAAGAGTATGAACTAATATGTACAGTGTATTTAAGGTGCATTTAGAAAAACGTTGTATTGTTCTCCCTAAAATGAACGTTTTATTTTTGGAATCCATTTACTTTTCTTCTGATTTGATATCTTCGCCAGCACCAGGGAATGTCCATTTTTTTCAACCGCGTTTCAAGACAGATGACAGGGGCAATTGGGTATTTAAAAGCAATTATATTAAATTTTCCAGACCTTTGGTGGGACTTTAATCCAGCCGATTTAAACCTGTTTTGGTTTCCTGATGTAGCTCTTTTCCTGAAGCTCAGCCTGAACCTGATAGAACCCTCGTCACTCCTGTTGGCCCTTCCTTGGCCTGCGAATCCTGGTCATTGTCACCGGATTGTGAGCACTTTTACGCCACCAGGTAAAGAAGGAGCAGGAGGAGGAGGAGGTGAGGAGCTGAGCTCTTTGGCCGTCGGGAAGTTGTCACCATTTCCATAAAACGCTGATATATTGAAAGTCATTCGGGGCACGAGAAGGTTGTCTGCCAGACATTTGTTTCCTTCCTGCGCACAAAGGCCAGCGGCATAAAAAGGGTTAGGCGCTGAAGGATAACAGAAGTCGGCGGGCAAATTATGAGTGTGTAAGTAGGGGTGGAACTGGAACTAGAAGAAGAAGTAGCAGTGGAAGAGCCAGGACAATGAGTTATGTAGACGCCATTGAGAGCAGCATTTGGGGGAGCAACGGATATGACTTCATTATCGTGATAAACTTGCAGCACAATGGAGCTGACATCGCTGCTCATTCCTCACTTTTGACTGACCAACCGAGTGCAGAGTGGAGTGTCGAGTTTTGCATTTCAATTTGTCGTTACTCGTTACTCCTGACTGCTGACTACTGGTATAAATTGTTGTGCATCGAGCATTGTGCATTGCGCAATATAGCAACATTGCAACGGGAAAGCTAATGCTAATACCGATGCAGAGCACTTTGCAGCTTAAATTCTGGCAGGGCTCTTAGTGCTTAACCAGCACAAATTGGACTAAATCTGAAAGCGTAACTGCAAGAGCTTAAGACAAAGGCATTGGCCATGTGAGCGGCACATGTCAAAAGAGCAGTGCAAAGCATAATCGGTAAGGAAAAGATATTTTCCGACAATTGCCAGTACCACCAGCTAGCTATCCGGCTAGCTAGCAACAGGAAAAATCGACCACCAAAGATTACGGCTGGCTGATGTGGGGGTGTCTTGGCATTTGCAAACCAAATTGTCATGACAGCAGCGGCAAGGAAAAGGGGCAAAGGAAAAGGCAAGGGAAAGGGAAAAGGCAAAGGAGCAGGGCATTGCTTTGACAAATCAATGTGAGAAATCTTGATATGCAGCCCCAAAGCATGGCATACTTATGAGGGAGCCCCGAGAACTGGCAGCACTGGGAAAAAAAATATTCCAATTTTAAATGTTTAAATATAAAAAAATAAAAAATAAATGATATCAATGATTGCTGTTTTGGTTAATCACAATCAAAACGTAGAAGAAATTTTTCAAATCGGATTTTTCGTTTAAAAGTTATGAACAAATGAAATGCAAGCAGTGCATGCAGTCTCTTTTCTGCATGCATATCTCCGTCTTCCTCGCTCTCATTAAGCTGAGTATCTGATAGTCGTTCTCTCTTGTTTTAAAATTACTTAAATATAAAAATTCCTCTATGTAAAGGTAATCATTTTTGTTTCCAGTGCTAAAACTCCAGCCTGATTGTCCTTATGGCTTCCTTTGCCTGCAAACGACAGCTGGCTCTTGGCTGCGATGCCCGATTTTTACTTACATTTCTATCATTTTGTTTCCTTTCCCCTTGGCCCAACTCTATCTAAACGCCGACTACCATCTCTTTGCAGTGCAAATGCCAGCAATTTGGAGCGCTTCCAATTGCGCATCACGAAGAAGGAGCTGTACGGCGAGCAGGACACTCTGGTGGATGCGGTGCTACGTGACATGATCAAGCTGCCAATACAGCATGTTGGTAAGACAGTCTGCTTCCGTTTTCCCGTTCTGCCCGTCTACCGATTCACCGTTTTACCGCTCACCGTTCTGCAATTGTGGGATTGTAAAGTCATAAATACTGGCCAAGTTTGTTGCCTCGACCTTAGGGGAATTTACAGGCGAAAAAGGCAGAAAAAGGCGAGAAAGACTCAGCTGCACATTTAACTCAATTATGTAGAGCTTGGCGGCTGGCATTATTGAGGTGCCGCTGCGAAACTATTTTCATAGCAAAGTTTTTCCAGCGCATTCATTAAACTCATAATTTATTAATAATAAACTTTTAACAGCGGCAGCTCGGAGCTGCGAAAAGAAAACTCATTTGCAGTTAAGGGAAAAACCAAAAGAGAGGGGCCAGAATGCAACAATGACACTGTGGCAGCATAATTGCTGCAACTTTGGCTTTGTGCTGCCTGGCATTTATCACGTATACGCCGCGTACACAGGCCACACTCTAGAACAGACAAACACGCAGGACTTTGGTTTTAGGGAAACTTTTAAGACATAATTCATAACAGTAATATGGGGCCCATTTTCATTTGTTTGCCTTAGAATAAATTCCCATAAAATGCATAAAATGCGGTCCGAGTGCGGCAGGAGTTTTTGGTTTTACATGGTAAATGGTATATGGTCAGTAGTCAGAAACATGGCTACAATGATCAAACTATTCGGTTCACTTCACACACTGAATCGCAAACAAGCCAAGGCGGCTTTTATTTCTGGCTCCTTTGTGCGGTTGCGTATACGCAATATTTGTGTGCTCTTTGAATGCATTTTAATTGGTATTTAGTCGAGTGTAATTTGTTTATGCAGTCCGCTTGGGCTGCAATTTTTGCAGACGGTGATCGGTGAAGTGAGAATGGCATGAATTTCGGTTCGGTTTTTGCTTCAATTAATTTCGAGTGCGTGATTAATTTACATTCATTCCTCTTCGTCCCTTTGCAGTGCAAAAGGAGGGCGGCACCCAGCTGAAATTGATCATCGAGTACCCGAACGACATCAAGGCCTTAATGAAGCCGATGCGGTGAGTTTGGCCAACGGATGGGCGAAGATTTCCCGGTCTGTCGCCGCTTAATGCATTTGTCCCGCCACTGCTCCGCGTCCGTAATGAATGCAACTTTTCGCCCACTTGTCGACAACACTTTTCGCGCAGCCGAGTAAATAAAATTGCGCTTTTTATTCGCTGACTTTCCTGCGGCCTGTCGATGAAAATTCCACGTCCATTGCCGTCGTTTTGCGGTGGCACTCGAAGCTGCTGGCAAATTTAAAACATTCATGCACTTTTTAATGAGATTTAAACGCGTTGGCTTGGTCAACGTGCTGGTTTCCCATTCCTTTTCACTTTCTCCCCTCTCTTCTCAGAAGTCCACAGTTCGCGCAGCTGCCAAAGTGCAAAGTGTCCTTATAATGCCATTCATTTGCAATTTAAATGAAAGCGTTTTTTTGTTTTTAAATAAATATATGTATTTTTTTTAAATAGCACTCCCTTTCGTGTAAGTAATTAAGCTGGCACGTAGCACGTAGCAATGCAGGTCCACCGTGGGAAAATTCAAAGTGGCCCCACGCAAATGCATTAAGCCGGTGACAGAGAAGCCCGCAGTTTCTATTCATTTCATTATGCCGCCTCCCCACCTCTGATCCTTTGCATTTGCATTTCCACAGGTTTCCGCGGGAGCAGCAAACGCTGCCCAACCATTTCTACTTCACGGACTACGAGCGCCACAACGCCGAGATTGCCGCCTTCCATCTGGACAGGTGAGTGCCAACTTTGTACTTTCCCAGCTTCCTGCTCCTGTTCCTCCTCCTGTTCCTCATCCTGTTCCTGCTGCTGTCCCCAGCTCCAAGCTTCCTTTTGGCCACCTCGCCACCCGGGGGCATTCGAGTGCATAAGAATTCCGTTGCGAAATCGTTCGATCGAATTAAATCTGCCCCGGCATCGTGTAAATGCCTGGCATACTCTTATTTATTTTTAATTTAATTTTCAATTATACGTAAATATTTATGGTGAACGTTGAATGGTTTGCTACCGCAGCACAAAGGTGGGGAAATCAGGAATATATTGTGCAAAATCAATTTGAAATATTCAATTAGGCAAACCAGACTGCATTCTGCACTGGCTGGACATAACCTGAATTTAATTTCAAACCAGTAAGGAAGATTTTGGACTCCGGAGTCCAAAGCTTGAATACCCTTGTTGACCCGTAAATAAGATAATGCCATTTTATCATTGTTATGTCATACTGCACTGAATTCGTAAAAAATTGCCAATCGAATGGTATTTAAACAAGAAAACTTTAATTTATATAGGAAAATTAAAAATTTGCCAAATTATTATTTTTTTTAATCTACCCTAAATTGATTTTGATTATTAGCTTATGTTATGGGCTGGACAAAACAGTCATCCCTCAAGATCATAAAAATCTAATTCAAATTTTAAACATAATAAAAAATTCGTAATAAAATTCCCACTTCTTCCTTGTGAAAAACTATCACGAAACTATCTTTGAAAGGGTATGAATATTAAAATTACAGCTTAATAAAATTGAGCATTCCTTCGGTCGATAACACAGGCCAACAGTGTTTTTGGTGCAGCCCTATGGGCATTAAATTGTGTTAATATAGACGGATATAAGCATATCTGCATACTTAGTTTTCGAGTTTAACGGGTGGTATTTGTGCAATCGCGGTTTGAAAAAAGTAGCAACATTTTATATTTTCATTTAAGATATCTTCGTGGGTCTGTGCTCAGTTGTAATAAAACCTATGCCAAAAAATTGCTTAGATGCCCTTCTACATAATTGCATTTAAGGTTCCATCATTATTTGAGTTAATAAAAGCCTAAGAGCCATTGAAGTAATTTGTTCACCTCTATTTACAACCAACTTGATGCGGTGAACAGGCTTAAAAAAATACAAGGAAAAATATGTGCCCTAAAATATTTTACATGCATCTAGAGGCGTCTTTTCCCGAATTTTTGAGATAAGTCCCACTATTGTACTTCGAAAAATGGAATTTATAGAATTTTTTCCGTAAGAATGGGAAAAGTAACAAGTATTTTAGAGTCACTCTTACGTAACGAGTGTGTCGTGATTTTACACAGTAGGCTTTTTAAAGATAACAGTGGCGTCGCCTTAAAATTGTGGTGGGGATTTTTTTTTAAGGCATATTAACCCCTTAAAAATATAATTTGTCTATGTTCGGCGCCTACTGCTAACCAAATTGAAAGGCACATTTTTACGAATGTGTCAGATATTTATGTAAAATGGGATTTAAAAATAGTTGTTACTTTTTAAGTTCTTACGGAAAAAATTCTATAAATTCCATCCTTCGACGTACAATGGTCTTATTTGTCTTAAAAATTCGGTGAAAGATGCCTCTAGATGCCTGTAAAATATTTTAGGGCATATATTTTTCCTTGTATTTTTTTAAGCGTGTTCACCGCATCAAGTTGGTTGGGAATAGAGGTGAACAAATTACTTCAATGGCTCATAGGCTGTGATTGACTCAAATTATGATGGAACCTTAAGTGCAATGATGTAGAAGGGCATCTAAGCAATTTTTTGGCATAGGTATTATTACAACTGAGCACAGACCCTCGAAGATATCTTAAATAAAAATATAAAATGTTGCTACTTTTTTCAAACCGCGATTGCACAAATACCACCCGTTAAACTCGAAAACTAAGTATGCAGATATGCTTATATACGTCTATATTAACATGTTTTAATGCCAATAGGCCTGCACCTTTTAATAAAGTCCATTTTGTTGACCTGTGTAATGGTGTAAATTTCCTGGTAGCAATGCTCAATTTATTTTCGCTACCACATTTCACATTTATGGCCCCTCGAAAGTTATTCGTTTTTTTAGTGCATGACAAAGCAATCAAATTAACCAATTTGTCCGCCAAGTGAACCGGTCCCTTGGCCAACATTCGGCATTCAAATTTATAACACTTTGGATGCCTGACCCTCTGCGATTAGAATCCCAATAATCCTGACACACACACACACACATACTGAGGTCAGACCGCAGTCAATTTATGTCCATTATTTATGATGGCCGGGCCAAATAAAATAAAAAATGTCCATACATTTACCCGTTCGGGGGAGGCCAAGGCCAAATGGCGCCATTAAATGATGTTTAAGAATATATTTTTCAAAAGGCAAAAAGCTGTGTGGCGCCCCCAGCTCATGTAAATGATGTGGCCACATAACCCAGCCGACTGCCAACCGGGCTATCTGCGCCCTTTCATGGCTAATTAACTCGGCCAAGTGGCCTGACATGTCCAGCCGTAATTTAGACTGGAATTGTCTGCATAGTTAGCAGCTGCTGCTGCTTGGCTTTGACAAAACTTTGACGGCCAGGTTAATTGCCGGGGGATTTTTGAATTTAGATAAGGCGTCATAACTTGTGTAATTGTTGTGGCTGCCAAACGCACGCACATGCGGCAAAGTCCCAACCCATCGAGTTGGCCAACTCTCCTGTCGATTGGCTGGCCAAACTCCGGAGGATTGCCAGGACGAACTTGTGCTAGCCCGTCCTGTCAGCCCACTAATGGAGTGGATGGAGTGTGTGATGGAGTGGCTCCGGGTGGGTGATGGAAATTTACGGCATTTTCCCATTGACCCCAGGCTGCCGTCGACCCCCAGACAATGGAACATGCTTCATGTTGCCAAATAATTTCGATAATATTTTCTGGTCAGTCCACCGCCTCCACACACACATATTCCCGACCATAAATCTCACCGAAAAACCCTTTCAGATCCCCAAAAGAGATTAACCGTGACTCGCCGGAAAGATTGCTGAAATTTTCATTCATTGATTTGATGTCGAATCTATTTTTTACTCAGCCATCCCGATTTGATTGATGAAAATCAAGCTGGAGAGTCGAACCGGCGAGACGAGACTGAAGCTCGGGTTTCACTCAATTAGCTCAATTGTTGTGCGGTTGGGTTTCCTTAAATAAACATGGAATTATTTTCCTTATTGTATTATTCCCAATCGTCTCCCTGACAACAGTCCACAAATATTTTTCTTATTCTTGATCACGCATTCCGCTTCACACGCAGTCTTTTCCCGTCGCCACCCCGAACCATTAAGGAAAAGTTTACTCGCTGAGCTGTTATTTCGTAGGATGTTTCTGTTTATAAGGGGTATTCGATGGGGCCCCTAGGGTATATTGTATTCTGGATTTATAAGAATGATAGGTACTTCAATTTATTTGGAATTTTTAAATCTTTTTTGAGAGTTTTTTTTTGTGAAAATGGGTTTTTAATTATTTTTGGGTATCTGAAATTTATTTTTATAACAGGATATCTCATAGTCGGGTAACTTCTCCTCCCCAGCTGCACCCCTTAATTTTTTCTGCCATTTTGTTAACCGCTTTTCTGCGCCTCTCTTCCATTTCAGGATCCTGGGATTCCGGCGTGCCATGCCCGTGGCCGGCCGAACGCTGAACATTACGACCGAAATTTATCAACTGGCCGAGGAGAATTTATTGAAGACGTTCTTTGTTTCGCCATCGCTGAATTTATGCTTCCATGGCAAGTGCTCGTACTATTGTGACACCTCGCATGCCATTTGCGGCAACCCGGACATGCTGGAGGGCTCCTTCGCCGCCTTTCTGCCCAACTTTGAGTCGGGCAATCGCAAGGTATGTATTCGAGTCATTCCATCTCCATCTCCATTCCCATCCCTATCCCCACCAGCAACCCAGGTCGCAGACACTTCATCCAGCATCCAAGAGCACGCATGTGGGTTTGGGTATGGGTATTTGGGGATCATGTCTGTGGGCCTGGCTAAGTGGTTTTTGATTAATGCACGGCCAGCTTCAACACTGCGCCAGATTACAATTTATGCTCCGCCCGCTTTCATTACCAATTTCGTGCGCCTGGCCGGGCCAAATAACAAATCACTTTATTTACTTAGTCTGTAGTCCGTAGTCTGTAGTCTGAAGTCTGTAGTCTCTAGCCTGTAAGCTTTGTGTGTGTGGTTCGCAACAGGTGAGCTATGGACTGGGTGGTGGTCAGTTCGCAGAATTACATGAGCCCCGAACAACTCACTTAAGGCTTAGAGGGAATTTTAAATGGCGCTAGCGCTGGCTGACTGGCCCAAAAAGCGAAAAGAACTCACTTTTAATTTGCATAATTTCTGTTGTTCGTATGCCTTTCATCCTTTGTTTGTGTGCCTCGGACTCGTTTACCTTTCACCATTACCCTCACGCTCCCCAGCGAGCCACTTCATTCCCATTCCCATTTCATTTATTCGTTTGGCCGTTGAATTAAGAGCAGAAATATTGTATCAGTTCTTCAGCGGCTGGTAAAGCGTAAAATGGAATATAAAATGCAGGAAACCCAGGGCTCAGTCGTTGGCGTTAATAAATTCTAGAGTCCACTCCATCAACCGAAAAAACACAGAGCGGCAATCCGGGGGAAAATGATGAAAACAGGAAAAAAGGGACAACGGCAACAGCTTTTAAATGCAAATTACCGAAAAATTAAAGCCCAGTCCTGTCCACTTCAGGACTTTAGGACTGCCTCAGTTGGCGAGCTGCGGCCATAAAAAGGGTTCATCTGACTCATCCCTCAGATTTGCCGCAGCAGAGGCATTTTATTTTTAGTCTATTTTATACATAGATATATATTTTTTTTAGTATCCCTATTCCTGCCCCGAAGCCTCAAAGGAATAATTCTCTTTATTTCCCCCCTTTTTTTTGCGGCTCGCTCTCCAAACAGTTTACAAGTAGAAAATGGTTAAGTGTATACTTGAGATTTGGCGTAAGGCAAAACTGTAAATTATGCACAAGAGATCATTTTTCTTTCTCCTTTTCTGCAGCCCCCTTTCTTTTCCCCTTTTTCCGGTAAATCTCTCCCCTTTTTGCTGTTAAGGTTTTCTTACTTTCCTTTTCCGGCCTGACTAAGTTTTGTTTTCCCCAGCGCTGTAAACAACGAGCAAATTTTTTGTAACTGAACAGAATTTTAATTAAGTTGCAAATTTGATTTGCACGCTTGTTAAATGCTTTGGGAATTCAGTTAGGGGGGTTCTACGGGCAACTAAATTGGAATGACTGAAATGAAAAGGGGAAAATAATGATGATAACTTAACAATTGATTAGATTAAGCGAGGATAAAGTGGAATTGAATAATTTTACTGATATCTTTTAAATCCAAGGGATTTTAAGATAACAATAGGACATTTCATTTAAATAGGCTTATTCATTTGAAATTTATTTTACCTATAATAAATTTATCAATTAAAGATTGAAATATACCTTAAAATAATTAAAAGGAAAGAAACAAGCTTACACTCGAATTCAGCAATGAAATATACCATGGCATACTTTAAGGCATCTTCAAAAATAAATAATTAGATTAATCTAATGTTGAACTGACCTCAAATTGTTAATTTTTAGCAACATTCCATCCCAATGACTAAAACTTTTTGGGACTCATAAATAATGAAATATTATAAGAATTTATTCATTACTAAATTGTTCAATCCGATATTAATTTAAAATCAATTAACACTGGCAACAATGCATTCTGTGATAATCCGCCGATTTATGGGTTCATTTTCATAAAAGTCATTGCATCTTAAAGCTTTTCCATCGCGTTCCACGAATTTATCAAGTCCATTTAACGCGCAGCTAACAAAAATTGCAAATTGCTTGCCTCACATTCTATCTTTTTTTTGCCCCCTTTCCATTTCCCGCTGCTCTTATAAAATTTAATTTTGCTTGATTTATGCATATTTTTTTTTCGGCTAAGCTAAGGTGAACAGTGGAGCTAAAGAGCGCTATGAGAACCCAAAGCCCCGAACCGCCCCGCTGTCACCATGGCAGCGTTAACTTACCTGAGTTTTCTGCTTTATGTTTGCTTCTTTCACGTTTTTTTTTGTAGCAGTTTGTTGCTTTTCCCCCAGTTTGCATTTTCCGCTTTCTGTTTGCCTTGCTTTGCTTTGCACCGCCTGCTGCATTCTTGGGACCGTTGGCCCCCTGCGAAAACGCGAGAACCCCCCTTCGGCGCCCCTGCTTCCGGTCATTACACACTCCGCCTGCGACGACGCCACGCCCACTCAGCACAAAACGCCCAACGCGCCGAGCTTTTATTATGCATTTTTGCGCGCTGCCTTGGCGAACAGCCCCCCTTATTTTTAATTCTTTTATATATATTTCATATATATTTTTTGTGTTGCTGCTCCCGCTCCCGTTTGCCGTTCCTGTTCCTGTTTCTTGTTCCTGTTTCTGTTCCCGATCCCGTTGTCGTTGTCGTTGTTCTTGTTGTTGTTGTCGCTATTGCTGACCCCTGACCCCCCGCAACCCAGGGACGGAAGGTAAGTTGCGGTGGCCACGAAAGTAGAGCGCGCGGGGGTTGCGCAAAAGTTTTATTGCCCGCCTTGGAGGGCGGCGGGCAAATAATTTAATTTAAGCAAAATTAATTTGGCCTGCAGTTGGAAGAATTCGCAAGAAAGTCAGGGAGAGCGAGAGCAGCCATAAAGCAAAATTAATATTTCTACACTCGGGGAAAAACAATCAAGATAACGGGGCTTTGATGAAATGGTGACTATTTCACAGGAGGATTCACAGGGGAGGGAAATGGGTGAAAGGAATTTGGGTATTCAAAAAGTATGCAACAAAAAATGTGTTCTGATTCCCCCACAACCAAATTCTAGATCCGTCACTAGATGACCTAATAAAAAGATATAATTTAAGAGTACAGGTTAAAACTAAATAAAATATTTATTCTCTAAAAAACAGAAAAAAACTTACATTTTGAATTTTAGATAGGACTCTTTTTATCCTTTCCTATCAAGAATAAAATATTTCGCTATTAGATATTTACCTATCCATTCAAGGGCTCCCTTTTAATAAAAAAAACTACATTTCCAAGTGTAAATATACAACCGAATGCCAGCCGCTAAGACAGGCATAACTCGGGCAATTCTGTTAACCGTTTGCTGTTTTTGCCTGCAAGAATGCGAATTGATTTCCGGTTCTCCTCTCCTTTCTCCACTTTCTCCCCAACAGCTGTGGCGGCATCCCTGGCGACGGTCCTACCACAAAAGGAAGAAGGCCCAATGGGAGACAGATGCCAATTATTGTGCCCTGGTATGTATCCTCCAAGTGCCCCAAACCCCCCGCCCTCTTGAGCTGCGGTTTCTTTTATTTAATTTGCATTTAAACTCGATTGAAATGCAAATGTTTTTATTGTGGTCGTAGCGGGGGAGGAGGCAACAGCTCTGTAGCTGACTTAATTAAGACATCGCTGGCCGAGCTGCAGCTTAATTTTGCATTTGATTTTCCCTTTTTCCCCGTGCCACGCCCACTTAGGTCCGGGACATTCCGCCCTACGACGACGGCAGGCGGCTGTATGACCTGATGGACATGGCCGTCTTTGATTTTCTCACTGGCAACATGGATCGTCATCATTACGAGACATTCAAGTGAGTATATATTGGGTGGGCACTGTGGGGTTAAGCCGGATGTCGGTGTGTGTGTGAGTGCTCTGTGTATCTGGGTCCCTGGCATGGTAACTAATGCGATCGGTTTATTTCCGCACACATGGCTTTGTTAGCTTCCTGCCGCCGTATCCTCGGTCTGCCTTTGGCACGTTACGTATGCGCCCCGTGTGCGCCTAAGCGCCTGCATTTGCCGGGGATATGCCAGCACCTGCATGCCAAGCAGCCCAGCAGCCCAGCAGCCAAGCAGCCAAACAGCCGTGTAGCCGCCGATGAGGCAGATGCAGCAGCTGGAAAGATATTTCCAGACCGCCTGCAAAAGGTTGCAAAACATCTCCAGCCAGTAAGCCGCCACTCCAACGCCCCACATCATCGATGCCGAGGCTTTGGAGACCGAGAGCAGGTGCCAGGTGACTTGGCTGGTCTGCTGCTGCTAAATTGTTTGTTATGCAAAAGCGTTTGTTGAGCTTACGGCGATGTCATCGCTGGCACCCAGCAAACACCTGCCTCCTAGTTCATTCCTGACTTTCCTTGAGGGTGGGATAGCCACTTTTGCCAGGCAATTATGCCCCGACAATCTCGCCAAAGGAATGGGATGGGCCTGGCCTGGCTGATTGCCGAATATTCTCTAATTTGGCCCGGCTTTCGTTTGCATTCCCAGGGTCTACGGCAATGAGACGTTCCCCCTGCATTTGGACCACGGCCGTGGCTTCGGGCGGCCCTTCCACGACGAGCTCTCCATCCTGGCGCCCGTTCTGCAGTGCTGCCTGATACGCAAGTCGACGCTCGTCAAGCTGCTGGAGTGAGTATTGCATTAAGTCATGAATTCTACGAGGCAGTCCATGAATTTCACCATTTAATGTGTAGCAGAATTTATGCAGTTTAATAGCATTTCTAGAAAGCTTAGTTTGAAATATTCAAATACTTCTTAGGCGAAGCCAATAATCAGAGTTTCAGTAAATCGGATTTAAAATAGTTATTTAAATACCAAATATATGTATGAATTACTTAATAATTAATTTGCCAATGTGTATTTATATTAATCAAACATTGCAGGGCCGAGCTGCTTTCTCCTGATTTTAATAATATTATTTGTTTGGCGATGCTAAATTATTCACAAGCTTGAATTAATTGTTTACTTATCCATGGATTACAAAAAAATCAACTAAAAATATAAATTAATAGCAAAATTAAATGAAAATCCTTTAAACTCACCTGCAGGTTCCACAATGGACCCAAGCTGCTGTCTCAGCTGATGAGCGAGTCCCTGAGCCAGGATCCCGTGAGTCCGGTGCTCTGGCAGCCCCATCTGGATGCCCTGGACCGGCGGACCGGCATCATCCTGCAGAGCATACGGGACTGCATAAAGCGAAATCCACCAGGCGACGTGGACGGATCCGAGACGGACCTCTCCTCGTAGCGATGAGGCTACGACGAGGAGACCGCTCGAGTGAACCCAGAAATCATCCTAGAGCATTAGCTTAAACCCCCTAGCTGTTAGTCGCGTGTCCTGTGTGTTGAAACTAAAACAAAAAAACAATTAGCGTTAATGTTGGTGGCAATCGGTCTTTGAAAAAGATCAGCGTCCTAAGTGAAGGAAAGGAATCCCTGTCGCTCTGTCTGCACATACCAAAAATGAGAGGAGGGAGATGGAAAAGGCCAAGAGCCGAGGGCGGAAATGAATTCACTCTAATGTTTATACTTTCACCTAGATTGTTTGTCGGGCAGCTGGAAAAGCATTGATTGGCAATGAAAATTGAGTACCTCCCACCCAATCGCACACCCTAATCTTACCGAGCACTATCGTACGCTTACAGTGGGTGCCAAAAGTAAACAAAGACACAGTGTGCAAACAACCTGAACGAGAAAGTAAAAACTAATGCCAGCAAGAGCGCCAGAAGGAAACTCGTTCAAAAGACTATAAAACATAAACAAGAAGAACTAAAACTGAGAAGGAAAACTACAAAAATTGAAACTATTTTCTAAATATTTATTTATAATTTTTTCATACATTTTATGACTTTTATGTGCATACACTTTTCCCGTATGCAAACATACCCAACCCCCAGACCCCCGCCCATTCTCAAGAAACGTTGTTGCAAGTTTAGTTCGTAAGTTGACCTAACTTTATGATCGATATCAGGCGTAGCTTTATCCGATTCAAGGATCGTCTTATTAGTTAGTCCAATCAGTTCCAGCGAGAATCATGTACTTCACCATGTGGGAAACAAAACGAAAGAAAGAGAAAAGAACTACTGTTAACAAACTAATTATTACTATTATTGCGTACATAGCTAAGTTAAATTTGTTTTTATTATTGTAACGTTTTTCAATTGTACCTTGTGTGGTTGATATAGAGAGCATTAATTGGCCAAGAGACAGGTGGATAGAGTGTGAAAACTATGAAGAGACAACAACAAAATTGTGTTAGAATTAGTAAAATTTTAGTGAAAATTTCAGATGTAATTAATAAAAAAAGTACCAAAGAAATCGATGTGTGCTCTAATTTATTTATGGTTTTTATACAGGAAGCCAAAGTAAGTTATCGAAGTGTTCTCGAAATAAAACAAAGTGCCTAAAGAGAGTGGCTCTCTCGATAATTCGATCGCTGCTCAATTGGGAACAGTATTATCAGCGCTCTCTGGTATTTCGCACTGCTGGAGGCCTCTCTATAAAGAACCATAATACCGGCTACCCAGCAGCTGTTGGGGTCAGTTTTCTGATAGCTCTGATCCGAGCACGTTGTGTGATTTTTATTGTCGTGTAGCATTATCAATTAAGTGACCAAGTGAGTTTGTTTACTTATACTAGTTTTTTTTCTTTTTGGTTAATTGAATTAAATCTATAAAAATGAAATGGAAAATAAGAGTTCAGCTGGCAGATCAAGTGTTAAAAATAATGTGACGATTATGCAATCGCTGGGCGGAACCGCACATTCCAATGTCGAGTGTCGCTGCGGCCGCCGAGAAGTGATTGTTTATTTGGCGTAAGGTCCCAAACCGCCTATCACCCATCGCCCCACTGCCCATATCAATTATTTAAGGCAGTGCAACTGACGTGTCTCAATGTAAATGAGTGCGCGATTTCCATGGGGGATTCGCTCTGACTCTGACCATAAAGAAGGCAAATCAACATAGCCCACCTTATGCTAATATCCGAGCTAATCAACTTGCAGAAAATGTCGGCCCACTCCGTTGTTGACCTGCGCTCGGACACCGTTAGCCAGCCCACGGACAAGATGCGGGAACGGATGGCCAATGCCGTCGTGGGGGATGACGTCTACGGCGAGGATCCCACCGTAAACGAACTGGAGGCGCGGACAGCGGCCATTTTCGGCAAGGAGGCGGGCATCTTTGTGCCCAGCGGTACCATGGGAAATCTACTGGCAAGTGAGTGGCAACTACACGGGGCTCGTAAATAAACCCCGGCTCATTTTGGGTCTCTGCTAGTGGATTTCCGTAGTGGGGAATCGCTTATGTTTATTAGTTTAAACCGAGGCCAGTCTCAGATTACACAAAAGCCAAGGTGGGGTCGTTGCGAAAAGGTGAAAGAAACAAGAAAGCAGAGCTCATATCATGCATCAGGTACATTATCGTAAAGGCTAAGGGCAGCCATAAACATAACATTAATTTTTATAGACTTTAATATTAGACGTGGACGTGTGCCGCCCCGTTGGCGAGCGAGGGACAAGGAAAAACAGAAGGATAAAGGACGAAAGCCCAAGGAGCCACCGCTCCGCTCCGGGCATCGCAATCTCGAGTAATTTATGCATTCGCTCAAATTAATATTTCTAATGGAATTTGAAGTTTGCATTTCATTCAAAAAGAAACTGCACTCAGACTTGCGATTGTGCTAATTTTTCACGAGGGTTGCTCATTAAATATTCGGCTATAAAAGGTGAAATTCAAGGAGGTACTTCCGGTTTGGAATAAATATTTTTATTATAGTTCCTTTGAATTAAATATTGATAATTCATTATCTGGTGAAATTAGAACCATAAATCTTGAAGTTTTTATTAAGGAATCAGTTACTGTTGCTATTTGGCAGTCTCAATTGATCTTTAGTAATCTTTACAAGTTTGAGTGCTCTTCAAAACTAATCGAAGCCAATTAAATCGACCAGGTGTTAAACTTTTGTGGAACTTATGGAAATGTTTGAATGATTACCTTATCAAACTTCCCGGAAAGGAAGGGGAGAATCATCTAGAAGACCTAAAGTTACCATAGCTTTCTGGGTATATTCTTTGAACTATGTTTAGGTATGGAATTTTTTTAGAAATTCAGAATAGAAGGAATCGTTTAAAAGATTATACTGGCCTCATTTAAGTTAAATGCGGGTGCAGATAGTTGGGAAGATTTGCGTGCGGTTGAATCCTTGATTAACCAACTCCATTGCCAAGTGAATACCCTAAAGTCTCCCTTGATAATCCCCCCAGTTATGGTTCACTGCCATCGTCGTGGAACTGAGGCCCTGGTCGGCGATTTATCGCACATATTTCTGTACGAGCAAGGTGAGAACAGCCAGCAGTAACACTCCGACCCACTGACTCCGCGGCGTCTTCATTAATCACATTTAGGTGGCGCCTCGCATTTGGCCGGAGTCCAATTAGCCACGCTGAAGAACGAACAGGATGGCACCTTCAGCCTGCAGGAGCTGCGCCGCAGGATCCGGCACGACGACTGCCACGAGCCCATCACCTCGCTGGTGGTGGTGGAGCAGACCCACAACATTTGCGGCGGCAAGGTGGTGCCGCTGGCCTTCCTGGACGAGCTGGCCACTCTCGTCCGTCAGCCAGGCGTGGGCACCGGCACCGCCCGCATCGCCCTCCACATGGACGGAGCGAGGGTCTTCAACGCGGCCACCGCCTTGGGCGTGGGCGTGGAGCGCATCTGCCGCGACTTCGATTCGGTGTCTATCTGCCTCAGCAAGGGCTTATCGGCTCCCGTGGGATCCGTGTTGGTCGGCTCCAAGGCCTTCATTTCGGAGTGAGTTTGACCCCGCCCACGGCATGAGTGTCTTATTCGCTGCTTGTCAGGTCCTTATTTGCTTCTCCGGTTCCGGTTACTTCTGCACTTCAATGTATTTGCGGAAATTGGCTCTTTTTATTAACTACCTCTTATTACAGTTTCAATTGATTCTTAAACATTTTTAAGCAATTTTTAAACTTGGCTTCAATGATTTAATATGTCCACAAATACATCCTTTTTTTCTAATATTTTTAAAGAAGCCATTTATTTATTTATTTATTGATTTAATATGTCTACAAATATCTTCTTTTTTTTCTAATATTTTTAAACTAATGGTTTAATGGTTCTTGTTTCAAATAAAATAGCAAATAAATTCCATTAGATTACTCTCAATAATTCTTAAAATTTAGGATTATTTAAAAAATTGAAATCACATAATTATAATCCTTCTGTTCATCCTTAGAGCACATCGATTGCGCAAGGCTTTGGGAGGCGGTATGAGGCAAGTGGGCGTGTTAGCAGCCGCTGGACTCGTAGCCTTGGAAGAAATAGTTCCACTGCTGGGCAAAGATCACGAGCGAACCAAGAAAATAGCCAAGGGTAAGTGGGAAACTTGCACCTTTCTTGATTGTCCACTTATAACATTACTTTCCCCTCAGCTATTTTCGAACTGAAGAGTCCCAATATCACCGTGGATCTCGATACTGTACAGAGCAATATTCTTCTGGTGGAGATAACCCAACCCAAGCTGACGGCCAGTGAGTTCTCCACTCGCTTGGGCACTGTGGAGTCCGGAGAAGTAGAGGCCGGAGTGGCGGATAAGAACGGAGCCGGAATCGTGGTGAAGGCCAGTGCCCGGGACTGGGCATTTGCGAGGCTGGTTCTCTACCACCAGGTGGACGACGAGCAGGTGGAGCTGGCCATCAGGAAGCTGAAGTACGTCATCGGGCAGTACGACCTGCGATGGCCCAGGGCCTAGACTTGTGCAATTCTTTTGAATATTACTGAAAAGACAAACACAATTAGATTTCGCATTTTGTCGTTTAATTAAAGAGATAGAGGGAGCGAAAGAAGAGCTCAAATTTGTATTATTGCCCCTTGAGTGGGTCCGAGCTGCGTTTACATTCACGCATGACCGGGCACCGTTCCATCGAGGCTGATGGACATCCTGCCGGGCCCCACGCCCATTTGGCTCCACTCGTACTCCTCCACCGACTCCCTCCCTTCCTCGCCAGAAGTTTTCCCTTGTGTGTCTGCATGAGTGCTCGGCTGAATGAAATAATAAAATTATTTTTAAAATATTATTGTCAATCCAGCGATGTGCTCATCGATTTAAAAGCCTGCAGGATGCTCCATCCTCCCGGCCATCGGACAGTTGTGATTTATAAGCAAACTTATCGCCGGCGAAGGCGGAATGCGCTCAAAATGATTGGATGCCGGGATGTTGGGATGCTGGGCTGCCAGGATCCTGGGCCTCGCTGTGTTCCCTCACAATGGATTAGAGAGCCGGGCTGAGTGAATGGCATTGAAATGTTATATTTTATAAATTATGCTATGCCAAATGAAACGAAATTCAATTAGAGAAATTGCTGAAGCATTTGATAAATTGAAATTGAGTTGCCTTGGCCAAAGTTGCTCTTTGTCTGCCATTGAGCCTCGGCAGATTCTGGGCGATTCGGGGATTAATGTGTAACGAAAAGTCATCTGCCCAAATGGCAAGTAATTATGGAAGGTTGATTCTTCGATCGACTTTCGTTTTGGCTGCAACAATTTTTATTTTCGATTTGTGCCCGAAAGTATGCAATGCGCCCATTAAAGAGCCACTTTTCACTCTTCCCCAAAAGCCCACACACGCGAGCTTTATAAGAGAGAGAGAGAGTGAGAGAGAGTGAGATGGCAGAGGTGGGGGCAGTCTATAAATAGCTCCTAGACATGCGACGTTGGGTGTGAAAATGTGTGTTTGCGGTATTGCTTTTTAGCCCACCGCTCCATCATCATCATCATCATAGCAGCAGAAGTTAATAACCCTCCCCCAGAATCGCCAACTCCCCGATTTATACTGGGAACAGAATGCCGTAGCTCTTCAAGGGGTTTTTGCACACTCGCTCGCAACGTGTCAGGATGGCCGAGCGGTCTAAGGCGCCAGACTCAAGGCATTCAGTCTTGCCCTTCACAGAAGGGCGTGCGAGCGTTCTGGTCCTCTCTGAGGGCGTGGGTTCGAATCCCACTTCTGACAAAGTTTTTTTATTTTTTTTTTTTGCGTTTGCAGATGAACATTTTAAGTAAAAAAGCATCTACATAAACATAATATTAAGTAAGAAAACTTAAAAGCCAATTTTAAAATTTTTCGATATAAGCTTTTGTTTACTTTGTACCCTTTAAAATATATTATCTGTCCGTTAGCCTTTAAATAAACATATAAAGTGTTTAAAATATGAATAACAATATAAATATTTATTGACATGGCTGACCAGTTTTATTATTTTAAATGGAATTATAAATTTACATTTAATAATAATTGTCTAACCAACTTAAAATCTGAACTCTCGCTTTCAGCTTATTGCAAATGTAAAACTTTTGATTGCGAATTTCGCATACTATTTAGACTATTTTTAGCATGCGCTCTCGACATAATTGCACGCCCTTTCTGTTTTGTAAACATTTAATAGCATTTGAGGCCAATTAACGTAATTACATGGACCGGTAGACAGATGTGCAGCATGTAGTGCATTCAATTATGTGGCACACGCTCTTTTCGCAGCCGTTTAAACAAATGAATTGCTTCTAATGAAGTATTTAAGCGCACCTTTCTGTCCAACCGTGTGTGCGATTTAGTTAAAGTTGAAGTAATTTAATTATGCATTTACACGGTCGACATGTTCAATTAACTAAAGCCACGTTACGTCGGCGCTGGCATTAATTTCTGGGGATTTTCAATTCAAACTCGCCTCTTAATGGGCATTAGCATGTTTATTATCGCCCCGAACGGCACCGACTTTATTGGCCACGCCGCTTTATGGCACGTGCCGCGTCTGCCAGGATTGGATGAGTTGGGTTGGGGCAAATGGGTTTCATATGCGCGGATACATGATGAATAGCGAATAGCGCAGCTCCTTGGCCCAATAAAATATGATGGAAAAACGCCATTCCCTCATTATGCCAGCCGGGGATTGGCGTGTTACACTTTTCGCCGCCTGAAATGACAATCTGTCATGAAATAAAGTCGTAAACCCGGGCAGCCCAAGGAGCTGGAGATGGCTGGGGTTGTTTTGGGTGCCCCTGCTAAATTGAAATTTGCATGAAGTCCAGCCCTCACAAAAGAATGATTATTCAATTTCAATAGACGCCTTGAAATCCAACCCGGAGATCTAAACTGCTCGTACTTTCAACAGTGGAAGGCATAAATTTATAGAAACATCGTCATATCGAGTGACAAACGTATACGTTGATTCCGTAATGTGCTGTTGGAAAAATAAATCGTTATAATTTTTACATTTATTTAAGGGGATGTAATGTTAGCAATATACTACTTTTTCTGACTTTCCCTTATGAAATTTCTACTTTGAACTCTTTTCATCGAATGTCCATGTTTGATGGTTTTTCGGGTGCTCTAATTTAATTAATTGCATACGCCTAACTAAAGTCAAACAATTTCCGTATTTAATCAACGAGAAAGCAAACGAATGACTCAGACCCAGCGTCAAAGGCGAAAGAAGAGTCGGCCATAAAGGATACTGGATGATAGATGCGGGGTGGTGGGCGCTGGGTGTTTGTAAGTCATGCGAACTCATTTCGAAAATTAAGCAAATGTGCTTAAGTATAGGTGGGTGTGTGTATATATGTTTAAGCCCAGTGTGTGTGTTTGCTTTTCCCTATTTTTCCTCTTTCCCCGCTTGTATGTATGTGGGTTTCCTTGGGGGCGTGGCTGGGTGAACATAACGTGATTGCTGCCAATTTCACAAAGCAGCAAATTGATGATGAGCTAATGCTTTGAAAATTATTGGGAAAAAATATTTAATAGGTTTACGTCGGGCTCAAGCTGGGAACAAAAAAAAAGAAAACCAAAGGCACGAATGAGTGGAGAAAGTGTGGTTAATAAGTGGGATGGTATGCTCATTGAAGCTCGGAGATGTTATTTCTGGTTTGTAAAGGCATGTCCTCAGTTTCACTTACGATTTATCCAGACAAAAGCAAACGTTTTTAATTCAAATAAAGTGCTTAGCGAGGGGAAAGTCAATCTAAATTAAACAGGTAAAGTGGTTCAAACTCTTAGGGAAATCCAACACTTAGTACGGAAAAAGAAGTCCACCGCATCATTTGGATTTCTGGCTATCTGTAAATTAAAGCGATTGTGTGTTTATCAGGGATGTTCCCATGAGTTTGGTCAGACCCAGACCCCAAGGGTTTTTCCTCCCCGGCGATACCCGTTGGGATACCCGTTGATAACGCTTATCGCAAGATTACGCCAAGAGTGTTGTCGTATAAAAGCATTTGAGGCCGGGCCAAAGCCAATCAAACACAATCCATTTAACATGGTCAACGGTATTGCCATTTTGCTCCTCTGCGGACTGGGATTAATCAGGGCGGACCAATTAAAGGACGAACTGCAGTTGCTTCATCACCGCCTCAACCTTCTTCCCCAGAATATTGACTATGATAGCATAGACATCCGAGTTATGGAAACGGATGATACGCGATGCCAGGAGGATATGACAGAGATTCTTGGAGGCTTGAAAGCTGGCAGTTACTGGGCACTTAAAAGTAAGGCAAGATCAACTTTATTTTTTATACCATAGGCTTATAAATTCTGAAATCCTTTAGTGCTGGATTCTTGGGGTTCTCTTCCCTCTGGCCTGTTGTATGGCACCTTTTACGATCTTGGAAACTTCGATGAGTGCCTGGAAATTCATCAACAAATCAGCAGCAGCCAAACGATCCAGGGCAAATATTGTTTCATGGCTGTGCCCCTCAAAGACGTCCTGGACACCGGGATTACGTCCCTGGAAAGCATGCAGATCAAGATAGCCACTTGTTTTCCTGCCTCCTGCTCGGCCAGTCAAATGGAAAAGTTTGCGGGACAACTATTTAAAAATGTATTCAACTCAAGCAAAACTCTGGAAATAACCATTGATGAAGACGGTTGCCAAACCAGCGATCGTGTGCCTTGGGATGGCCTTACAATTTTCACAGTGTAAGTAAAAATCAATTAAAAATATTTCCTTAAAATCTCAAAGTTTCAATTTTAATTTTAGTGTGATTTTGTCATTGCTGACTTTAATAGTTACCGGTTGCACTTTGTATGACTACTTTCTGTGTGAAAATCAAAGTGAGTAATTCATAAGAAACTCTTTAAAACAGAAATAGCTAATTTCTAACCCTTTTCAGAAAAACTTCCATCTCTGGTAAAGATCATTTCAGCTAGGGCTAATTCCAGAGCTCTTTTCCGTCTGGTGGATGGCAGTTCCAATCCCAATGTGATTGACTGCCTTCATGGCATTCGCTGCATGTCCCTCATCTGGGTGGTCTTCCTTCATGAGCACATGTATTCCCTGATATCGCCGAACATTAACTTTTCTTATGCGCTTTCGGTAAAGATATTCCTAAGAATTTTTTAAAGACAAGTTGTTTAATTAATTGTATTTATTTATAGTGGCTGGAGAAACCCATGGCAAGCTTTTTCGTCCACGGCTACTTTTCAGTGGATTCTTTTCTCTTTATCGGTGGCTTATTGGTATCCATGACTGCTCTGCGCACCATGGAAAAGTAAGTAAATATCTTTTATTACTTTGATGGTAAACTTAATTAGCTAATTTGTTTCAGGACCAAAGGAAAACTAAATGTGCCGATGATGTATGTGCATCGCATTATTCGCATCCTGCCCGTTTTGGCCATGGCCATCTTGATCTATGTGAAGCTAATGCCAGTTGTCAGTGGAGGACCTCTTTTCAAAAGTGGATTCCATGGCAAAGAGGAGTGTGTGAATGGCTGGTACTGGGATCTTCTATTCATTCAGAACTATGCAACGGAAAGTGTCGTAAGTATTACTTTTAGGAAGCATTGTTTTCCTATTATTATCGTGATTTTCTTTCAGTGCCTGGATCAGTCCTGGTATTTAGCGGTGGACATGCAGCTGTATATCCTGTCGCCACTCCTCCTAATTGCCCTCTACAAATGGGGCAAGAAGGCGGCCTTTGGCATTGTTGCACTTGTGATTTTGCTCTCCGCTTGCCTGTTTGCCACTCAGATGGTCAATCATTACTCCATGAGTATAAAGTATGTCCCATTGGCATTACTTTGTTATCACTTTATTTACACCTTTTATTTTGCAGAAATGGTGGTGGCGATGATGAGGCCAATTCAAAGCTTTATCTAGCCACTCATACACATGCTGCCCCTTGGCTGATTGGCTTCTTGTTCGGTTACTTCCTGCACCTGAATCGTGGCAAGAAGTTCGAGTTGAGTCGGCTGGTCGTATGGTCGGGTTGGATCCTCAGCCTGGCCATGATCTTTACCTCGATCTTTGCTCTCTATCCGTCCGGAAAATGGAGTGCTCCACCGCTACCGACAGTGGAGGAATCTCTGTACTACACTCTCACTCGAGTGGGTTGGCCCTTGTCGATGTGGTGGGTTGTTTTCGCCTGTATGCAGGGCTATGGAGGTCTGGCCAACAGTCTCCTTTCCACCCCTTTGTGGCAGCCCCTTTCCAGGCTCTCCTACTCCGTCTTCATCTGGCACATGTTCATTCAGGAGGTGAACAGCCGGAATGTGAGGACCAGCACTTACTTTTCAACCTACTCAGTGGTGAGTTATTTCCCTTTATAATAATAATTTTTTATTTTCTAACTGGGATGCTTCATTCTTCTTAGATGCTCAACTTCTGGTCAGACTTTGGCATCAGCCTGGTTATGTCGTACGCTTTGTATCTCATTATTGAGGCGCCGATCGGTGGACTAGATGCCCTTTGGAGACCTACTGGAAATGTAAAGCCTCCAGCTGCTATCCAACCTATACTGACTTCTGTAGTAGAGCACAAGATCGATGGCGATGAAACCGAAAACAAATTAGCTGCTCAATCTGATTAATATTAAATTATAAATTGAACTGATTATAAATATATAAAGATATACTGCCAATACTATTTTGTTATACAAAAACTCATTCTTTGGAAAAAAAATATTTTTAAAAACGCTCAATCAAATTATAATTATTATCTTGATTTGGATAGGGATTCCTACAGCCTTACTAATAGTTAAATATCGAACGTTTTCTTATGAATATATATGAATCACCTCTTGACTTGGTATACAACTAGTGACGATCGCACCTTCAACATAAAAAGCTCTGAAATAAATTTTTACGACATTCGGCACGCTGCAAGAAAAAATGCCTGCGTCGATAAGAATCTTAAATTGTTAAATTTAAAGTAAGGTTAAAATAAGAGTATGGGAAATCTGAGTTTACAGCTTACCTTAAATTTAACAGGCGGACGAGAAAACGGCACAAAATAAATCATTCGGCATTCAAAAATTGGTAGAACAAACGTTTTACAACAAAATTTGCTTACCATGAGAAAAGTGTTTCAGATCCCTAAATCACAAAATAGACACGACACTTAGACAAATAAACTTTTTGGTTTCATTTTAAAAATGGCCTTAAAATCTTTCAAATGTATAACTTTGGAATATATGGTTGCATTCGGCTGCACCGTTTTTCCCAACTCTTATTTTATTTAATTTGGCGGCTTTATAAAGTAGTCTCCTCGCGCACACTCCCGGTGCTATTCGTCACTACGTGGACTCCCATTCACAGTGATTATGTCCAATATATAGCGGTTACCCCACAATTAGTATTTCCTAATCAGTTGTCATAATTGTAGATAACGCCAATGGACAGTTTGCGATTTGCCATATAAAATCACGGTCCACTGGCTAAAAGCTCTCAATCGAAAGCGAATTATAATGGTAAACGCTATAAATATTCTATTGCTCTACGGGCTGGTCGTTTTTAGTAGCTCGGAGTCTACAGATCCTGATGGCCTTAAAAACTACGGATATCCAAGGCTGCTGCGGCCGCTGGGAATCGAATTCACTGAGTACCTTAAAAATGCAACTCTGAAAAGAAACTCCAGGTTGGCCAATAAGGATGACACGCTATGTCTAAAGGAATTGGAAGCACTAATGAAGGGGCTCTCATCCAGCGAAAATTGGGCATTAAAAAGTGAGTCATGCTAAATGGATAAAACAGTGCTAATTTTCTGTTATCAATCAGTGATGGATTCATGGGGTAAAATTCCCTCTGGACTTCTGACCGGCAATACCTGGGATCTCGGAAACTTTGATGAGTGCCTCTCAATTAATCAAGTGATCGGCAGCCAGAAAATAAGAGGAAAGTACTGCTTTCTCATCGCCAACAAAACGAGAATCGCAACTTGTTTTCCATCATCATGTTCATCCACTCAAATGGAACCTTTTGTAAAGGGACTTCTCCATAGAATACCTTACTTTAATAGCTCCGGCATAACTGTAAGGATCAGTGAAGCGGGCTGCCAAACGAGTGAAGTTGACCCTTGGGATGGACTTACTATTGCCACCATGTAAGTGTGTTCAGTATCTATATTTTTAGTTGGTTTAACTATTCTGTGATTCAGGGTGATTATATCTGTGCTGGCTGCCAGTGTAACCTTTTTCACCATATTTGACTACTTCTTGTGCGAAGATCAGAGTGAGTGAATAATATCATTGTTAATCAATTATTTTGCTAACCTGCATATCGGTTTTTTAGGTAGAATTCCAGTTTGGGTAAAGGCTTTCTCGGCTCGGGCCAACTCCCGCACTCTTTTCCGTGTCGTGCCGAGAAACTCAAACCCGAATGTGATCGAATGTTTCCATGGCATCCGCTGCATGTCACTCTTTTGGGTTATCTTCTGCCACGAACTCATATTTACTCTAACTTCACCTACTCTAAATACGGCTGATGTTTATTCCGTAAGTGTATTTAATTTTGCGAAAATATTTATACAAATTATACATATTTCAGTGGTCCGTGGAACCTTTTGCCAGCTTTGTAGTTCATGGATACTTCGCAGTAGACTCATTTTTCGTCCTTGGAGGTTTATTGGTATCCATGATTGCTCTACGCTCTATGGAGAAGTAGGTTCACAGTAAATATTTCATAATTATTTTAATACATAAACTCTCATTAGATCTGGGGGAAAGCTTAACCCGTTACTCATGTATCTGCATCGGATATTACGCATTATGCCGGTCGTAGGAATGGCCATACTTATCTACATGACAATGATGCCTGTTGTCAGTGGAGGACCAATGTTCAAAAGTGGTTATCATGGCAAAGAGGCTTGCGAAAAGGGTTGGTTCTTGACTTTGCTGTTCGTTCAGAATTATGCAGCACTGCACATTGTGAGTATAAAATTGTATGTAATCCCTAATCAGATACGTCATGGTGACTACTTAGAGATAAGCAGATAAATAACGTTATCAAATGCTTTCACAGAGCATGCAAATTGGATTAACTAGGATTTTGTTTGATAGACTATTAAAATTTATTTTAGTGTCTCGATCACACTTGGTATCTGGCGGTGGACATGCAGCTGTTTCTCATCTCACCAATCCTGTTGATTGCTCTTTATAAATGGGGAAAGCAGGCGGCTGCTGGAATTGCTGTACTTGTGGCTTCGCTATCGGGTTGTCTTTTTGCCACTCAGATGGTCAACAAATACTCGTTGCTTATTAAGTAAGGATCTTAAAATTTATATGACAAACAAAATCCTTATTTTTTTGTATTTTTATAGAAATGACGCTGATGATGATGGGGTTGCCAATCAAAAGTTGTACTTGGCCACGCATACCCACGCTGCACCCTGGCTGATTGGATTTCTATTTGGCTATTTCCTGCATCTGAATCGCGGCAAGAAGTTCCAGTTGAGCCGACCAGTTGTGTGGATGGGTTGGATCCTCAGCCTGGCGATGCTCTTCACCTCGATCTTCGCCCTTTATCCGGCAGCCCAGTTTAGTGCTCCGCCGCTGTCCACTGTGGAGGAATCTCTGTACTACACCCTCACACGATTGGCTTGGCCCTTGGCCATTTGTTGGGTCATTTTCGCCTGCATGCAGGGCTATGGAGGTCTGGCCGACAGTTTTCTCTCCTCACCTCTGTGGCAGCCACTTTCGAGACTCTCCTACTCGATGTACATTTGGCACATGTTCGTTCAGGAGGTGAACAGCAGGAATGTCAGGACAAACACTTATTTCTCGACTTATTCAATAGTGAGTTATATGATAAAACGTGTTAAATTATTATGATTTAATGACCTTTACTTTCAGATGGAACATTTCTGGTATGATTTAGGATTTACCGCCCTTATGTCCTATGTCTTGTACCTTTTAGTCGAAGCTCCTCTATGTGGATTTGATAGCCTACTGCGGCCCCAAAGGAATCCTCCTGCTGCCGATCAACCAAAGCTTATTTCCAATCAGACCGATGTAGAGACTAGAAAGGAAGAGAATCCTATTGAGACTGAGACAAACCCAATGGCTAATTCAGGTGTACAAAACTAAAATGTTAACTTTAATAAAATTATTAAAACTTATGGGCTCTCAAGTAGAAATTACAAACTCAGACCTCTTTTTCTAATCTTATCCCAGCTGGCGACCTGCATTTCAGCAAACATATCTGTCCACACTTGACAGTATGGGTTCATTAACCACTTCGCAGAAGTTCAATATCAGGCGGCCTGATAGTAAATCTACACAGCGATTAGCTCAGCCTGATAATAAATAGCAAAAACATTGCACGGTTAATGATTGCTCACTATCAGGGAAGTCGGCAAGCTTGAAATGGGAATTAACCGTCTAGAGGTCTCCTGCTATTTTTCTAATCGGCTACCGGCTTATCGATTGTAGCCTTATCCCAAAATTTCATCGAAGGCCCCAGCGAAATAAAACCAAAGTCAGGTGGCAAATCCAGTCAATCCAATTGAAACGAGCATGGCCAAAGTTGCTACCATTATTTTGCTCAGCGGACTGGTTCTCATTGGGGCCTCAAAACTAAACGAATCGGATGTTTTAAAGGAGTACCAACGACTTAAGCATCTAAGACCACTAGGAGTAGAGTTCGCAGAACACTTTCAAAATGTTTCTATCAGGAATTTGGAGCTGGAGTTCAGTACAGGATTGGCTAAACAGGATGAACTGTTGTGCCTGGCGGACATGGCCATTCTGATGAAGAGTTTGGCAGATGGAAATTATTGGGCGATCAAAAGTAAGTGAAATCGAAATCGAGGGTCGAGACCTATTAAATATATATATTTTTCAGTGATCGATGCCTGGGGCTCCATTCCCTCGGGTTTGTTGTATGGCAATTTTTACGACCTGGGTAACTATGATGAGTGCCTTAAGATCAGTCAACCGATCACTAGTGATCACAGTGTCCAAGGAAAGTATTGCTTTCTTTCTGCAACTTTTGGCGGTCTTCTCGGCATTCCGGCATTGAAGGCAAAACCAGTCAATATAGCCACATGCTTTCCGGCCTCTTGTTCGGCTGGGCAAATGGAGGGATTTGTGGCAAAACTACTTCAGGAATTAATGGGCTTGAATAGTTCAACAAGCTTAAGTATTAATGAAGCCACTTGCCAGACTTCAGACAGCAAACCATGGGATGGATTGACTATATTCACTGTGTAAGTTAACCTAAGCCTGCAGCATTTCAAAGTACTTATTACTCCACTTTCAGAGTAATTTTAGCTTTGATGTTGTCAGTCGTCACTTTCTTCACGCTATATGACTACTTTCTGTGCAAAGGTGGGTGGGCTAGATCCTTTTGAGCTAAGATTTACTGAGGTTTAACATTCACAGATGAACCCTCTGCCCTGATAAAGGCCTTTTCGGCTAGATCCAACTCCCGTGCTCTCTTTCGCATTGTCGAGAGTAAATCTAATCCAAATGTGATCGACTGCCTTAATGGCATCCGTTGCATGTCCATCATTTGGGTAGTTTATTCCCATGTGAACTTGTATTTCAGCACCATGCCGAATATAAACCTGGTGCATGTAATTCCGGTAAGCCCACCATCTTACTATTTAAAACTCCTTAATAATGTTTAATTTTCTAGTGGGTTGAAAAACCATTCTCCAATATTGTCCTACATGGTGTATTCTCAGTGGACTCTTTTTTCTTTCTGGGTGGTTTATTGGTGGCCATGATAGCTTTGCGCTCAATGGATAAGTAAGTGATTTGAATAGAGATTTTTTTTTATTTTAACTGCTTATTTTGCAGAACCAAGGGCAAACTGAATGTTCCACTAATGTATCTTCATCGCTTGATTCGGATCCTGCCCGTTTTGGCCATGGCCATTCTCATCTACATGAAGCTCATGCCACTAGTTTCTGGTGGTCCCCTATTTTATGGCGGCTACAGTGGAACAAAGACGTGTGAAAAGGGCTGGTTTTGGACCTTGTTGTTTATCCAGAATTATGCCACCAAGGATATTGTAAGTTTTAATCGGAATAATCCTTGAAGTTATCTAACTCTTTTATGATTTTAGTGCCTTAGTCACACTTGGTATTTGGCAGTAGACATGCAACTGTATATCATATCCCCACTTCTACTGATCGCTCTCTACAAATGGGGTAAAAAGGCAGCTGCTGTGATTGTCTTACTTATTATCCTGCTTTCGGGTTGTCTCTTCGCCACCATGATGATCAATCATTTCTCCTTTTTGATTAAGTATGTATCCACGAAATATTCTAAAATCCTTAAATAAAAATGTATTTTTTCAGGAATACGAGTGGCAATGATATGGCCAACCACATGCTATATCAGGCCACCCACAGGCATGCAGGTCCTTGGCTGATTGGATTTCTTTTCGGCTACTTTTTGCATTTGAATCGGGGCAGGAAGTTCCACCTGAACTGGCTGGCGGTGTGGTCTGGATGGGCTATTTGCCTAGCACTGCTGGGAACATCGCTGTTCGCTCTTTATCCGGCATCCAAGTGGAGTGCTCCTGCTCTGTCCACTCTGGAGGAATCACTATACTATACACTCTCCCGATTAGCCTGGCCAATTTCCCTGTGCTGGATAGTCTTTGCCTGCATGCAAGGTTACGGGGGTCTGGCCAACAGTTTCCTCTCATCACCGCTGTGGCAGCCACTTTCAAGACTCTCGTACTCTGTCTATATCTGGCATATGTTCATCGTGGAGGTGAATTGCAAGAATGTTAGAACAAGTACCTATTTCTCGGACTACACAGCGGTATGTGGCTAGGATCCCTCTTTTTACTACTACTAATATCCTTTTCCTTACAGATGCTAAAATTTTGGTCTGATTTTGGCTTTACCGTCATGTTGTCATATGTGTTTTACCTTATCATTGAAGCTCCTTTGGGGGGATTTGATAGTCTTCTGAAACCGAAAAGGAAAACCACTGTACAAAACCACATAGGTCCCTCTAATGTAGAACCCACAGAAACTCAACCAGAAAAAAACCCTGAAAAGATATTGGTAACAATTAGAAAAAATGATTAGTTTTTACTCAACTACAAATAAGTAACTTCCAAGTATTGATAATCCACCTTCAAATCACTCATTTGAATACAATTCTACAGAATTTATAAAGAGGCTATAAATAAAATCCATAGAAACAATGTTAGTCCCCCTTTGTTTACGATTGATAAGGTCTTCAAATTGTCAAGCTGCTTGTCACTTGGACAACTATTATTATCAGAGATTACGTACTATCGGTGGATTTGAACATTGAATGAGTTGACAACGTTTTTTGGTAATGGGTTTATCGCCTTATATTTCGCATATAAAGTCTTATAATTTTATTCCAGAATCAGTCGTTACCATTTTAGTCAGCATGCTGGTGGGATTTATTGCTCTTACTGGAATCGCTCTTATCAGCGCAGCACGGCCTGAGGATAAAAACATCCTGCAAGGATTTCATCATCTAAAGAATCTCAAGCCACTGGGTATTGAGTTCGCTGACTACTTTCAGAATGTAACGCTAAACGATTTAAGCCTTTCCGATCCCCGTGCTCCAACTCAAGAGGATCTTTTGTGCCTCAGTGATATGACCAAGCTTATGTTAGCTCTTCAAACGGGTCAATATTGGGCATTGAAAAGTGAGTGGGCAGTTGAATTAATGAGATACTATAATTATCATTAAAGCTTTATGATCTTTATTTCCACAGTGATTGATGCTTGGGGTTCGATACCTTCTGGTGTTTTAACTGGTAACTCATACGACTTGGGTAACTTCGACGAGTGCATCAATATCATAAAGGAAAACATTCGTGGAAAATACTGTTTCCTAACAGCAGCGCCTAGTCAATTTGAGGGACTCTCCATTACAACTGCAACCTGCTTTCCGGCTTCCTGTTCGGCTGCTCACATGAACAAGTTTTTGAGCCAGATGATGAAGAGAGTTCTAAATGTGGATATTCCTGGCACATTGATGAGCATCAGCGATAGTACTTGCCAGACAAATGAAAGCGAACCCTGGGATGGTCTCACAATTTTTGCAATGTATATTTATCAATATTTCTACAAATAAGTGGATTAATATTTTCGGTTTCAGAGTCATCTTATCACTGATGGGCAGTATTGTAGCTTTCTTCACGGTGTATGACTACTTGATCTGCAAGAATCAAGGTAAGCTGCAAAAATAGTTATTAATCTGATGTAACATTTTTATAATTCCCCATTTTCCAGATCAACTTCCTGTGATAGTGAAGGTGTTTTCAGCTAGGGCCAACTCTCGTACAATTTTTCGCATTGTGGAGTACAAAGCCAGCCCAAATGTAATCGACTGCCTTTCTGGAATTCGTTGCATGTCTCTTTTCTGGGTGATTTATAGCCACGAGTATGTACGCAAACTGAATTCACCAAATATTAATTTATGGGAAGCACTGCAGGTAACTTACAAATTTAGATTTTTGCAATATATTAGTAAATAATTAGATTTCCTTAGTGGGTTCAAACGCCATTTTCCAGTTTCATTGTGCATGGCTTTTATTGCGTGGATTCTTTTTTCTTCATCGGCGGTATGTTGGTTTCATTGATTGCGCTGCGAATGATGGACAGGTAAGTTGGGATATTAAGTTTATACAAAACTTTAAGTAATTATTATTATTTTTCTTCTTATTTTAGAACAAAAGGCAAACTCAATGTGCCACTGATGTATCTTCATCGCTTTATCCGCATTGTCCCCATTTTAGCCGTGGCAATATTAGTTTACACAAAACTATTGGGGGTTGTGGCCGGAGGACCTCTTCTAAAGAATGGATTTAGTGGCAAATTGGTTTGTCAGACGAGTTGGTATTGGACCCTTCTCTTTGTGGTGAACTACACAAATCAAAAGGTAAGAAAACTATCAATAAATATACCTACTCGTCCCTTAAAAGAATTATTAACTAACCTTTAATTTAGTGCCTACATCATACTTGGTATTTGGCCGTGGATATGCAGTTATTCTTAATTTCTCCGATCCTGCTAATCGCTATCTACAAATGGGGAAAAAAGGCTGCTGCTGGAATAATTGTCCTGATAATCTTACTTTCTGGCTGCCTGTTTGCCACGATGATGGTCAACAACTACTCGATGATGAAGCAAGTATCACGTTAATGCTCTATATTTCCAACTATTTAACCTTTTTTCTGTCTTTTAACAGGAATTATACTTATGTTGCGCAGACGAAAATGTACTTTGCCACCCATACACACGCTACTCCATGGCTCATTGGATTTTTGTTCGGTTACTTTCTGCACTTAAATCAGGGAAGAAAATTTAAGTTGAGCTTGGTAGCCGTTTGGTCAGGATGGATCCTCTGCCTGGCCATGATCTTCACTTCGATCTTTGCTTTTTATCCGGCCATTCAATCGGGTGCTCCCCCCTTATCAACCTTGGAGGAATCCTTTTACTATACCCTTACCCGTTTGGGCTGGCCAATGGCCATTGGTTGGGTTGTATTCGCGTGCATGCAAGGATACGGAGGCCTGGCCAACAGTTTTCTGTCCTCTCCTTTATGGCAACCTCTCTCGAGACTCTCGTATTCCATCTACATCTGGCACATCTTTATCCAAGAAATAAACTCTAGGAGTATAAGGACAATCTCGTATTTCTCGGACTACCAAGTTGTAAGTACCTTAACTATCGCACCTAATCTTTTTGGTTCTAATATTAATAATATCTTCACAGATGCTAAGATTCTGGACAACCTTTGGATTTACCGTGCTGCTCGCTTTCTTCATGTATCTCATTGTTGAGGCCCCCATTGGCGGACTGGACCTTTTTATAAGGCCTCAGATAAAGGCATCTGCTAGTAGCAAGTCAAAGGAAAATTCAAACGAAGTGCAGCAGAATCCAGTAGATGATGAAGGACATAGTCATCGAAAAGAATCGGAAGAAAGGGAAACAAGCGCTCAAAACAAAACTGATGAAACAATAAAATGAATTAGTCAACAATTAAATTTTCTCACCAAGTGTATAATAATTGTTCCTCACAAAAAGGGATATTACAACTTTTGTTTCTTGAAGGTGCGATCATAACTGGATCAACGAACGCGTTGAGTTCGTAATAAAATTCTTAAAACCTATTGTACTTAAATTTTTATCTTTGTTGGGTCATATATTTTAACAGAATTACGACGAAAAACGTGACGTCACATGAAAGATCTAAAAAGTTTGTCCCCTTACCATCTAATAACTGAGTGTTCTGCTAAGTCCATTCAAAAAAAATTCACCAGCTGTTGATCTAATCTCTTATTTAAATAAATTTCCGAAGAAATTTTAAAGTGGTTAGCAATTCTCAATAACAATTCTCAATCAATTACACTATGCAGCATCAAAAATGAACCTCGATGAATGCTATATTTTTGGATTCGTTACGAATTCCCAAGTTAAACTGCGTTTTCCTAAAAGTTCCCCGACGCAAGGATTCTTAGCAAAAGGACCTCAAAGTTCGAAAAATGCTGTAATTGACCAACTTTGCGGAGCTCTTAGAGGCAAATGGATGCATGGCTTGGTTCGAAGTTAAAGTTTTTTAAAAGATACACCCTTTATCTTTCAAACCCCATACATAAAATAATTTTAGGATTTTTTTTAAGGCAGAAATAAATTCCAAAAAACATAGTCAAAAAACTGAAAATCATACAGCTGCGGTCAAAACAGTAGCAGTGTTGCCGCCTTGTGTTTTTAAAAGTTTGATGTTGTAATTTTTTCTTATCCAATTAGTCTAATAGTAAAATTATAATCAATACAATATTACCAGGAAAAGATCAATTACAACAACAAACTTTTAAATACACAGGGCGGCAACACTACTACCATTTTGACCGCAGCTGTATACTTTAATGTTTTTTAACTATGTTTTCTAGAATTTGTTTCTGCCTTAAAAAAAATCTTAAAAATTTTTTAAGTATAGGGTTTAAAAGATAAAGGGTGTATCTTTTAAAAAACGTTAACATCGAATCAAACCATGCATCCATTTTCCTCTGAGAGCTCGGCAAAGTTGGCCAATTTCAGCATTTTTCGAACTTTGAGGTCCTTTTGCTAAGAATCCTTGCGTCGGGGAACTTTTTGGAAAACGCAGTTTAACTTGGGAATTCGTAACGAATCCAAAAATATAGCATCCATCGAGGTAAATTTAAAAAGCACTAAAAATGCTGCACAGTGTTATCATTGTTTAAGATAAGGCGGAAAATCACTTACTGATCTTCATTTGAATTGCTACGAATTATACAGAAAACGAAATAACGGCTATAATTACATCTCCATTAAGCTTTTTTAAATAACTGTTAGCGATCGAGTGGTGAAGTGTGGTGAATAATAAAGTGCCATACCTCGTTGAATTATTTTTAGAATATTTCGGCATAAACAATTGTTCTATTCCACTGGAAACGGGTAAAATACCTCTCAAAGTAGTGTTGAAGGAAACGATAGCCAATCTGACATCATTAAACGTAATCTTTGTTTGCCGAGTGGTATTCGAATTCTGAATAAATAGGGCTGATTGACTCTTCACAGGAATTAAACCTTTTATTAGACTAGATTAAGTTTCGACTGATCGAATAATATGGTACTTAGTAGTCAAATATATACAGGGTATACTAGCATTTTTAATGTCAGTAACAGCATAGTGCAAATTGGGAAAAATATTTAAATATAATTGAAAATAAGAGGGACTGCATCTTATACATAAAATAAATAATACTACAAATGCAGCACTATGGCTCAATGGATCACCAAGCATTCTTAAAGATTTTTGTGAAAAAGTATGTATAACATACATATACTGTACCAGGCCACTGATTACTCGGTACACAATAGTCAAGAGTGGCCTCTAACATTCAACCTTGCTTTCTATCGCATTCGGTGGTTATCGCTAGTATATAAGCTGTGTTGATTTGAACAGAGTGGTCAATTTCCTTTCAGTTAGCATGGTCAAAATATTGAGTTATATTTTACTTAGTGGGCTCGTTCTCATCAGCGCTACGTCCCGTGAGGTCGAAAATGTCCTGCAGGGATTTCATCGACTCAGGGAGCTAAAACCACTGGGTGCTGAGTTTGCCGACTACTTTCAAAATGTAACGCTAAAGGATTTAAGTCTTTCCGGATCCCGATTGACAACCAAGGAGGATCTTCTGTGCCTTAGTGATATGTCCAAGTTCATGTTGGCTCTTCAAAGCGGCCAATATTGGGCATTGAAAAGTGAGTGGGAAGGTTATTCAACGAAATCTAAAGCTAAATTTTTGTGATCTTTGTTTCCACAGTGATTGACGCATGGGGTTCTATTCCATCTGGTCTTTTTACGGGCAATGTGTACGATCTGGGAAACTTTGACGAGTGTATAAATATTCAAAAGGATTCCATTCGAGGAAAATACTGCTTCCTAGAAGTTTCCCCCAGTAAAATGCTGGGCCTTGAGAGCGCTTTAGCCGGAATAGTGAAAATGAAAATAGCCACCTGTTTTCCGGCTTCCTGCTCGGCCACTCACATGAACAAGTTTGTGGATCAGATAATGCAGAGAGTGCTTAACGTGAATATACCCAGCACAGGCATGAGTATCAGCGATAACACTTGTCAGACAAGTGAAAGCGAACCCTGGAATGGCCTCACCATATTTATGATGTATGTTTATCCTTATTTCTAGCAAATTGATATAAAATTTTAACCCTTTCTGCTTACAGAGTTATCTTATCACTGATGGGCTCTGTCGTGGCTTTCTTTACGGTATATGACTACTTTTTCTGCAGGAATCAAGGTGAGCTGGGAAATAAATAAATATTCTGATTAAGAAATTTCACGATCATCTGCATTTTCAGGTCAAATTCCTCCGATTGTGAAGCTCTTTTCGGCCAGGGCCAACTCTCGTTCAATTTTTCGCATTGTGCAGAACAAATCAAACCCGAATGTAATCGAATGCCTCCACGGAATAAGGGGCATGTCTCTTTTCTGGGTGATCTTCCTGCATCAATATGCTAACAAATTTTATTCACCAAATATTAATCGTTTTAGTATTCTTCCTGTAAGTAAATGATTATACATGTGGTATAAATCATGAAGTAACTGACTCACATTTTTTAGTGGCTCCAAATGCCTTTTACAAGTTTCTTTCTGCACGGACAATTTTCAGTCGATTCATTTTTCTTTATCGGCGGTCTGTTGGTGTCCTTGATTTCACTTCGATCAATGGAAAGGTAAGTTGTTGGCTTCCTTTCATGAAAAAATATTATTTTATTTTTATATTCTGGCAGAAACAAAGGCAGACTGAATATTCCTATGATGTACCTTCACCGCTTGATCCGTATTCTCCCTATCTTAGCCATGGCTATTTTAGTCTACACCCAACTTACAGGAGTTTTGGGAGACGGACCTCTTTTTAAGGGCGGCTACAATGGCAAAGAGTCGTGTGAAAAATCCTGGTATATGACCTTGCTCTTTGTAGTTAATTTCGCTGAAGATATGGTGAGTGCTGATTCAATTGAAGGTATTGTTTTGAAAATTAAAACCATTTTATTCTAGTGCCTTGATCACACTTGGTATCTGGCGGTGGACATGCAACTATTCCTCATTTCTCCGATTCTTCTGTTTGCCCTCTACAAATGGGGCAAAAAGGCTGCAGCTGGTATATTTGTACTTATAGTTTTGCTGTCCGGCTGTCTGTTTGCCACCATGATGGTGAATAACTACTCAATAACAAAGTAGGTGTTTTACTTCGCTGATAACTTGAAATGTTGCTAACTTATTATTTCTCAGTCTTGATCTCTCCCTGCAGAAGCAGATGTACTTCTACACCCACACTCACGCTGCTCCTTGGCTCATTGGATTTTTGTTTGGCTACTTTCTGTACTTGAACAAGGGAAAGCAGCTTAAACTGAACTGGGTAGCCGTTTGGTCTGGATGGATCCTCTGCCTGGCCATGCTCTTCACCTCGATCTTCGCTCTCTTTCCGGCAATGGACGATGGTACTCCTTGGTTGGTGACGACCTTGGAGCTGTCATCTTATTATACTCTCACCCGAGTGGGTTGGCCAATGGCTATTGGTTGGGTGGTCTTCGCCTGCATGCAAGGATATGGAGGATTGGCCAACAGTTTCCTTTCCTCTCCGCTGTGGCAACCGCTTTCGAAACTCTCTTACTCCGTCTACATTTGGCACAGTTTCATCCAGGAGATTAACCAACGAATTGTTAGGACAAATACGTACTTCTCAAACTATCAAGTGGTAGGTTTTCTGAACTTAAATATTTCTGTATGTGCCCTTCTGATTTTAATATAATTTTTCAGATGCTTGATTTCTGGTCGACCACGGGATTCACCGTGCTGTTCTCATATTTACTGTATCTGCTTATTGAGGCGCCTATTGGAGGACTTGATCTTCTTTTAAGGTCCCCAAAGAAGGTATCTTCAGAGATAAAACCGATGACCAACTCAGACCAGCAGCAGGAAAGCACTATTGATGATATTGAGCCAAACAAGCAAAAAGAACTGGAAGCACCTGAATCAAATACTGAAACACCAAAAGATTAGATTCCGAAATTTTTTAGATTTTATTAAAGACAGCGCAAAACCAAAATTTTTATGACCATGTTTGGTAATTTATTCCGGGTGCTTAAAAATATTAGATTATTCGTTTACTGCACAGAAACAAATATCGCGTAAATATGATAAAGCTACTTTTGGAGGCCTTGACCTTCTTACAAGGTATCAAATCAATTAAAACCGAATTAGACCGGCAGTTGTAGAGCACTATTGGTGATGTTGACCCAAGCTAGCTAAGAGAACTGGAAGCACTTGACTCATAAGCTCCAGCACTGACTGATTAGATTCCGAAATTTGTTAGAGTCCCAAAAAAGAGAGCAATACAAGAGTATTGATAACCATATTTGGTGATTTATTGCAGGTGCTTCTTCCTAAAAAAACAAATGTCACGTGCATGCGATAAAGCTACTTTAAATAATAGCTAATCCGCAAGTATCTATAAGTCCTATATTTCAAAGTATTGATAAGCAAATCAGTATAAGATTAGCTTATCGGCCATTTTCAATGGAATCGACCATCATATGACTAATGTCACACTTTGCGATCGTAGACGGCGCTTATCTCAGGCTAATTCGCATATAAAAAGGGTTCCGAGTTCGTAAGAAGTCAACATTAAGAGTTGAGCCAGCATGGTCAACATAGTCGGAGTAGTTTTCCTCTGCGGGCTTTCGCTCATCAGTGCTGCACAGTTGAAGGACCCAGAAGGAGATGGAGTCCTGCTGGACTTCCAGAGAGCCAGTCAACTCAGATCCTTGGGACTGGAGATTGCTGGACATTTAAAGGACTTTCCCTTGGATGACTCAAGCGTCGTGGAGTCCCGAGTCCCGACTCCGGATGACCTGCAGTGCCTCAGCGATATGACTGCGCTAATGGCGGCCCTACAAAGTGGTCAATACTGGGCCCTGAAAAGTAAGTGAACTTTGGACCACAGCCGAGTACGTTTTTTATGGCCATGTTATCTTAATTACAACAGTGTTCGATGCCTGGGGCTCCATACCCTCGGGCCTGCTTGCCGGCAACATGTACGACCTTGGAAACTTTGACGAGTGTCTGGGCATCAGCAAGGAGATCATTCCAGGCAGAACCATCCAGGGGAAGTACTGTTTTCTCTCAGTGTCCCTGGGCCAAGTGCTGGGCGTGAACAGTGCCTTCTTGGGAACCTTCAAGACGGCCACCTGCTTCCCGGCCTCCTGCTCGGCCACCCACATGAACACGTTTGTGGGTCAAATGCTGAAACAGCTACTCAACATCAGCATTCCCAGCACCGCCCTGAGTATCAGCGATAGCAGCTGCCAGACCAGTGAAAGTGAACCCTGGGATGGACTCACCATTTTCATGATGTAAGCACGCAGACTTTTTAATCAGCTTCTGGCTAAACGCTTCTGATTACAGAGTGATCTTATCGACTATGGGCACTTTGGTGGCTTTGTTTACCTTGTGGGACTACTGTCTGGTTAAGAATCAGGGTGAGTAAACATAAACTTATCGTTGCGACGGAAATTTCACAATGATTTTTAAACTTTCAGATCAGCTTCCCGCGATCGTGAAGATTTTTTCGGCCAGGGTTAATTCGCGTGCTCTCTTCCGCGTCGTTCAGGCCAATTCGAATCCGAATGTAATCGACTGCCTGCATGGCATTCGGTGCCTTTCCCTCGTTTGGGTGGTGTTTTGCCATCAATATGTAATGTCTTTGCTTTCTGCAAATATCAACATTTTCCATGCTGTTGCGGTAAGTGAATTACTTAGGTTTTTGAGGATTAAATCCTTATAAATTGGTTATTTTTTAGTGGGAGGAGACGCCCTATGCCAGTTTTATTCTGCATGGCTTCTTCTCAGTGGATTCGTTCTTCGTGCTGGGTGGTCTCTTGGTGGCTCTGATTGCCTTGCGTTTAATGGACAGGTAAGACAGTGATTTTTTAATATTTTCCAAATTGTTATGTTAATTTCCTCTACAGAACTAAGGGCAAACTGAATGTACCTCTGATGTATCTACATCGCCTAATCCGCATTGTTCCCCTTCTGGCGATGGCCATTGTGGTCAGTTTGAAACTCATGCCCCTCATAACAAGCGGTCCTCTTTTCGCCAGTGGATACACACAGAAGGCGATGTGCGAGAGGAGTTGGTATTGGACCTTGCTCTTCGTGAATAACTACACAAACGATAAGGTAGGTCCGCGTCACTTTCCCGATGTTAATCGAAATGATGATATGGTGGTTTTTTTGGACTTTAGTGCCTCGGTCATTCCTGGTATCTGGCGGTGGACATGCAGATGTTCCTCATTTCGCCGCTCCTGCTGATCGCCCTCTACAAATGGGGCAAGAAGGCGGCTGCTGGTATATTCGTGCTCATTGTGTTGCTGTCTGGCTGTCTTTTCGCCACCATGATGGTGAACAAGTACTCAATGGTGTTTAAGTGAGTTGAACTTGTAGTATTGCTTAATATTGTTTAATATTTATTATTTACTTTTATTTTATGCAGGCAATTCTCCCTAAATGCCCAGAGGGATGTGTACTATCCCACCCACACACATGCTATGCCCTGGCTGATTGGTTTTCTCTTCGGCTACTTCCTGCACTTGAACAGGGGAAGGAAGTTCAAGCTGCACTGGGCAGCCGTTGGCTTGGGATGGATTCTTTGCCTGGCCATGATCTTCACCTCGATCTTCGCCCTCTACCCGGCGGCCCAGTGGAGTGGTCCTGCTTTGTCCACTTTGGCGGAGGCCTTCTACTACACCCTCACCCGAGTGGGTTGGTCCATGGCCCTTTGCTGGGTGATCTTTGCCTGCATGCAGGGCTACGGAGGACTGGCCAACAGCTTCCTCTCCTCTCCGCTGTGGCAGCCCCTCTCTAGGCTCTCCTATTCCGTCTACATGTGGCACATGTTCTTCCAGGAAGTGAATGGCCGCAGCATGAGGACGAATTCCTATTTCTCGGACTACAGAACTGTGGGTTTCTCATATTATTTGATTTATATCCTAAATTCTAAACTAATATCTCTGCAGATGCTCAATTTCTGGTCTACCTTCGGAATCACCTTGTGTTTTGCCTTTGCAATGCACCTACTCATTGAGGCGCCTTTCGGTGGACTCGATCATTTCCTGGGACCAAAACGGAAGAGTCCTCCTGTCGTTAAACCGAAGTCACAGATCGATGACAATGGGCCTGTTAACCTGGAAGAGCCTAAAGTGGCGGCGCCTGCACCTGCTGTGTACTAGCTATCTGCAATCCTATTAGTTGTAGTAACTTATATTTTGAATTTAAGTACCTAAATAAATGTATATAAGCCTGTAAAATAAGTGATTGGGACTCTCGTTTTTATGGCCAGCTCCTGGCTGAGTAAGACATTTATCTACGACTCCTCCGCTTCCGACTGACGGTGCACCTCCCCCGCGTCACTTTCTGGTTGCATGTCCCGTGTAAATTTAAGCCTGGAAACAAATGGAGAACTTCTTGACTCGCGTCGACTTCGCTTAGCCCGATGCCATAAACTACGTGCAACTGCCGCTGCCACTGCAACTCCGGCTGCAACTGCACTGAGTGTCTGCCTGGGCCGACAAAGCGATCTGGATCCGGATCCGAATTCGAATTCCCACTGCGCATATTTTATGGCAGTTACGCGGCTGGCGGGCAACTTAATTAGTGCCTGCTGGTGCGCTTCGACTCCCGGTTCGACTTCCATTTCCATTTGCCCAGGCATAGCCATAGCCATAGCCAGAGCCACTTCCATTTCCACTTCGATTGCGGCAGGGACAGCTGCATTGCACCTGACATTTAACATTATTACGCGGCGCCTCCGCCGAATGCCAAATGAGAATGAGAACTGAGAAGGGGAACGAGCTGGCGGCCATTACAGGCAGCGCCTTAAAGTGGCGTTTCGGTGCAATTCGCGCTCAAGCGGTGTTAAGCTTAATGTGCACCACATTGACACCGCCAGGAACATGGAACTCCGAGTCCGGCATTTCGACGGCAGTGATGGCAATGGCAGATCCCAAAGAGAAGAAATATACCTACCTGATATAATAAATAATATTCTGAATAATTTATTTTAAATGGAAAATAATAAATCCTCATAAATAAAGCATCATCATTATAGGAAACTTTTAATAATGATATATTAAATACTTAGTACTGTCTGATAAAAATAATTTCTTAAAATACTATAACAACCCTCGTTTTTAAAGAGAACAACAAAGTTGGCAACCCTGTTCGCGAAGGCGGCTCAGTTGCATTAACGTTTTGTGACTGCGCCAAGGGTTGCGTGTTCGATTGCAGTTGCTTGCATTTAATGGGTTAAGGCACACTTCTGTGGGAGGACCGGGCCACTTACGATTCATTGAATTGCCCCCCACTCCAGGGGGCCGCAATTGAAAATCGATCCGGCTTCGTGTGCGCCTGCTGTTTTCAGTGTTTTCGGGGCATCCCTCAATGGGCAGCCAATGGACTCTATTGACCCTCTTATTTTTGGGCTCGCCTTAAGCTGTAGTAATATGCTCGGCCAAGGACTCTCCCCGGAGAGGCGCCTTTTGACAGGACTTCCAATTAGCAGGAGTCAACTGCTCATGTAAACATTTCCCGATTTAACTTTCGGCATTCTGCCGCTTCGCCAGAGCAAAGAACAAAGTACAAAGAACTTTTGTGCACATTTGTGTTTATTATTGTATAAATCAAAAGATAAAGTTGCACACAAAGTTCCTGTTCTCGGTTCTCGTTCCCTTTCCCTCGGTAAGTCCGGGATTCGGTTGGTTAGGTTCTGGTGTCCTACGGGTGCTCCATGTCCTGTTTGCATGCGGAGGCGCAGTACGTAAACTAAACGGAGTGCACACACACACCGAAGAGTAGACTCGAGTCGAGTCGAAGTCGTGCATGTTTGTGGCATTATAAAATATATCTGGGCAACAACAATGCCAGTTCGTCCTTTTCCTAGCCCTCCTTCTGCCCAATTTCAAAGTTGGTAATGGCAAAATGGCGATCTGGCTACCTCTGCTGCTGCTGCTGGCCGCCCCGTTGTTGTTGCCACATTTAAATGCCAAACTTCACCGGACATGCTTCATAGCTCTAATTATACATGCGCCTTCCTCGGAACGCCTTCCGTTATTCGGGCAAAGGAAAAAATACAATACAGCCAACAGCCAGGGAAGTACAACAATGGAGCCCAAAGAGCAATGGCTCTCGTTATTGTTATTGTTATTGTTGTCGCTGTTGTTGCTGCAGCGAATGCATTGTTGCTGCTCGTTCTGTTGGCCCTCTGCCAAAAGGCAACGCGTCGTATGCGCAACGTGGCCTGCTATTTTTCTAACCACATCTAAACACAAACAGCTGGGTTCAGAATAATAGTATTGTGACTTTTGGAAAGGAAAATATATTTTTCTTTTAGAAGGTACGTTTTTATATGTATTAAAATTTAACTTTTAAAATATATCGTTAAGAAAGATTATAAAATGTTTAGTATAGGTATTAACACTATTATTTTGATTACATTTGCACATGAATGATTGCCAACCGAATTGAGGTATGTGTGTGCTGGTGTGCCTTGAGTCGAAACCTCCAGAGAAGTTTGCATGTCTGTTTGGTAATTCATAGAAAAAAGGAGAAGGCAGGGAGGCCCGTCACTCTTTTGATTTGATTAGTACCCACATAAACACACACAAATACAATAAATTTATGTAAATTCTGGCAGCATAAAATATGGCATTAAAATTTAATGTGCAACTCCGGGCACGCAAAACCAAATCGTTGAAAAAATGAAGACATTATGCTGTGGCCAAGATTATAGGCTGGCTAATAAGCCGCTGACCCTCGCTGACCACGGGAATACAATTGGAGGGCCCAAGAACTTTCATTAACAGAGACGCATTAGCATATTTGCTCTGCGCCTCTTTTATAAATCACTTCATTGACATTTTTTACGAGGCGTCAAATCGGCGGTCGGGGAGTTTGGCTGGCCAAACTTTCCGAGAACAATACATGTCCAAAGTCTGAGAAAATGTCTGAGCCTGCGGGGGTGGCGTGGGCGGAATGGGCAGGGCCCCAGTCCCATAGCCCTTGGCCAAGATTGACGCGCCGCTTACGTGCCACGGAACCATTTGTCTTAGGGCCGCACTTTGCGTGTCTTAATTAGCGCCCCACCACCTCCCATCGGAGGTCTCATCCCCATCTACCTCGCCATCCTGCCAAAGAAACTTTGCCGACGCCAAGTCGAGGCTGGAATTTATGTATCCCAGATAAGAGTCCACTGATAAGACCACGGATCCCGGGGCCTTGGCCTGTCTTTGCCCTGAGTTATTATTGAAGACGCGACATGCTAATGAACTCGGCCCAGGAATAGGAATCGGCTCCAAGTGGGACACAAAAGAAACTTTCGTTTTGGGCCAAGAAAAACTTAATTAATCGGGGTTTTCACTTTCTAACGTACATATATTTGGCCAAATTAAGGTTGCAGAAAATCTAGATTTATTTACCTTAGTTATATAGGTTAAGGAAATTAGGTATTTTCAATTTCAGTTGCTAGAAAACTTTGTAAAATTCAAACTAGTTGCCCTTTATATTATTCTAAAAATATTCAAAATTAAACTTAAATAGAATACATTTTTTTAATTTTTTCCCTTAGGTTTGCCTGAACCAATCCTATAATAAGTTGCCTAAATTTTCCCCTTATCGTTTGCTGAAAAATACGTTCTAGCTTTAGTGCACCGAAACAATCGGCCTTTGTGTTGCTAATGAAACTTTAAGCCTTCAGCTGACCCACCCGTGCTTCTGGCCATTGTCCCGGCCTTCATTGGATATTCGCGGGGTCAGGTGGACAGCTGCTGGCTGAAAGAGATAAAGCCGCGCCGTTGCTAATTAAAGCCTCGCACTCCGCCCGAATGTTCCGCCTCTGGCTGAGCGTATGCAAATCGTGTAAATCAGAGAGTTTAGTGCCACTGGTAACTCGCAACTGCTAGCTGGCCACTGGCCGTGTCCCGCCATAAGCTGCCATATTTAGTTAAGTAATCAGGATTTTTGTGGGAGTCGGTAGGGGTGAGAAAGGAGGGGTTCAAATTGTTGACTGGGACAACAAAAGAGTTTTCTGCCCGGGTTGAACCAGCTCACCCTTGTATTTTGTCGATGACATTGTCCCATGTCCTCTGCCCCATCCACCTACACCATGTTGGTGTCGCTAGGGTGTGCTAGTTGTAGTTGTGTGTATATTATTATGTCGACAGGACTCCCCCAGTGTCTGAGTGTCTGAGGACACTGCCGCCTTGTCCTGGGCCGTGTCCTGCCATTGTGGCTGGCATGTGGTGCTCGTTAAATGCTAATTGCCGCATACTTGTAACCACTTTATGTGGATGCCTTTGTGCAGGGAAAAGTGTCAGGGAGCCTGGCTAATTGAAACTGTGCACAGTAACCCCGATCCCCCATCCAACCCCTGCTTTTCAAGCGAAGCTGTCCGAAAACTATTACCACATTTCGCGGCCATCAATCAAAGGCTTAATATCCGCGAGCCACGGTCTCTCCTCGGCCTTTTCCCTTGTCAGCCCAATGAGCATGTCAGAGGCAGAGCCAGAGAGACGGCACAAAGTGCATCATTCGACCGCTAATTTGGGCCGTAAATAGGAGGCCCACTGCAGTTTCCGGCTGACCTCCTGACGGGTCGCGTAACGCCAGCCTTTCGAAACTCTGGTATTCATAACGTAACGAGCCAGTTTCGCATGCAAATGTCATGGGTGGGTGAATGGGTTGGTGGTGCAAGATCATCGCATGGCATATGTGACCCATGTGAAGACGAGCCCATGCTATTCCGGTTTTCGGCATTTCCAGAGCTAAACCTCATTAGGAGCGAGGAGGCTCCCCTGGCAGATGCAGCTCTCTCGTTTTAGCATTTATCGTTCCGTTTTTCAATGACCTGGCCATCAGAGCAGCAGGCCAACTGGCTCTCTTAATTACCGAACATCGGCCAAATGCGTTTTTCTATTGGAAGCCGTTCGAGGCGGCAGTTCATCAGCCTGCGTCTCCATTTGCATAATTTCCAGGCAGGCAGCTCAAGTGCGGCTCTGATTGTGGTGGCTCATGACTTTCATATGCTCAGTTCGGTTCAATTCGGTGTAGTTCAGGGGGCATCGGCATCCATTTACCCAATTTGTGGGCCAGAATTTATTTGTATAGTCCATGTCAAGGATGCTGATGTGATTCCCTGGCTCGTGGGTGGGCATGAAACACTCGAAATGACATTACGGCCCGTGTTCGGCTGTTCGACTGGCTTCGAGGCCGGCAAATGGAATCAATATTATGCAAATAGCCAAAGTGGTCAGCCCACCCACTCGACCATCGCCCAATGTCGTTCCAGCCATTTCATTTCTGCATTTCAATCGACGAGAAAATGATGGCGATGGCATATTATTTTGCTGCATTCCATTTCATTCGTTGTGCAATAAAGTGCATTTTGATTTGCCTTTAACAGGCATCGGGAGTGGCGTAATAAATTATGCATGGCAATGCATGCAGAGTGTTTTAACCTTTTTTTATTTTGTGTTGTATGCGAAGCTGAGAACCAAGTTGATTTCACAAATCAATGCAGAAAAGTTTCAGGGAAAATATTTGTTTAAAATTTCAGCGCTGGTCAGTGGTCATAAATTGCCATCTGCCAAGTGCCCACTGATCACCATCTTTCAGCTTTCGCTGCCCTATTTTGATTAAGTGTCTGCGGCACCTTTCTACCTTTCTAGCGGGAGGTGCCACGCCCACTTCCTGGGCGGCCACTTGGGGCTGTCAGAAAGTTCGCTGCACTCATTAATCAGGCGCCGTGTGGAAACTAATTTAATGCAACTTAAATCAAAAGCAATTGTTGTTTTAGCCCGCTGCAATTTAGTCAGCCACTTCCGCACGCACCTCTCGGCCCGGGGTGGCTGAACTGGGTGGTTGGGTGGTTCAGTGGCTCAGGGATTGGGTGGTCCTTTTTGCCCCCGCCAATTGACGCGTCATAATTTCCAACACCATCGCTGTGAGGCTATGACCGCGCCCAGTTGAGTGCAAACTAAATTTATCAGCTATGCAATCGCTGGCAATAAATTTTTCACCCCTGCCCCTCTGCCGCTGCACCGCCCTAAACCAACTGGCCACGCCCACCTTCCTGACAAGCCCGAACATATGATGGCTGACTTGTTGTATTTGGTTGTACAGAGAATTCCGGCTAAACTTCTTTAAAATTGGCTAAAATTTCGAAATTGGTTATACCCCTTAAAACTAAATTGTAAGCCCATAAAATATTATATATTTGGAATATCGAACCTAGACTTAGTCAAAATAAATTTTAAATTAAAAAGCCTTTATTTTATCCAATCTTTATTTTACGACGCCCCCTTATTCTCTCGGTGTAGCCAGTTAAAGCCAGACATTTAAATGGCGCCGCTTATGCAATGCAAGGCACACATAAATCTTGACCAAACTGGCCAAGTGCAGAAGCAGATTAGATTGACCCCCGTGGGTGGTGACTAGGCAACCAGGCGAAGGCGACCCGGCGACCAGGTGGTCTTGGGTTTGTGTTGGTTCAGAGGAGGCTTACCCAAGGTAAACAGATCGCGCTTGAATTGCCGCGGGCCACGCATGAATACCATTCTGACCCGGACCATTTGCGTGTGACCGCCCTTCAGGTTGCCAACCCACCCAGAACCCGCAAGCCCACAAAAAAGAAAGCACCCATTCTCCATTTCTCCGCTGTTTTTATTTCGGTTCTAGCTTTGTGAAAGTTTTTTGCGTGCATTTCTATTTATGTGCCGCGCATAAAGTTTAGTGCGCCATCAAAATGTTGGCCGGGAAGAACAAGAGCGGCGGCAGAAGCCGGCTACAATGGCATATAAAAGCGGACCGAACGCGAGTTGTGTTAGCCGGCAGCGCCTAAAAGGCTGCACGCAATTTTTTCATTCGCCGCCATTCCGTGCGTGCCTCTGTGTGTGTGAGAGTACGTGTATGGGTGGCTGTGCTCGTGTGTGCGTTGCGGTTTGTTTGCATACAAAATTTGTACGTGTTATTTTAACTTTGCCGCTTTTATGTTCTATATATATAATTTTTTGTATCTTCTTTGTTGGCGCTGCAGAGACAACCACGATTTTAACACCTCTGCAAAAAGGGGGGCTGAAAGGGGGGCAGCAGCAACTTTGGTCCTTCAGGTGTTAATGTCTGCTGTACGGCCCGTGTGCGTGTAGCAGATAACGTTTCCGTATCCGGTTGCGTATCTATCTGTGTGTGAGGGAATCTGCAGGCACCGCGCAAAATAAGAAGACAACTCGGTGTTTGCTTTCACATTTATATTTGTTTAAACACTCTGGGGGGAAAAAGGAGGGGTCTCATTTATTGTATACATATACATATCATCATACATAGTAGTTATATCGTCGGGGAGCTTTTATCCTCTGGGTATCGCTACATACAGTTAGGGGGAATCTCTTCTTTTGGGGGGGACAGTTCGGCTACAACTTAAACACCTAGCTTACGGTTCTAGTTTAGCAAAGGTTCTTATCGATACAGATATGACACATATCCCGATTCTCCTTTATACAGTTCATACGACTAGGATGTGCGACAACTGAAAGGGTCTCAACTCCGGTAATTGATCCATCAACAAGATAATTCCACTTAGAGATTGCTCCTCCCTTACGGACTTCATTTACAAAACTAAATACAATTGGAAATACTTTTCAGAGTCAGAAAGCAAATACTTGCCGGAATCGTAACTAAAAGAGGGGAAAAGAGCACTTTCCAGCTTACTTTCCCCCTGGGTTTTTCGCTTTTTGTTTTTCGTTACTCGTTTTTTGTTTTTTGCAATTATGTAGTTTTAGCATCTGTTATGGCAAAGTTTGCAGCTACCATTTGAAATTGATGCCACTCAGACATTATTTGACAAAAGTCCAAAGTTTGCCCTAGACTTTGTCGTTACCATTCAAGTATTTACACAGAAATTACGCACAACGAACCCTCAGCTGGGCCTGATATTCGGGGACGATGGGCGATGGGGGATATGTCATATATATGGGATTGGAATTTAGTTACTTAACAATTTTGCTAATTGAATTCTGTGTGTCTCTGCACACAGGAGTTTCGTTTTTCTTGTTTTCTATGAGGAGTTTCATTTCCTCCTCCGCCGCCTTTAATACTATTTAACTCGTTTTCTCTCGCGTTGCTTAATGATTTTTACATGCTATAACACATTTACCCAATTTGTCTGTTTTTGTTTCTTGCTTTCCCTTCGCCTGCTCCTCTTCGCTTAAGAACTAAGGATATTACACTTAAAGTATACAAAATCACCATTTATGCTCTGCAATTGCAATTGAATTGAATTGAATTGAAATGAATGCTTTGTTAATTGAAACGAGTCGAACGGGATGCCAGTCGTCTTCGGGGACTGGCTTAGGTCAGCTCCGAGCCAAGTAGCCACTGCCCGGTTCTGGCCAGAATGATGGCGATGGTCAGTGTTCGCAGCAAGCTGCTCTCCGAGTGGCCAGCTGCTCCTTTCACTGGGGAAGGTAAACAGAAAAAGGGGGAAAATGGCAGGGAATCGAATTAGTTAGGAGTTTTCAGTTGGTAGCCGCTCCTCGCGGAGGTCACTCACCCAGCAGCATGGCCTCGCGGTTGTCGATGATCCCCGGCCGCCGCTGCAGGACGCTCTCCTTGCCGCCCTTCCACAGGACCGGCGATATGCTGGCCAGGCACTTGACGCGCATGTCGCCGTCGTGGAAGTGGCGCGGCTCCAGCGGCAGCTGCAGGCCCAAAGTCGAGGTGATTAGCCCGTGTTTGTGCACGATGTCGTTGTATTTGTGCAGGTAGTGCTCGTCGAGGATCTGAAAAGAGTCGAAGAGGGGCTTAAATGGTGCACTGAGGGAAAAGGCTTTCACTTAATAATATTTAAAATGAAATACTCCAGCAATTGCTTTCTATTTCATACTCAAACATTTAATCCTCCAGCAGCCTATTCAAGGATAAATCATATTTTGATGGCCCAAATTTAGGAAATATAATTGCAGCAGCTTTATGATTAAATGTTTATTATTTATTTATCAAAGAGTATGACTCTCGGTGTGAGTATAATATATTTCATGATTGTCTGCAATAAATTTCCTTAATTCATGCTTAAGTTTTATCTAGTTAAATTTGTGTCAGCCATGAAATAAATAGGATTTAGCATAACTCAGAAATATTATTACGGAACGGAAATTATAATTGATAATAACGAATAATAATAATTGAAAATTTTAAGGGTAACCTCTTTAGGTTAAAAATTCCAGGCTGAGTTCTAATTTGCGCGCCGTGTATGAACGGAATTAAAGGTCTGCATCGGGAGTTTCCTCCTATCAAGTGCTGGGGGTTGACACACGCGGCGTATGAGCAACCGAACGGAAACGGGACCGGCAATGGGCGTGTCTGGAACATGTCTGGCAAATGCTTGAGGGGACGCTTTTGTGTTCCAAGCCGGATTGTTGGAGTTGGAGTCGCAGTCTCCGTCTCCGTCGCCATCTCCGCCGCCATCTCCATCTCCGACTGAAACTCCGACTCCAATGAAGGTTACAATTACAAGAGCTTGATAATTCCTCCCTTTCAGTGTTTGCCGCTGTCAGCAGAGTGCACTGCCTTCACGAGGGGCGGAAGTGGACGGGGGAGGCGGACAAATGGATGGGGGGCCGGGGCCGCACTTAAACTTGGCTCGAAAAGAAATAAAATCATTTGCCATAAATAAGAGAAATGTGCAGACCTGATAAAAAATGTGAAACGCTCAAATAAATAACTTGAACTTTTCCCTGCTGCTTTTTTTCGATTTGCTTCGAAATTGGGTTCTGCGAGGGTAATCGGAATGGGAATTCGAATTCGGTCTGTCCTCGGGGTTTCGTGGTTCCTGGGGAGGGGGGTTGGGAATTGGTTAGCACTTTGCCAGCGAAATTGTTGCCATTTGTTAGCCGATTGCTTCGCCCGACCCTCCATTGTGGCCCGCTTTAAACTTTAAAGGCATAAATTAAAAGTGCGAGGTCCGATTCCGGACTCCGGATTCCTATTTCCCTACATTTCCCTGCTGACACAACAAACATGCCGAAAATGCCGTCAGCTGTCCTGACCACTCCCACGCCAAACTGGCTAAAATGAGGAGGGCTGGCCATAAAATGAGGGCACTTAGAATGCCCGTCGCATTCCGGAAAACTTTCACCCAAGATGCCGCCAAAATTTATTTCTACGCATTTTGCGGCTTGGCCAGGGCTGTTGTATGTATTATAAGTTTTTCGTTGAATTGCACAAATATTTTGGCCCTGCTGATGGACACTTTTATTGTAAATTGCACGAATGCCTGGCCGGGGAGCGAGTATACGACATGTTGTACGGCCAGACAAATGTTATTAAATAAACGCTCCCTAGTTTCATTGTTCCTCGAGCTGCCCTTATACGTTTGACGGATGCGCGGCCAGTAAACCTCCCTCTATATAAAATATCGTGGGGTAGTCTTCATTATTCAGGAGGGTTTGAGGGGGTTAGGGGTTGACGAAAGAGGGATGATTCCAGCTGCCATTGTTGGAAGGCAAATAAACCGGGAATCGTGCCTAATCGCACTTATTGATTTTTCTCGTATTTATACAAAGCGAACGAGAGGCACGAACGTTCCGGAGTCGGGGCTTTCGAGGAGGGGAAGTCGGCATGGTACAATGAACTAACTCGTACCTTAACGCCTCGATTCACACAATTTGAGTGCCATGTAGTCAACGTCGACGATAAAATGCAGTGCGCCACCCACTCGCCGCCTCTCGATTTTTGTGTTCCGGCCACGGCAGACATGTAACGAGCTTTCGGCCAGATGGATGGCGATGGCCCAGTCTCAGTCCCAGTTTCTGTTTCAGTTTCAGAGTCGAGACCCCATCCTGCACACCTGCCCCTCAGCTACACCTACACACCTAAGCCCCCGACATCGGGCCATAAAACATGCCAAAGCCAAAAGGGAAGAAAACCCGAAAAATGTATTCGATGCCCAAGCCTGCCCGTCTACATGATTTTTGTTCATGAAATTATTTCAGCAACCTGCCCAGCTGAGTCCACTCGCCTCGGGCTTCGTTGTCTGCCGCGTTGTTAGAGGCTTAAATATTTACTGCATGCATAATTTCTACAATTTTTTTTTCTGCCAGCTCTTGATTAGCGCGGACCCAAATAAAGGGTTTCGTTTTATTTGCTGGGAGGAATGGGTAAGGGCAAATATATATTTGACAAACTCACCGGCTGCTCGTTGACAAACCACTGCAAATGCGAGGCCGGATGTGATTTGCCCGACGTGCAATTTAAATACAAGTACTCGCCGATCTGATACTGATACTGCTGTCCCCTTATATGTGGTCCATCGCGGGGCAGAACTGAAAAGAGTGGGGGAAAATACATATATGCATCAATTGTGGATAGAAGATTTGCATAAATAATATGGGGGGATTAATACTCGATATTATCCCTTCTGATGTTATCTGCCGCAGCTTTGAACTCCAGTTTCCCTAGTCCCTCCCCCAAACCAGTTACCAATAAATATTTGCTGCGGCTTTCACCCTTGGTCGAGTAATTTATTAACAATTTTTTGTGTTGCTTTGCCCGGCAAATATTTACCCGGCACACACACTCCGTTTTCGGGGGACCTTCCCCCTTTTGCACAGACGCTTTCAATGGGATATACAAATAAATATTTTTTCGCTGCTCAAATAGAACATAAAACACACAGATAAACCAACAGCAACAGCAAAAGCAACAACTGCAATTGCAAAAGGGATTGGGGCTGAGGATCTGGGTGTTCTGGGGCTACACAAAATATGTTGTAAGCGGCCAGACTGCGGAAATATCCATTAAAATGGCATTTTAACTTATAAATCGCTGGCGTGGCCCCCCCGTAATCCCCGCTGCTCTACGGCTTCGGTCTACGGCCAAGCCCCTACCGTTTTTATATATTCCCTTTTGCCGCTGGCCATTTGGTAAATAAAAATAGCAAAAAAAGCAGCAGTAGAGTGGGCAGCAAAGTTTAGCGCGTGTGTAAAGCGTTAAAAAATGCAGAGACCCGGCTTGGATTACAAAAATATGCTGTTATGAAACTAAAGCTTATGAATGACTTTTTAAAAGCATTTCCGCCCGCCCGGCCCGATAAAGAAGCCCGAACAAACAGCAGCGCCAGTCGCATTAGTAGACCAAAAGCGAAAACCGGCAGAAGCTGCAAAAATGAACTCGATCCGAATCGGAATATATATGTGGGTGTATGTGCGGGTGGGCTTGCGGCGGAAAGTGGACCGCAGAAATGGTAAACAGAGCCACGGCAAGGCTTTTAAATATACAATTTAAAACAGCTAAAGCTTTTACCAAAAATAATAGAATAATAGAGGAGTACGAATGAAGGTCAAACTGGGGTTGCTTTTAGTGCCACTTTTTATTACAGTTTTATTAGATGAAGGACAGATTTTAATTTGAATTTCATTCGTTGGCGTATTGAAATCCTATTTGTCTTGCTTATTTAAACTATTTCGATTAAAATCTCGTATCAATTTCCAGTCTTGCATTCACAGAAGGTCTGTGAGTCCTTAGCCGCTTATTGAAATTCCTTGCAGATTGAATTAAAAATCTGTGTACAAAACCATGAATACTATTCACATTTTGTTTCCCTCTGTATTGGAATGCTGTCGAGCAAATAAGCAAACAAGCTTCGGCTGTGTGATGCCAATAAGGACGGAGATCCAGATTTAAAACCCGCCACCCCCGCACTTGTCCTGTATTTGCACTACCAATATTTGCCTGTAATTGATGTGAAATTTTTCGAGCAAACATTTGCTTGGTTGTGTGCTGCTTGCGGGTTGTGCTTGCAACAAATATAATAAAATCGGGCAGGCAAATGCGGAACGTGACTGTGAATAGATTGGAGTTCGGCCTGCCACTTGGTACTCACAGACAATGTCCATCCGTCCCTCGCCCTGCACGGAGGAGAAGTTGGGGGCCTCGGCGGACACCTCGCAGCGGTACGTTCCGGTGGAGTTCAGCGTCAGTCCGCGCAGCAGCACGCGACTCGCGTCCGAGAGCTCCTCCTGCAATGGAAACGGGAGTGGCGAAAAATTAGCATACTCAAACATCAACAATAGAACAAACAAAATTTCGAAAACAAATTCCAATAATTCCAGTATGACCGATCCCCACATGTAGTCAAAGATTATAATACCCTTTATTGCTTTGATTTGCACTAAGTTCTGATTTTTTATTGGCTTAAAAATAGGATTAGCAATTAAAGAATGGAAAGAATTTTTTTTTTCGAGGGTTTTGCAAAGCCTATAACATTTCCTAAAGAAATCGCGATGAAAACTTTAAATTTGTCATTTTTTATTTTACTTTACGTTTTTTTTTTTTTTACAAAAAACCGGCAAAAATGTTAATCGAAATGCCATAGGACATTTTATTACGAATTCGACGATATATGACTTCCGTGATTGTATTATATTTCCAATGTGTTGATCAAAATATAAAAATTTTTTCTGGTGAATATTTGGTTTCTGCGTTGTTGGTAAAAATATGAATTTTTGCCCTTGCCCTAAAGTCTAAAAATTGTAATATATGAGGAATACTCACAATGACGCGCACTCCGTCCACTCGGTAGCTGGTTTTTGGCGGCCGGGCCTTTGGCACGTAGCGGTAGAACTCCTCGTTGTCCTTGTACCACTTGATGGCGTACAGGGCCTCGCCCTCCTCGACCTGTTCCTCCTCCTCTTCCTCCTCCTCCTCCTCGCGGTCGATACTGTCGTCGAAGCTGTCCGCCCGATCGAACTCGGGCATGTAGGCCGCCGGCCCGCCGTTGTTCCCGTTGTTGCCGTTGCTGCTCACCGACACGGAACCGCTGTGAGTGCTGGCGCCCACGTGGGCGGCACCCAGGTAGCCGGAGGCCGCACTGCCCCGGTAGACACTGTGCCCGTACGGCGACTTCTCCGGCGGAGCCGGCGGCTGCTGGTGGTTCTGTTGACTCTGGTACTGCCGCATGGCGATGGGCTCCCGGTCCCGCTGCCTGGGGCGCTGCCCGTGCTGCTGCCGCTGATTCTGGCGCATCCGGGGGCGACCGTACGGCGACCGCTCCTCCTCCAGCGGCTCGCCATCCGGATAGTGGAACTCGCCGCCGTGGCTCTGGTGGCCGTGGGCATGGTCGTGGTCCGAGCGACTCTGCAGCCCCGTCACCGTGTGGTGCGTCCGGTTCAGCTCGTACTGGCACTCCAGGAAGGCGGACTCACCGCGCAGCTTGTAGGCGGGAATGGAGACCTTTATCATGCGCAGGCCCACGGCAAAACCTAAGGCAGAAATTTAAATAATTATAATATTTTTAAAAACAATTTGAGAGCCCGGTGCCAATTTAAGCAAAACTTTCGCAATAATGGTGTCAGCAATCAGGCGAAAATATTATCCGAAAATATCAAAATAATTTTCTCTATCGCAGACAAGTATTGAAATCAGTGAGTCTCGGAAATCAATAAACTGGCAAGTCGCCCGGGGATATGGAGCGCCTATTTGCATAAGAAAAGGGCGCAGGATGCGAGATGATGGCAAGTGGGAGGACAGGGGACAGGGAACAGAGGACAGAGTTCAGAGGACCCGCCGGGCATTCGCCAAGGATTACGCTAGTCGCAACAAGGCCAGAGGAAAATTAAAATATTTCCCGCATTTTCCGGGCCACGTCAAGACGAGTCAACTTCTTGTTGCTGATGACGACGCAAATTTTCCGCCTGCCGAGCTGCGTTGGCCAAGTATTTGCATAATTGATTTGTCCTCTGGACTAGACCACTAGTCCTGCCCCCGATTCGCGATGCCAGGACAAACAATTATTGTTTTAATTAAAGAGGACCCACGGTTTGATCGCCAATTGCTTATTTATGAGTAGCGATTCTGAAATATGCAGGCAAATGAAGGCAGGTGGCCATTGGTGGGCCATTGTCCTGGTCGCAGGCTATCTGTTATACCGTGTCGGCCGGCTCGTAAATATTAATAAATGAGTGCGTAATCGGGCTTAATCCTTTGTAAAATTACAGCACCGCGGAGCCAGGGCCACAAATTATGAAGGCCGGCAGGCGAAGGACAGCGACCAACAGGATATTGTCCGTTTGTAAGCTTCCTGGCTGTCATTCATCCTCCCCCCATAACCCCCTTACCAACCCAAATAAATGCCCTGTTTAGCGGTTTATTTCGGCGAAGCTGCTCAGCGAGCGTTAAATTAGAATGGCAGTCGTCATAAATATTTGAATATCTGGCCATTAGGAGCCGGGCTGTCGGCTAATTGGCCATTGGCACTGCCATTGGCAGCTGGCAAACTTTGTTAGCCGCTTAAAGACGTCGGCAATTGAATGGGATTAAACAGATTGACAGTCTCTGATCTGGGACTTGGCGAGCAAAACTTTTCCATTGCAGCTGCACAACTTTTCCGGCTCCCAGGGCCCCGGGAAACTGATTGAATTGGCAGGACCAGCAGCATGCGGAGGATGTGGTTGCGGATACTCAAAGCTCGATGCTCGATGCTCGACGCTCGAGTGGAGTAAACAATTTTGATTTGCCTAACTCTTATTTAATTACGGAATTAGATTGCTTTTAATTTCGTGTCGAGAATGCCAGAATTTTGCATTTTAACGCCCGCACTCGGCCGAACTAATTACATTTGGCCATTAATTAGCGCCGGAATTTCAAGGGCCCAGCACACGTTGTTTAATTGGCCAATTTTTATGACAGCGACTTTGATGGACGAGTCGAGGTGCGTCGTTCCGCTGACGTCAGGCGGGAAATGGGCTTAATGAAATTAAGCTGCTTTCCCGAAAAAACAAAGGCCCGAGTAAGACTACAGACTACTGCAGATACAGGCCAAAGACAAAGCAGCCTGCGCAGAGCAGCCAACACATGTCATTCGGGCAACGCTACAAAGTGTCTTAATGTTAATTAAAAAACAGCAAAGTCCCATCCGACAAACAACAACGAGGCACAGACGGCCCAAAAACGCTGGCAGGATCGGATGGAAAGCAGTAGACAATGGGCGAAAGTTGCATGAGAGCTGATTAAAATTGCCTGCCGGGCGGGATGCTGCTTCCAAAGAATTTTAGCCCAGGGAAATGGCATTGATAACAGCCAAGTCGAGTCGGGCGACAAAAGCTTACATTCGGATCCGGATCCCAAATTAAATTACAAGTTGATGTGCCTCGAATGGGATTCCATTTCAATGAGTCTCTGGAAAACACACATTCAAGCCGTAAACATGCCAGCAGCGCAGCATCTCAGCATTGTCTAAATGCATCGCAGCGAACAGAAGTGGCCTCTCCCCAAAAACCCCTCAAAAGGGGGATCACCGCAAGTGTACTAAGCAGTAAGCAAGGATTATGAGTGCTTTCGCCTTGAAACCGTAACTATTATGTGGTTTCTGAGTATTTAATGTAGGACTCAAGGACTTAGTAAGTATTTCATTGGTTAATTTAAGGAATGAACTCTGTTATATATAACTTTTTACATTTAATTTATTATTTAAATTTTTTACAGAATTGTGAAGTATTAAATTTATTATTTTAATCATTTTCCTGTCCAAAAGTATTTTCCAAAGTTTTTGGAATGGAATTTTAAATAGGCAATTCACACTTCCCACCCACTGTGGCCCGGAGCAAGGACAACAAAAGGCAAAAGTTCCAACTGTCTGCCTATCAGCCCGCCTGTCTCAAACTCCCGGCTCCACTTGACTATCGCTTGCTCCCCCGAACTTGCTAGAATAAAGTTCCATATTTAAATTAGTATGTAAAGTATCCGCAAAGCAACGCGGCGCACTTGATGTAAATTGAATATGCATAAGCCGGCGGAGGGCGAAGGGGGGCAGGAGTATCGTTCAGTATGCATGATAATTTCGTTCATTAACGCATATTTAAACAGGGCGAGCCCCCCACTCAGCTGCCAGTCCTCTCCGTTTGCCTTCCAGCTCACCTGCAGGTTAAATAAGTCCTACGGTCCCCCGAACTTTTCTGGTGTTTAGCATAATTCGATAAAATTGGCAAACAGAACGAAAGGGAGGAACGGGGTGGAACGAGGCGAACCGAAGCGAAGGACAGGAAAGTAGAAAGACAAACAAAGGAGCCGGGGGGCGGGCAGCTCCGGAAAAAGGAAAATGGAAGGGTGGCGGCCGGCCCAAGGTAAACTGACCCACAGAGCGATGCCAAATAGCGCATAATGAAGGCCGCCATTAGGAGATAAAGCTGGCAACAGAAATCGGTTGTAGCAGCTTAGTTGCTATCAATGATGGGTGGATCGGGATCGGGGGTGTGGGCTCCCTTAACTTTATACCACTAATGAGTTTGCGCCTTGGCAGCAATTATGCGGACCGCTCGCGCAGGAGGCTGGCAAACTTTGCTATCTGGTAAATCATTTCGCCCGAACCTGAGCCACAAAGTTGCCGAAAAGTGTCAAAAAACTGGAAGACACAACAGCGATGGGCGGCTGCCATTGATAGTGGGCTGCCAAGTTGCCAAGTTGGAGCGGAGGCTCATTAGGGCCGCGCTTCTTATTTGCGGCGTCTAGACTTCATTAAAAACCCTGACGTTCGCTTTTGGCTCGCACATTTCTTTTTTTTTTGCCCCCCAGCCCGTCGCTCCGCCTGATGAATATTTATTGTGGCATTGACAGCTTAAACTCCGCTTAATGTTGTTCATTAAATGCGTTTAAAAAACAATTACTGCGGCCACGAATCGCGGGTGGGAAGTGGGTAGTGGGCGAGCGCTTGGCCTTGTGCTAAATACGCAAACAATTATATTAAAAAAACAGCGAGAGAGCGAAATGCAAAAGGGGGCAAAATAAAAACCTAGACGAAATTGTAATGAAAAAGCCTTTGGGATAGTTTTAGCTTAGTTTGCGCAGTAACCGAGCAACAACAAAGGCTATCCTTGCAGCGGGATAGCCTGAAACGAGAACAATGCGGCGCAAAAAAGTATGCAACAGTTTTTGAAAGGCTCGCAAGAGCAAGAGAAAGAAGGCGAAAGTACTCATACGCCCCGTTGCCGCTGCGCGATTGCGTGTGCAATTTTTCTGTTTGCTTTTTTTGCAGCCACCACAAGCGACAACAACGGGCAAACAAAAAACAGAAACAGCATGCAAATCTGTTCAAGCGCTTCTGATGTATTCAAGTTGACACAAATCTGGCGCAAATCCTCGCACACACACACACACATATACGGCGAGAGTGAGCTGGGAAAATGGCCACTCCACCCTAAGCGACACTGACAAGGCGAACTAACACACACACATGTAATGGTGAGACATACTATGTTTATACGATAGCAATCACGATTTCTTGAAAGCGCGATATAGAAATAGCCCCTGTTTATACGACAGCCGAGAATTCATGCTTTTATTCACTCTCAGCTGATAGGAATGCCGGACCGGTAAAAATATCTAATTTTTAATACCACTGATTAGAGAAATGGCCTATAAAAGGCCTTCAATTTCTAGCGATCTGGCAACGTCAATCATTTTTTACAGAGTTACCAGATTGCATATAACCAAATCACGCTTTTGGGCTGAAATCATAGTCAACTTTCGTGTGTTGCCGAATTCACGAAATGGCGTTTATACAAGCACGAATCGGCCGAAAGCGTGAAATGATAGCGTGAATTCGGCATCGTATATACTATGTTTATACGATAGCAATCACGATTTCTTGAAAGCGCGAAATAGAAATGCTTTTATTCACTCTCAGCTGATAGAGATGCCGGACCGGTAAAAATATTAAATTCTTAATACCACTGATTAGAGAAATAGCCTATAAAAGGCCTTCAATTTCTAGCGATCTGGCAACGTCGATAATTTTTTACAGAGTTACCAGATTGCTTATCACGAAATCACGCTTCTGGGCTGAAATCATATACTATGTTTATACGATAGCAATCACGATTTCTTGAAAGCGCGAAATAGAAATAACCCCTGTTTATACGACAGCCGAGAATTCATGCTTTTATTCACTCTCAGCTGATTGGGATGCCGGACCGGCAAAAATATCTAATTTTAATACCACTGATTAGAGATATAGCCTATAAAAGGCCTTCAATTTCTAGCGATCTGGCAACGTCGATCATTTTTTACAGAGTTACCATACTGCATATCACCAAATCACGCTTTTGGGCTGAAATCATAGTCAACTTTCGTGTGTTGCCGAATTCACGAAATGGCGTTTATACAAGCACGAATCGGCCGAAAGCGTGAAATGATAGCGTGAATTCGGCATCGTATAAACACCGATTCGTGCTTGTATAAACGCCATTTCGTGAATTCGGCAACACACGAAAGTTGACTATGATTTCAGCCCAAAAGCGTGATTTGGTGATATGCAGTATGGTAACTCTGTAAAAAATGATCGACGTTGCCAGATCGCTAGAAATTGAAGGCCTTTTATAGGCTATATCTCTAATCAGTGGTATTAAAAATTAGATATTTTTGCCGGTCCGGCATCCCAATCAGCTGAGAGTGAATAAAAGCATGAATTCTCGGCTGTCGTATAAACAGGGGTTATTTCTATTTCGCGCTTTCAAGAAATCGTGATTGCTATCGTATAAACATAGTAATAGTCAACTTTCGTGTGTTACCGAATTCACGAAATGGCGTTTATACAGACACGAATCGGCCGAAAGCGTGAAATGATAGCGTGAATTCGGCATCGTATAAACACAGTAATAAACACAGTAACAGGCAACAAAACATTTATGAATAAAATAGAAACAACACGAGCAACAGCGACAGCAACTGACGAGCGAGAAACGAGCAAATTAAAATCAAAATAACCGCAGGTGATGAGCCAACAGGAAGGGAGAAAGCGGGGAGAAAGGGTGAGGGAAAGCAAAGGAAAGTAAATGGAAAAGGGGTGAGGGGGGAAAAACAGTTGCTGAGCTGGCGTGTAATTGAAAAGAGAAATAACAATGGAGGCGAGGCAAAGGCAATGGCGCAACATGGCGTATGCGCAATATTTGATCACATGGCCAGGACTCATTTGTGGCCACTTAAAGTTGGGCGAAATGTGAAATGCGAAAGTCGAAATGGAGTATAACGCAAGGAAGCTGCCGCAAGACGTGTGCCTCACGTTCCACAAACAATTTGCCCAAAAGTTTTCCCCTTATTATTTCGCCAGCGTCTGCAGTTTGCCCTTCGGAAATCGATTGCCGTGTTTTGCACTCTAGGTGCGATTACATATTTGCAAAATGAAATGGAATTTATGGTTGGTAAGGGGGAGGGAAAGGAACCCCCGCTGACTGCGCTCCAATCGTGCGTCATTGGCGTTTAATACGTGTGAGTGATTTCCCCGGGGGGTTAACGTGCAGCTGGCAGCAGAGGAAAAGCTGGAAAACTGCAGAGCCCAAGAAGAACTGCGTCTGTCACGTCACGTCCATGCGGCTGCACTTGACAGATGCATATGCGAATGTATGTGGAAATGGCAATGGAGCCAACTTGGCGCCCAACGCAAAATTGACAGCTCACTCGGCAGGCGGCCGGGTGCTGAAAACCTTTGCAACGCACATTAAGCCCTGGGAAATTCTATTAAAAAAATTATCATGTTTATTTAAAATAAAGCGAAAATTGCCGGGCCAAGTGGCGGCCACCCCGGATTTTATTCTGGGCGCCCCACTCATTTGTATGCGCTCCGCATGCGGCCCACAAGAAAAATAACTGAAATAAGTGAAACGAGCGGGTCGTCAGCGGGGATTCGGGTGGGCTGGGGATGTTCATACGGGGATTAGTGGGCGGTTATGCCCTTTTTTCGGGGCTGCCGACACGCACACACTGTTACGCGTACATACATATGTGCGTTTGGGTGTTAAAACGCCACAAGTGACTTTGTCGAGCAGTTACAATTTGCTTTTTATTGACTGGCAAGGTGTCGACACGCGCAGGCATTGAACTGGAAATGTTGGGGTAAAATCAACCACTCCGCCCACTCAACCCCCTCAACCACCGTCGGAAAATGGCATTGAACACTTTTGCACTCACCTTGCAGCAAACAGCAAATGAACACAATGAGTCGTGTATCGTTTGTGTATTTCATGTTTATCGCATAATATGTAATCCTTGGCGAAACAATAACTGAGCTGCGGGGATGATGATGATGCCGGTGCTCGGGAGAATGGAAATCCGTTGCCGGAAAACTTTTCTGCGGATTCTCTCCTCTCCTCCCCTCGTCTTTGGTGGTTTCTTGTGCTGATTTAAGCGTTTTTCCCTCCTCGCTTTTATTGTTGCTTGATGGGACTTAGCTCGGCTTGTGTTTTCTCTGCGTATTACTTTCAGAAACTTTTCGCATAAACTTCCAGCCTGTTGCCATTAATAGTTGGCTCGATCCGTTGGCCAGGGACAAGTGCTGCGGCAGTCTCATGTGTTCCGGCTGCAGCCAGCTCATTAAACTCGGTTTTGTCTCACTTGTACTGCTGTGCAGCCTGCAAGAATAAGAGCACAATAAATGGGATTTAATAAAGTTTGATGGCCCTGCTAAAGGTAAAGTTATCCTAAGGAGACCTCAATTTCAGACAAGGCCGTGCCACAGCCATTTTTCACATAAAGTTCCCTTTTCAATTTGTCCTGGTTTCTAGATTCTGGTGATGGTGCTGGTCCTAGTTCTGGTTTATCATTTCTCATCAGGTCAGGGCACAAAGAAGGCAGGCCGGAGAATAATTCTCAATCAAATGACATTGTTTCGCAATCTGTGTATCTGTGCTTCTCTTTTCGCAAATGACAGTAACCTCAATTTGGCCATCAGCAAATGATTTCGGTGACCGGAATCCAGAGACAATTTATTGATTGTGCCCATTGTTTCCCGGTTAGCTATAGCCAGGCTAGCAGCAATGGAAATAGAAACGGAAATGGAAATGGGAACTCATTACATAACACTCCCATCAGCATTTGGCTGTCATTTATTTTTTGCCACAAGAGCTCGCGTCAGATGTTCGCATGGAAATAGATTTGCCCTAACAAAACTTATAAATACACGTTACAAATCGAACTCCCGCAAAAGGACGAAGGTTAATGCGTGGGCGTTGCGTGGGGCGTGGGCGTCGACAGCTGTGGTGGCCAAATGCCGCAGCTGAGGTCATAGGTCAGGTCGTGTGTGCCACAAAGCTTTATAAAATCGAACCAAATTAAGAATTCATAGGCAAAGCGAATCAGAGCTGTATCAAAAAAGGCACAACTTTCTAAAAAATAGCATAATATATCGACACAATGATGCCCTAAGAGAGGCTCAAGGAGAAAAAACATTTAGCTGGCCTTCAAGTCCAACATTCCCACTCGGCTAATGGACATTTGTCTAGCAAAAAACAAAGCCCAAGGACACGTGCCTTCCAGGACCACCAGCCGTCGAAGTGCTCATGAAATGCGCATAAATCAAGGGGGCCAACGGCTCGTCCTGTGGCTTTGGCACTGCCTGCCGCCTGCCAGCCAGGCTCTTAATGAAAAATGAAGCTGAAATAATCATAAAAAAAAGATGGAAGGAAAACAACTTTCGGGTGGCTGCCGGCAGAGCGGAAATGTAAATGCCAAGTAAACTGTGACGCTCGTCGCGTCTTATTCTTTTCGCATTTGGCAACAGAAGCAGAAACTTTGCCCGGACCAACCCAATCCGGCCCCGAAAACCCGTATTCCAGGCCCGGACTTTTTGTCCACACTCGGAGATGGATTTGTCTGTTGCGTTGCTTCATTATGCGCAGTGCCAGCAAAGTTTGTTCGCCCTCTATGCTCCTCCTTTTCCTCCTCCAAGGGACTTTTGTTTTGCTTGGCCCAAAGTGCTGCGCCTGCGATTATGCAGCAAAAACTTTCGGAGCGCCGCCATTTTGCATTGCAAAGCGCGGGCAACTCAAATTGGGTTGCTCCAGCGTTATCCCGAATGCTTGACTGACTGAGCAACTGGCTCCACGGCAAAAAATATCGCTTTCAGTTCGATATTAATAGATCAAAGTGTTGCTTGTCTCGGCAGGATTTGTCAGCCAGCTATTGTTAAAAAATTCAATTTAAATCTGTTCATAAATTTAAATATAATTTAAAAAATAATCTGGAAAAATATAATACTTTCTCTATTTGACAAAAAATAATTTAAATAATAAATAATTTAATTTAATAATATAATCAACAAAATAAAATATTTTGTAATACATTTTCAAGACTGCTTGAGGACCATCAACATCTTTCTTTCTGTGTGGCTGATGAACCATTGGCTGCCAGCATTTTGCGATGCATTTTCCAGCGAAGTTGGCTAATTCTTAAGTTGCTTAAATATGTGCAAACATCGCGCGACAAATGTAATTCGTCTCCTGGCATTGTGTCCTGTCCCTTGGCCCCGGAATCCCTGGAGTCCCCGCCATTCCCCGCCCACCGCAGCCACTCATCTAACATCGCCGCCACTGGGTTGGCAACTTTTCTAGTTGCGGTCCCATCATATTAGAATGCAGCTCCACTCTGTGCTGAACTTTCGCCACTGCAGCTCCTCAGTTTCTGTGTGTTTTGCCAGCTTTTCTTCATCATCCGAGCCCCTCGGCAGCCCCTTTGGATGATTTTTTGTCTCTATCGGTGGCCTCTGTGTTTGTTATTGTTGTCGCTCTTGTTGACTGCAGAAGTTATTAAAGCTGCAGCCGCACTTTATTATTGTGAAACAAAACCCGAAACAACAACAGCAAGGAGCTGAGTCGCAAGTTCTCCTCCGTTCGAGTGTGTATCCTGGCACACAGACATGTGCGAGCTGGCATTGTTTATCTTTCACATTGTTGACACAACTTTTGCAGGATATTTCGAGGACCTCTATGTAGTTTCGGTGTGTGTGTGTGAAAGTGTGTGTGTGTGGGTGGCCGGGATATCATTTGTATTATGGTAATTTAATATGCATTAGCCAATGTCAGGTCCCCGGCCCAAATCGATTATTTTAGCAATTATTATAATTTCGAAACGGCGATGGGCTGGCAAATTAAATTTGTTCCTCCGGCCAGATTTCCATATCCCCATGTGCATATATGCATGGGCAAAATGGCAGAATGTAGCCACAAGTGACCTAATAATGTCGGGGGGCACATTTGAAGGCTCCCCGTTCGCTTTGCCGATGTCAGAATGTCAACCAGCTATTTACATCTCTGTACACATGTTTGTGCCCATATGTGCATTGTGTCTGTAATAGTATTGATTTTTCATTTGACACATGGGTCGCACTTATCACTGCACACACATCTCCATCGTATGTTCGTACATATATATTTATATCCAGGGGGTGGACAGGTCAGGTGTGTTGGCTTTGGACGGGCGGATAAAGTTACATTACCAAAAATCGCATTAAAATTCAACAGGCTAAATTATTGTTGGCAAAAAGTCAAAATGTTTGACACTTAATCCAATTTAAAATACATTTTGCATTAGCGCTGGAAGCCAAATCCAGAGCGGATAAGTTGGGCATGCCAGTTAATTAGGTATGAACTAAGTGGTCGAGCTGGAATTACGGCGAAACCTCAGAGGGTTAGGTGTTTGCGGAATTAATGTATTTAAATTAAGCGAAGCTTAGAATTATAATCATGATTACTTTGTGAAATTGCAATATCTATTAAATTATTTTTTTATCAGCAGTGCTGGTACACAAAACTTGACCTATTCATTTCATACCGAAAAAGTATAAATGCAATTTGTTTCTGTTTATTAATACCCATCGAAATGTAGAAGACATTTAGCGATCGCTTGTTTAATTTATATTTATTTTCCAACCGGGGTATAAAAAGTGCTAAATGTTTGCCGGTCACTAAATAACAATCTGTGCGGATAAACTAAATCAAACGAGAGGCACTTCCCCCAGGACACTTCAGCATCTGTCTTCTTTTTGAAAAATATATTAAATGCCATCTCGTGCCATAAATTCATGTGGCTTTTCTGCGGCTAAGCCTGTGGCAGGATAAACACACACTGGCACTCGAAAAATCCCAGGCCACTTGACAGATTAGGACTAGGATATCGATGACAATTGATGGCAGCACATTTTTTTTTTCCAACTTTGTTGGAATTTGTTTCGATCAAATCGGAGTGAGTCGTAAATATGTTTTATAAAGTGCAGCTGCCGACTGTTGAAAAAAAAGGAAGAGCAAATAAGGCGAATAAATAAGCTGCGCATGATTGACAATGCAAATTCATTGGGGAAATGTTTGCTGATGTTGTAAATTTTATTTCCCCCCTAAACCGTGCAGCTGGCAGCCCCTGGCGAGTGTTTTCTTTGATGGCCTTTTCATTGAGTGCTCAACTAATAAAGTTTCGCATATGTGGACAAATATCACGTGCTGGGAATAAAATGAGTTTATGAGCGAATACAAAAAGATGGAATGGCACCGCCATTCATGCGGGGGCGTTGAGGGCAACTAAAAAGTGTTTATGGTTCCCTCTTTTTTATGGTTCTCGGGGCTCTCTCAGGCTCAAACTATTATAAATAAATTATCATTTGCCTAAGCCGGCACGAAGAGACGCTTTCCTAACGCCAGTTGCATGTTAATTTCGGCTTTAACTCGGGGCTTAAATTAAATCAACAGCGCAGGGAAAACACCGTGAAAAATGGACATAAAGGAAGTCGAAGCGGCAAACAAAGGCCGGAACGGAGGACATTCATTGACATAAAACTTAAATTTTTAATGCCAGACCTACCCCACCTCCCGCCCTCTTCCAACGCGTTGAATGTGTGTCGTTTCAGGTGCAAGACACATAAAAAATAAATGAGCACAGTACAAGAAAAGCGGCGAGAAAGGAAAGCCAAACAAAAATACAAAATACAAAGCTGCACGGCGTGGAAAATAAGTGGAAAGCCACGGCGTGCCACAATTGTGCGGGTAAGGGATAAAGTCGGTGGGTGGAGGGCGGTAGGTGGCACAAAGGGGCGGCCATCCACATTTCCACATTTTGTCACCCAGCCGCGTAACTCGCGACAATTTTTTATGGCAAACAAATTTTGTTTTTGTTTCTCTGCTTGTGTTTCTCGCAGCGCCACAAACAGAAATCGAGCCGTGGGCAGAGCCAGCAAAGGCAAAGGCTTTGGGATTCGGATTCTCCGCGGAAAAGGAAATGAAAAAGTACTTAATATTTCACAAAAGCGGAGTGAAAGGCAATTTACAGAGTGAAGCGAAAGCGAGTGGAATATGACAGACTAATGGAAATTGAGAGGCGAATATTTGAGGAGCAACCAGCAAACGGAATTCAAATTCAATGGAATTCTCCAAAGGGCTTGCGGGTTACCCAGCCGAGTGCCAAGTTCCGAATAAGCCGGGGCTCATCAGTGCTACTTCTATAAATAGTTGCCCCATTTGGTCAGCCCACCCCCTGCAAGCCATGCACAAGGGAAAATTATTAGGAAATTTGGTACCCAGTGGAGTTCCAAGAAGAGTGTTTTAAATTTTAAAGAGCTTTCTAGAAATTAACAATCTTAATCCTATTCCGCATATGCGGAATCAAATCATTTTAAATAGTGTAATTAATTTGTTTAAAACAAAATTTAATATTATAACATAAACTAAAAACATACAAATCATTTAAAATATTTTGTATAGAGAATATTTTAGAGCAAATATAAATATTTTTAAGAGTTAAGTAAAATTCAAACTTTAGTTTTGGTTTTCTCCCAGTGCTCGCATTCCTCACCAACTAGTAATTCCTGCATTGCCAAGGCAACATTGTGGCTACAGCCTCTGAGCACCTCGAGGCCCAGGGAATGGAAACCGCAGCCCGACGCGACCAAAAGCTCGATCCTTGAACGTCCCCTCCTTGAGTGGTTTCCAACTTCCCCTTCCTTGTTCCTTCTGCCACCTGCCAGCCCAGAATGTTGGCGCGTGAGCCGCGAGAGAAGTCAAAAAATTAAATGCTATACGCAAGATTTGTTGGCTGCGAATGTGGGACCCCAGAGGTCTCGGCATTAACCTGCAGGCTCCGGGCACCGGTGCGTATGAGTGATACGCACAAGGACACGGCCACCCACACACTCACGAGCCTTCGCTGTCTGCGTAAAGCGAAAAATAAATGTTACATGTGAAGCGAATGAACTCCAAATTGATTGGACCCGCCCAGGGGGGAAGTGTGTGTGTTTGCCCGGGGGGTATTATAAATATTGAAATAATTAAATTGCATTTTAATAAATTAAGTGGGAGAGAGCATAAATATTTGAGGAGACAAAAGTGCGCCTGCCATCCGGATAACCTAATTATGAGAAAACCACTTAAGCTCCTTAATTGGACAAAGCCGAAAAGGGTCGACATGTGGCACAAGTGGGGGTGGCAAATGAATGTGGTTGGTAGAGAGGGAGCAGATAGTTCTGTGAAAGTTTCCTTGATGTAAATTAAAAAGGAGTATCTAAAGGTAGTCTGACTCAACATAATTCAAGGCGCCCTTTAATTGTGGTCCCAGCTTGAGTTTTGTCTTCTTTCCCCCCGCTTCCTTTAAAGGCATGACTAGAAAGTAAAGCAAGGAGCTAGGACCTGGCCAATCCCTAATCCCGGGGCCATCCAACTCCCTCTCCGGGGATAGCGATTCGTATTGTTGACTGCGCCGGAAATTAAGCGCACCGGCAGGAGGAAGTCTGCCCTAATGTACTAAAGTGAAATAACGTGTATGCCATATCTTGGAACAAGCGGATGGCAGTAAACACAGATATATATACAGCGATACCGAGACAGATACAGATACAGATGGAGATTTAGATACTCGGATACAGTTGCGAATGCAAATGCCGTTAGCCTGACACCGGCACAAAAAAATATCAACAAGTCCTATGCAAATTCTACCTGACTTTTAACTTGGCCCGCACCGGAATCTGTTCTCATTCGATCCAACTCCAGACAGTGACATTTATTCAAACTACGTAGTTTGTCCTGAATTTTCCATTTCGGGAAATTTTTCGGCAACGTCAGTTGCGCTGCGATTTCGCTTATGATAACAATTTGCCGGAGGGGAAAACTTTCGGGCCGCCGCGATGCCAATCATATGAGAGAAGGCAATGCCAGCATAATTTTTTCAGCTCCACGATAAAAACTTTCTCCGGCGAGAGAGCGGAAAATAGGGAAAAAAGGGCGCAGGGGCGGAAAAGCAAATATGAAGCCAGGAAAAACTGTTTGGCGAAAAAAAGGCGACATATAATTGGAAAACTTTCGGTAAAAGGCGATGGCGACAAGGCAAAGTGTGAAGAAATATTTAAGTTCGTTCAAGTGGTGTGAACTAAATTGAAAAAAAAGAACAGAAAACCAAAAAATAAAAGCCCGGAAAATGGGAAAATAAGGTCAGTTGGGTGAGGGTAGTTACTTAACTATTTATGGAATTATTGAAATGTCGATTACCTTTCCCCGGCCAATCAATACAACAATCGAAAGGGGAAAAAAGCGGCGAAAAGGGTGAGATATACAAAATAGTGGGAGGGCTGCCTACACGGATTGATAAATATCGCCGAATGCATAATTTAATTGACTTTTATGGGCGCTCCGCCAGCAAGCCCCACAATTTACACCATTGTTTGTTTTTGCATATAATTTCAATTGAATTTTAATTGAAATTATGACGACTCCGAGCTCCACTGAGCCAGACTCACCAGCTCGGCACTGAGCCATTGTTTTCCTAACCGTAGTGCTTTGTTTGCGCGGCCCGGCAATAATTTCAGTTTGCGGTCACAGGGCGCCGTGGGTGGGTTTTTGGAGGGGGGGTTAGAGAGGGTGTTTGCCTACAATGGCAACCATTTAGCATATTAGAATATGCATTGTTTGCGCCCAACTCCGGCACGCAATGTGCGACCACCCAGGGGCCTCTGTGCCCAGGGGCCGGTGCTCGAATCCTGTTCAAGGCTGGCCAGGATGTTCACTAATAGCCATCACTTAAATTTGGCACAGAAACAAAAATGTACTGCATTTTATATTTTCTGGACTTCAAATTTTCAGTTAAATACATTTTAAATAATAAGTAGGTACTTAAAATGTTTTCAATGAGACAAAGGAACTAAAATTAATTAACATGGTGCACAAAAGAAGGCTTAGAAAAAAATGTTTGGAACAATAAACAATGCCAAAAAAAATTAATATTTAATTAACTATTTAACCATTTAATGGGTAAAAATATTCCAGAAACTTAAAGTGCCTTTTCCCATTGTTTAACACATGTTTTTACTAGAGTTTTTCCCCCAGCTGCCGGTGTAGTTGTACTTTTTCCTGTCGTTCTGCTTCGTCGGTAAAGAAAACAAATAAATAAATTTCGGACCTGGCCAGGACACTCACTCACACTCAGTCACATTCAGGGTATGTGTGTGTGTGAGGCTGTCTTTCATAAATTTGATATGTATGTGAATTCCTTTCGGTTTTGTGGTTGGGGTTTTGTTTTTGTCAAGCCAAAGTAACCCGTGTGCTGCCGCCAGGTTTCATCTCCATTTGCAATTATTTTATGCTTTGCATTTGCCATTCCGTCTTTAATTAGATTTCCTGCCCGTCCCCAGGTACAAATTTGCACTTGCCTTTGATGGGGCCTTCATTAGCCTGGCTTTGCGTGTGCCGTTCGTCTTGCTGGCTGATAATTCCACTCTGAGGCGAACAAGGGCTGGCCAAAAAACACTTTAAGCCCTCTTCGGCTGGCTCACATGCATTTGGAGCTCGGTGTCATACTGCGACATGCACTCGGGGCCACGAAAACATGCCATTTGCAACGGCCATTTGCGCGACCATCAGTCCGTGGGGCGCCCGGAACTTTAATTGCCCGCACACGTTTAGTGAAGGGGCTGGAGAAAAAAACACCGAGGAAACACGGAAAAATCGCACTCGCCACAAATGTATTTTCGCGCCTTCTTCGCCTTTTAGTCTTGGCCAAACTCTGACACACGAACTTCGACCTGGGGCTCCGAATGCCACTCGATATGATTGCGAATTTCTGTCCGACGACCGTTAAACACGTCCTTTCGCCTGCTCGCAACGATTTCAACTGAATGGCCACGGACAGGAGCAGCTCGATTTGTTTATGAATCGTCGTGTGTCCGTCGTGCCGAGTCCTCGGATCTAAAAGGACTGGGCCGCTGAGAGAGCTTTTTAGACCACTGAGCGGGGTGGCGAATATCGTAATGCTAAGAGAAAGGACCCTTTGTGCTCTCTGCTACCCACGCTCAAATGAAAAAATGTAGTTCTTGGTATAATACCGCTTCATTCTTAAATTTAAATTCTGCAAATTGTAACTTTACCCTTGACATTATTGGTCTTATATTTTTTAAACAAGGACTTTAGCCATACTTTTTTCAAAGATTGGCATTAAATAAAGCGCTTCAAAATCAACTTTACTAGAATTTCGTTTAAAAATGAGACCAAGATTTCAAAGTATAATTATATTTCAATTTAGATGTGAACTAAGAAAATTATTGTAGTTTTTGTTATTTCTCAACTTAAATAAAGTTAAGTGTAAAAACATGAAATTTTGTGTTCGATTTTTTGCCGCAATTTGCTTAAATGGAATGGCAAAACTAAAAGAATGATTGTATTGGCCAGCTAATAACCGAAGCATACAACCCACGTCACTTTTGGCAAGATTTATTAATATATTTATTTTTTCTAATTTTTGCTTTTTTCATAAGGGGTAACATCATGATTTTTTTGAAAAAAAAAATGGTCAAAAAATAAAACTTTTAAATTTGAATGCCATTCTGTTGGGAATTTAAGTACGAACTCAACAAGGTATGATACTCCATTTTTAATCAATTTAATGCTCTGTTTTGGCAAAAAAAAACTGATTTTTTTTAAATAAATGTTGGGATTAGGGATAAATGGCAAACAAAGATTATATTATTGAGTATTTTCTTTTTTAATTATTTTCTTTCACCTCCAGGGTTGAGTCTTTCCTTTCCATGTTAAATGATTATACTTTTTTAGGACACAAAAAAGGCATTGCCTGGTTTGTCAGACCCAGTGTCTTTCGAAAAACCACTTTTGAACATCCAAATTGGCAAACAGCAGCTTCGCATTTCCACCGGTCGCACAGGCCTGAACTGCCCTTCCCTCCGTCTGCCCACCGATGTCTAAATTGAACTGAGTACGCCTTTCCCCAACTAGCAGTCGCCGTTACCGTTTTCCGTATTCCGGACCCCATCCCGTCCCAGACACAACCGAAAGCCATTCCCAGCTGTCGAACAGACAGCCCAAAGACACTCCCACTCCAGCTGGGAGGTTCGTACGTATGCGGTTCGGTTGGCCAACCGCAAAATTCTTGCCAAACAAAATAAAGAAGACAAGGAGGAGAACTAACTTGGGCCAAAGCAAAGCAGAGCCAAGCGGCAACGGAAATTGTTAACCTTTGGGGATATCAAACATTTACGATTGCGTGGCAGCGGCAGCAACATTTAAGTTTTTATCAGCACAAAATAAAGTTTTGGTTTACGGATTGTGTTCCTGTCCGCCGCCCCCATCCTTTATTTGGCCCAGAGGCAGCCACAAGTGCCCAGGAGCCGAGGCAGCGGCAAAATCCAGGAGCAGGAGCAGGAGGTGGATCAGGGGCTGAAGGCCGAGAACTGAAAACTGAAAGCTAAAGACTCGTCCCTGTTGATTCCGGGGCACGCAGAACTTTTATCCTTTTCAATTTCGCTCTTCTTGGCGAGTACTTTTGAGGGATTTAAATTTCTGTTTGCTGCCGGGACAACAGCGAAACAACCGTGGGAGCGGCAACATCGACTTGCTGGCGACCAGGTGAGTGCCTCCTCCTTGTTGGCCTAATCACGGCTTTGCCCACTTGGCCACAATCAAATGCAGCACAATGCGATTGGCGCGGCCAATTTGACTTGCGATTTTGGTTGAAATACACATGTGGATGTACACGGGGAGAAATTTTATAAAGAAAGTATTATACCCTTGTTATGAATATAATTTTTAGAAATTTATAAAAGTACACCACTTAAATCCTGTCAAATTCATATTTTCAATTACTAAAATTAATTGTAATTTTCACACAGCCGTCATGAAGGAAAAAAAGAAGAGTCGCAGAGCTTCCTCACCAGATCCCGAACAAGCAGGACCATCGAATGCCGTAAGCATGGAGGATAACTATTCAGACTTGGAGGACCAATCTCATGGCGAAGATGAACAGGAAGTGCCCTTTATTTTAGTAGACTGCACGGCCTTTACAGTTCGCTCCGACCTGGAGGCAGCCCTGAGCCAAGTGGAAAGGGAGAGGATGGAGAAGTTGCAGGCAGATATTGAAAGCGGGAATGTACCTCAGCTGGAGGATGAAGAGCCTCCACCAGAATTGGACATGCCCATTAACTTGAGTTCCCTGGCACTGGCTAAACTGAAAGATGCCGAGGATGAGCGCCGGTTCAAGGAGGATTTGCGGAATCTTCGAATTGCTGGGGTTGAAGAAGAGGAGGAGGAAGTCCTCGTCCCCTCCATCAGCTCGACAAAATCCATATCCGAAATGAGCCAGAGTGAAATCAAGAGGCTGCTGAAGACTACCGCCAATCTGGAGAAGATCTGCCGCAAGCTGGAGCAGATCAAGACTATGCAGGAGGATATTATGGCGGTGGAATCTGTTTCGGAGGTAACTGCCGCAACTGCAGTTCCCGAACGACCAGGACTTCGCAGGGAGGGAACCTTTGACATTGAGCGCGATCGTGACCAAAACGTAGATCATCCTGAGATTCCCATAGCTCCAGCAGATAGCCAGACAAAGAAGTATATGCCAGAAACTGAGCAGATCATCAGCCAGATAGGCGATCTCCTTGTGAAGCTGCAGGTTCAGAACGAGGAGCGCGAAGCCTTGGATGAGGGATCCTCCTACTCCTACATGGTGACCATTAAACCCGCTGGAGGCGCCTCCAATTGTTCTGTCCACGCAATTACAAACTTCCAGTCTCGCGGAGCAAGGAGGGTAGTTCCGACCAATAACCTAAGGGTTTCCCAGGCTTCGTCCATCAATATATTCTCCCCTGCCAGTGTGGGAGGAACCGAGGCTCCTCAGTTCTCCATGAGCTCGCGCTGCATCGACGGAGGCTCCTATGGCCCGATGTCCCTTCCCGAATCCTGCTCATCGTCGCGGGTCAAGTCACCATTCTTGCGCAGAAGGCCTGGTTCCTATCTGAAAGTTCCGGCTCCCGCCAGATTTTGCCATGGAAGGAAAAGTCGGGATTAAAACATTATTTCAGTTACCACTAATTAAATTCGTTTGGAAGGCTTTCGAATCAAATATATTTTGTAATTATTAAAGGACACTACAAAAGAAGTGTGGGATAACCTAAAGGAATTTTAATAATATCAATTAACGTGGAATTTAAACTACTATTTAATGCCAATAAATTTTCACAATCTGAAGTGTGGCAATTGGTAATCAATTAAAAATTATAAAATAACTCAAATGAGCAATTCTGTGATAAATAAAAATAAAATTGAAAAATGCATAGTTGATAAGTCTTCAATATGCTATATTGTAAAATACTGAGGAGTTTATAAAATTTAATAAGAAATATTAAAGAGGAAACCTGGCCTAAAAGATTAACATTTGGGTTTCGATCACATTTCATTAATATGGAATATACACAAGAGTTATTAAACAATGTTATTAAACATCCCAATCAATATTTGTTTTTTTCCGCTTAACGAAAATAAACAAGTGCTTTTAATTATTTATTTGCAATTTAAATGCATCTGAAAAAGAACAATAATTATAGAGATGTTATCGGCATGCACAATTTCAATTACACTGGTACTCCAAATTTATTGTTCTGCTGTTAAACGGATTTAATTATGCCGTATTTTAGCGGCAACTGGCTAACTGACCACGAACCTAAGCCAGGCCACCTTTTTCGAGCTTCGTTTCTTGGCATAAAAGTTGCATCTTGGCCACTTCCTGGAGGAGTTGTCTAATTGCAGGGCCACGCACTTTCATTGCTCATTTCCGAGGTAGCCTCGAGTGCGTGGTTGCAGCTCATTTTGTTCGGTTTGCGCAATTGTGGCCAAAGTGTTTTCAACTTTCCTCTGTCACTTCGCCCGGAGGTCGAATCTGAAGTTCCCTCTTCCCTCTCCTCCCCCCGAAAGCCCCTCTTTTGGGCTGGATTTGGTGAAAAGTCGGCCAAGTGCTCGGCCTGGCTTGTGCTTGTGCCAGTTGGCAGACGTCCTGCTGCAGGACCTTAAAACCAGTCCTGCCTCTCGTCATTTGTCGTTGGGCAGAAATTGCAAGATTGACTGTTGGCTGCAGGGGGACAGATTCACAGGGGGCCACAAAAGTTTTCATTAGTTTTAATTAAATCCCAAACAGCATTTCCATGCTGCACTCGCCGAGGCGTGTGTTCTTTCGAGGCTTTGTCAATGAGTTAGCCCAACAAAACCGAATTAAAAACACATCAAAATTAATGACACTTCGCCCCGGGGAGGCGGAATATTGTGGATGGTTGGCTGGCCGGTCAAAAGGAAGTTGCCGCTGCCACTCGAAGTGCGGACAACATTTGTGCAATTTATTTAGCCCGCTTTTTGCGGAACTTCGGGACGCGCGCATGTTGCTAAATAAATTCCATGATTTACTGCAGCCATACGGGAAGCGCGGACAAGACAGCAAAAAAATGACAGTTGCCAGTGGCCACAGTGTTTATATAGTTGTCGAGTGGGCGTGGCCCATCGGCAGGGGGCGGACGGCTGGGGCGTGGGCCTGGGTGGCCATGTACATGAAATTTGCAATTAGATTTGGCGAAAAGGCAGCCGCAACATCCGCCCGGCGTCCCAGTTCCCAGTTCCACTTGCAACCAACACAAACCAACTTCGTTGCCGGGTCCGGGCGAAATATTTAATGCGGAAAGTTTAATCGCAATGGCAGCGGCATCTGCAGCGGCGCATTTCCAGCATTTGTTGGGTTTTAGACTGCATTTCCCGCAGTCAGAGAGGCTGTACAGGCAGTACAGCTCAGCTCATGGTTGACATCATCAAATTTGATGCCCGGCATTTACTGGCCACCGGCCACAGCCTCCTGTCTTCGGGGGTTTCGAGCAGGATGTCAGGATGTCGGGATGCCATGTTGCCAGGACGCCAGAGCGCCAGGATGCGGACGCACTTTCACTGCGGCCAGCTTTTGAGCGGCCAAGAAATTAAATAAATTTTTGATTAGCCAGTTGGGTCGGCTTCTGCACGAGTTGCCTCGCGTAGCCACATATATATAGGAACTCCACTCTGGTTTTTAGAGCGACGGAGATTTCGCTGGGTTTTAGTTGCGCTCAGGGATGTGGCTTTATTTTCTGGTGACCGCTTTGAAAGTGGGCTGATTAGTTTGGTAGCTGTGGTTGCAGTAGGTCAGATCGGAACTAATGGAAAGCGAAGGAGGTCATCATTAAGTCATGAGTAAGTGTCTGGTGGAATCTCAAAGAAACTTTTTTAAAATTAGCTGTTCTGGTTGCCAGGAAACTTTAATCAGGAGTGGTATTTCCATATTTTTACTTCATCAAATTATCTTTAAAATCATATAATTTTTTTTTGTATTTTTTAATCAAGGCAAATGCACACTTGGCACTCGAAACTCAGTTGAAACGATAATCGGAACATGTTTTCCCAATTTCCAGCATCGCTAATTGGTGCTCAGCTAATTGGGAAAAAACCCACCCGAGTGGGCGAAATGAAAGCCAAATAAATGCGCCACGCAATTAGAATGCACAACAATAATTACATAATAAATTCGGAAGCGCAGCTGCAGCTGCAGTGTCTTCCGGCGGCAGCTGCCACGAAATGTAAATGGAAATAAGTGGCAGGACGCCGCCGGGTCCTCCTTCGTCCCGAGCTTCGAGTCCTTCGCCCCGCGCCCCCTCTTCCTTGTTGGCGACCGCGTTTACAAATGCCTTCGACTAGTTGAGCACTTGATCAGCGAGTGTCGGGCGCCGGGGCTTCCTCCATCCATTTCAGTTTCACTCCGCGTGTGGGCGACGACGAGATTAATAAAATTTATTATCATTGCGATAGTGGCAAAACAAACTGAACGCCCCACACATCCCCCAAGTATTTATGTGCCTGGTGCTAAAACCAGCTGGGAGAACATATCAAAATGAAGTAAAATTCATTTTACAACATTCAGACTGAGCAGCGAGTAGACAGCAAAGCAGAGCGAGGGAAACTGGGGCTCTCGAATGCAAACCGAACCGAAATTGCAAATGCTTCTGGGCTGCCATCGAGCTGAGGGCTCAGTGCTGAGACGCTCAGTGCTCAGTGCTCAGTGCCGGCAGATCCTGCCCTCCGTTTCCATTTCCATGGCCATCGCCATCTCCATATCCATCTAGGGCCAGAAAAGAGGAGCGCCGGAGCACGGAGAACGGAAGTTCGACGCCCAAGTGGCAGTCGCGATAATAGCGCCCTGCCATGTGCGCTAAAGTATTAGCATATACACAGGCGCACACAAACCGAGAGCTAGAAGAAAAACTTTTGACTGCAGCGGCGCTATCAGGAGACACATAAATATGAAAACGCAGGCGGGGCTTGAGAAATGCACTCGCAGAAAGTGGTGGCGGGGCCATAAATATACCACAAACATATTTATATTTGTTGTGAACCGAATAAAATGTTTCCACTCACCACTAAGAAGTCGGTAAATGGTTTGCTTGGACTCGAAAGTAAGTTGGCATTTAAATAGTCCTAACTTACTATTACACTTGAAAAAAATTGTAATTTAAATAAATTTAGAAAAAATTGTAACCTACAAAAAAAAGTTTGTTCTTGGAACTATTTGCAAATGTACTAAATTTATTCCTAAATTTTTGTTCTAGATAATATCTCTTTATTTTAGGCACTTTTCTCAGTGCCTTTAAAGGGGTAACCGGGATAGTGGCGACTTGCTAGACAGATATATGGAGTGTAAAAGTGTCATTGCCACGCCCAGCGGCAGCGGCCATTACCCACCTAGCGCCCCCTGGCCGTCGGCAGTGGAACTGCAACAGAGTGGAATTTGAATATTATTGTCACCCCCACACAACGACAGGCTGCACACACACACTGGGCCATTGGGCCACTGGAGCCATGGAGCAGGCACGAACACAGGTTTACTTGGACAGACCTCGACCTGGAGACCAGCAAGGAGATAGAACCAGAGGCAGAACGAGGACCAGGACCAGAACCAGAACCCGAACCCAGTATTTAATACTGTTTGTGCAAAATAATAGCTAGGCCCCCCAGAGAGAGCGAGAAAGGGGGGCTGAAAGGGGGAGAGTGCGCCCCTGGCGGTGCCGTAAATTCAAATTAAGTCGCCCAACTTGCTGACAGCTAAAATCTTGGTAACAAAAATGTGCAGAGGAGCCCACAGGAGAGATCAGCACTGCACTGGGCCACACTGCGTATGAGTGTTTCCGGGCGAGTGCCCGTGTGTGTGTCTATACTACACGCCTCTGTTTCTGCCACTGTATGTGTGTCTGTTAGTTGCCAGTTTGTTGAGCATCACACGCAGTTGGTTTTGAATTTATTGCCGCAAAATGCAGCAGCGAAGGTATTCCCCAGAAGTGCAGATGGATTAAGTGAGCTCCCCGAATGAATATCCTCCATCCTATATACCAAAGTGTGGGTGTGATTGCGTTTCATTTTAATTAAATACTTTGCCAAGCTCTCGTAAAAACGCCAGAGGACGCAAAATGTCAAGGCCTTCGGCTCGTTTTCACCTTGCTCTTCATCAGCCCCGCCTCATTTGGCATTTGCCATTTCCCAGTGCCCACTTTCCACCGCCCACTTTCCACTTCCGCCTGTCTCAAATGGCCAAGGCCCCGGCTGTGTGGTCAACTTTCATTGCTGCAATTTGGGGTCATCATTGGAATCAATAAACGCTGCCAAAGTGGTTCAAAGTGCGATTTGAAGGCTGGTGGAAGAGGAAAGTGGCCAAGCCCCAGACCCAGACAAAGTTGAAAGATTTCTCCCAGTCCGGCAAAGTTTGTCTGACCAGGTCGGGGAATTGTGTGCGAGTTCTGAGTTATGAGCCACAGACAGGAAAGGTGCAAAGGAGCGATTTGATCGCTGTCTTGATGGCGATTTCGCTGCCACTGAAATTAAAATAAATTAGAAATTCCCCAGTAAATCTTTTTTAAAAATAAAAATCCCGGCCGAGGACTAGGTATCAAGTTGAACATTTTATTGGACTTAAGTTTACAATCAATTCCTGAGCTGATTGCCCGCTACCCCCGGGCGTTTAATAATAAAACTCAATTTCATTTCGCTCCCCTTTGTGCCTCGT